GATCATGGGAAAGGGTACTCAGTTGACCAATCGATTGGGGCTGTTTGTTTCGATCTCGCGATCGGTTTGTTGCGTGTTGTGTTCACTTACCCGGCGGCCTGGAGTCTGTACATAGATAGGTATGTACTTACTCGCTGACTCTGAATATCGATTTATCTATTCAGGGGATGAGAGACAGATGAGCATCTGGAAGTTCAAGAGCTGTAGGTGCATTATAGGGACTTGGGTTCAGAGTATGTCTATCACTCCGTATGCTAGTTGAATGGTTTGTTTATTTTATTCATACCTCTTTCCCTTAATCCCTGAATACTGTAGATAATTGTTTATGAACGCAGATAGATGAATAGATACTTACTTGCACCTACACCCAGATGCACGGGATAAAATGAACAGCATGCCGAACGTACGGAGTCGAGGATCTCCCACCTACAGCACAGTACATGTGCAGCCAGCACTGCTGCGCGAGAAGAAGAACGGAAAAGACCGTCGTCACCATCATGCAAACAGATCAACCAAGATCAAAGCACAGATGGCGGTCTCGTCCACAGACCCCGTATGCATCCCTAACCTACCTACCTAGGGACCTCCCAGCATCCAGGAATAAACACCCGAGTCCACTTAAAACCGAATCAGGGCGCAGAAAGCATGAGCAGTCGATCCCACACTCAAAGTCGAACGAAAGGGGTATTGAGACATCCCCAGACAAATCCGCATTCCGCGGGCCTACCCGTGACTTTGGGCCCGCGGGGAGGTGTGGCAAGTGGAAACTGGATTCTGGGCCTTTTGATCGAAAGGGATCGTACTCATAGGGGTGGAAGCCTGGAAAAGAGACAGAATGGACGAGTCTCAAACACCAGCCAAACTCCTGGGAACGGGGAGTGAGTTCCGAGAACGCCAAAAACAGAGATAGATAACATTTAGAGCCAGAACCAGAAAGCCAATTTTAAAGTCGGGGAAGGGAGAAGAAGGAGGGCGGTGGAGAAACCCTTGTCCAGTGTCCACAAGGGGAAGAAAAACAAATCCAAACCGACGGTTCGAATTGATCGGCGACAGCGGAAGAAGAGAAGTTGCATCCGCCCGAGAGGCGTTGGGTTTTCGGTGCAAACTATTGATTTTGGATTGATATAATTAAACGAGGACACGGTCGCGGTCTAGAGCTCCCCCGGCCCCTGCTCCCCGGTCGCTGGGAGACGACGATCCCAGCCGAGGTACCTTTGTACTCGGGTGTATGCTTTTGGACTGTTTGGTGAACAGCTTCATCGATGGTTGGGAATTTGTCACAAGGAGCTCTTTTGTCATCTATCACATGGGACTTTTTTTCTACGGGATTATTCGAAGAATTATTTGAAATGCCTTGGTCTCAATCGAGTCGAGTGCGGAGTGTCTCAATTGTATATATTCGGAATGTGTGATATGATGATATCCTACTCCGTATAGGGATTCAGTCATCGCCAATGTTCGAGGACAAAGAACTTGACACAGAGTACTCCGTACTCCGTGCGGAGTAGAAGACCCTGTCTCATCCAGAGCACTGGTGCCTATTCAGTAGACAGCGGCCATAGCACAGTGTGACAGTATGAAGTTAACTTGCGAAGTAGTACGCGTACCTGAGATATTTAACCGTGCAGGACAAAGCTCGGTAGTATGGATCGGCACCGAAGATTCTCCTGGGGTAACTTAGCTACGACCTACTCCGTGTAGGTGCCAAAAAGCCGAAATAATGCCGCGGCTCAATGCTTTACCCTGGCAGCTACCCGTGTGTGCGACGGTAAGAGTTACTCCGTAGGTGTTTCAACGGGGAGGAACCGCAATTCGCAATTTTACCTAAATTGTATAGGAGGAAAAATCCTGCCGGGGAAGGACGGAAGAAATCCCTCCATTGTCCGTCCGTTCCATCCATCCGTCCGCAACGGGGCTCCTCCCGAAGGAACGGCGATGGGGGCCGTTGGATAGGTTGGAGAGGCAGAATGTTCGAATCTTCCATTCCGATTGCTCATCACTCGCTAGTGCTGGGTTATTGGTACCTATTTTGTCGGGGGAGGTGTTATGGATCCGGCTAATTTGTCTTTCTTGGTGCGACGATGCTATGCTCTTCCTGATTGAGAAAGGGGAAGCTCAAATGGCTCATGTTTTGGACTTTTGGTGGTAGAAACTGGTGGGTCTTCTATTAGTCTTTCCGGCGGCGACCCGGATTTTCCTTTGTTCTGGTTCTGGGTCAGGGCCCAAGGCAGACGGGTATGTTTGACGTTGATACAGATAGACTCGTGCCGAGGTCTAGAAATCTGATTTGATATGGCTTTTCTCTCTTCTCAACATTCCCGTCTAAGTCTCGTACCAGCTTTTCGTATAATATGTACATTTCTGCCAAATTGAATTGTCAAAAGATACCAAGGCATAAAATAGCCGGCTTTCTCCACCGCGGGTACCGCGCGGCGGCGCGGGCATGGGTGTCTGGAGTTGGGACCCGAAATCCTACGAACGAACCGCTTCATTAAACATAGTACATAATATTCATGTCAGAATAATCGCCTGATTATCAGTTTCTTTTCTTTTTTCATAATTCGCACGAGGGGGCAGGCCAGGAACCAAAGTACGAAATCCATCTCATCTCCAGCCCGTCCGTCAGTCAATCAATCAATCAGTCCTGCTACATACAAACAACGGTCGCTCGAGCCGGTCGTGTTTGCCTCACCGCCAAAAGCATCAGCACACAAGAACAAGAAACACAACGCAAAACAAGCGGGATGGATGCATGAGTGTGTTGTAACACCAGGAGATCTGAACCCTCGCCCTTATCGACCGCGTTTGATCGCTTCCTGGGATCCGCGATGCAGACACACAGACATCCGGCGGCATTGTGCTTCATTCATTCATTTCCCCCCTCCTCTGGCTCCCCTTCTTTTGCTGCCCCATGTATAGGTACACACGTCGGACTACATACTTACATACATCAAGTATGTACATCCAGGTAGCTAGCTAGCTAGCTACCTCACCAGCTATGTAGCCAGCCAGGGTACGCGGGTAAGTCGGTCGGTAGGTACAGGAAGTAGGTAGACATACCTACCCACATCCGCTGTACTCCGTATGCGAGGATGTCAAACACCACAACGGAGCGGTCAGGGTCACGGCATTGTGATTCGATCGGGGATGGAGTTACCCTACCCTGGGGATTTGGGGTTGGTTGGGCCAGGCAGGGAGGTCAAGTTGGGGAAGGACAAGTCCATCAATACCAAAATGAATGAATGAATAATGAAAATGGACAGTTGTCGTTCCTTTCCTTCCCTCCCTTCTCTATCTTTCTTTATTTTGGCTTCCCGCGGGTGGACGCGAACGGCGGATGCAGACATACACAGACCGCAAGAACAAAAAAAAAGCCGTTAATGGCTGATGCAAGAACGCCCAAGGCTTTCTTTTCGCTTTGATTGCCTATCTGCCTGTCCCCGCGAGGTTGGCGCTATCTACGTTGCGTATCTACTAACTGGAGCGTTATTGATTATCTAGTCGTTTGGGGCGGTGATAATAAAATTGGGGTCGGGTTTGAGGATGATTGTTTGCAGGGCAGTGTCACTCGAAACTACGGTAGGGGCCCTCGATGGTGGTCAGAGAATTTAAAATCCTATGTCTTGTTGTTCGGTTCCAAGGAACGAGGTTGCATTATCTGACAAAGCCTCATTATGGGGGGAAAGGGGGACATGGGGGATAAGATTGTCCGTATGAAACATCGGTCGGGGAATGGGGTTCGTTTGGGACAAGAGGGAGGCTTTGCAGAGTCATCCTGTTGATTAGTGATATCGTATATTGTCAGACGGTGACGGGGGATTTTTGGGTTGTAACTCGTAAGGGACGGAATATTCAAAGATAGAATTGTAGGGAGTGAAATCGAAAAAATGAATTAAAAGGGCGATAATGGGAAATTAGATCAAGGACAAAAGTCCAAAAATTTAATCGCCAAAATTAAATTCGAATTAAATAAAGAAAAAAGGGAAAAATCAAAAAGTCTAGACTATTTGACTCATCCTTTGACATTCATTCCCCACGCACTTTTCCCCCCAAATCCGATCTTCCCCGGCCCGCGGACCGACGTTTGAAAGGAAGGGAAAAAGAAATAATCTTTTTCTCATTTTAATTTAAAACGAAGAATAAGGAAAAAAATCCATTAATTTCGAAGACGACAATGAATATGTATAATAAGAAAACGATAGATCCACGCCCACCCGGCCAGGGTCTGCTGTCAGATTGTCTCTGTCAACTCTCTTTCCTTCCCATACATCCAATACTCGGTACGAATTTCCTTTGACATCCCCAACTGGACTGATCATTTTTCCCAAGTGATTCAGTCGGGCTCTGATCGCCTTACTCTCGCCCACTCGATTCTTCATTCACGCATCGTACAGCTGCCGGGACGCCCCTTCCGCCTGATCGCTGCGCTTGACTCGCAGGTTGTCATTCCCCGGTTGGAGGCTTGATTCGCCAGCACCGCGGAATATTCCCTTTTTACCTGGGATTTTTGTTTGGCCCTCAAGCGTTCACGGGCTGTGGGGCCTGACATTCTGATTCCAGAACATAATAATAAACAAAAAAGGAATCAATAAAAAAAAAAAAAGAGAAAATCAAAAAAAGGACCCTCCACACCCCCCCTACGCCAACCCCCCGCGACGCCTTATCTGTTGGGATATGCAAGGGAGTCCAGACGCCTCCCCGATCGATCTGGCCCATACATCCATACATATACTTCCTACTATACCTACCTACCAGCTTTCATCATTCTTCACCTCTACTTGCAATCCTTCAGTACAAAGACCCCCGGACAATCCCCACCAACTTAACCTTGTCTGTTTATTTATCATCCTCTTCCTCCATCGATCGTCTTTTTTTCGAACACAACAATACAACCTCGACTGCCTCTCTACTCATCTCACCATCATCTATCATAGCATCACCCAACTCTTTTCAGAGTTCAACCGCAAAGATTTCCTCCATCACGCACTTTCTCATTCACAATGAAGTACACCAAGCCTTCATCGGGCGGAATATACCCCTTCCAGCCCTGGAGCCAGAACAGTTCCAGCATCCGATCGTCTCCCAGCGAGGCATCGCCCACTACGCAACACATCGCCTTCAGCTTCGGCAGTGCTTATGAATGCTCTCCTATCTCGATGCCTCCTCCGCCACCCCCTTCTCCCAGCGACAACACCCTGACTGATATCACGCCTCGCAAATGCTCTTTCTCCAGCGGATACGGCATGAGCAACAACACCTGTGCCTTTCCCTCCTGGCCCAACCGACCATCTCTGATCAGTGCCGACTCGGAGGGCTCGTCTGCCAGTGCCTACATCTCCGACGAGGACCTTTACTTCGAATCCATGGGCCCCGTCGAGTCGGCGATTGACGAGGAGTCCGCCGCCCACGACCCCGCCATGGGAGACCCCGACATGACGACCGAGCAGCAGATCCAGGTGATGCGCGCTGCAGCCGAAGAAGAAGCTCACCGTGCTCGATTCCTGGCCCAGGTTCAAGCCCATGCACGAGCTCAGCAGGCCCTACGAGTGGCACAGCTCGCGGCGGTGGAGCGCGAAAACGCGAAACGGAAGAAACGCAAGGCCATTCCTGACCGCAAGCGACGCGCCACTTCCTCGTCCAAGAACTCTCGCAGCTAAATCGGCAGCAAAGAAAAACACCACACCGATTATCTGGTGGGTGCTAGAGTGACTCAACCAGGTTATCGACCGTTCCCATGCATACCCGATAAACCCCACTTTCTTCACCCCACGCTTTCTCGCTTTTTTCTTTTTCTTTTCTTTTTTTTTCTTTCGGTGTATTTTCCGTCAGAGAAAAAGGAAGAAGAGCTATCGAGTGATCGGCAGAGTTTCCGACAGCTTCGTTGTTTTTTTTCCATTGCGGTAAACATTGCCGTATTGGTCTGTTTTGTTGTCGCCACTGTTTACTTTCCATTCATCCATACCCGGTGATTTGCTTGAAGGAAAACACAAAACAAGGCCCCGAGTCCAGCACCCGTCATTCCCCCAAAACAAAGCATCCAGTGACATTTCTCCCCCCACGGTTCGGTGACCGTACCACTCCAGGTCAAGGGGGGAAGGGAATGCATCACAAGGCGCCGAGCAGACATGCGACCGGGTTTCAAAGCGCGAACGAAGCGATCTGGCAGGAGAAGGCGGATTCTGGGCGATGACGACAGAGGGGACTGACCGGCACTTGGTTGGCTCTTCGTTACGCGCTGTAGCCGGGGCGGAATTACCGATACGATACGGCGATTACCTAATTTCCCCGTCGCAGTCGGCGCATTGCGAAGAAATCCAATCCCACCTTAGGAGGGACAACTCGCTCTCTCTGCACGCTGGACAGGGCCCCGGCTGGCCTGCATGGCCTATCATTCTTATCGATCTCACCGCCATTGTCAAGGCGCCTCCCCTTACCATGACTCACGGCGATGGATGTTGCCCAAAGGGTCATGGCACGCGCTCTGGATTTCCAATCTTCCTGGTTTTTTTATTTTCTGACCTCCTTCCGTTTTCTCCCTTCATGCGTTGTCGCGATGGCGTTGGCCGGAGACTGGAAGTCATCCTTTCATCTACCTAATTCTTGATTCCTGATTCCGTCTTATTGTTGCTCATTCCATTTCGGGAAAGTCGTTCAAGCGTCATCGTTCGATTTGCTTTCCAGGTTGTTTCTAGCTTCCCCTCACTAATTCCGATTGCCCCTCCTTTGCTTATCTCGCGTCTTTTCATCTATTTATTTTTATCTTGTTTCTGTTTCTGTTTCTGATCCATTTTCGTTTTCGTTCTAGCGGTCCGAGTTCCGGTTCAGATACCCAGTCGTGTACTTACTTATCTTTTTTTTTTTCTCCTTGACTGTTGCGACCTACTTGTTTTGTGTTCCGATCATACCCCGAGCGTGTTACACAGAACAGCTCCCGCGTTTCCTACTTGATTGACTTGACTTGATTTGCATAGCCCAGCGAACATACCCGACCCCGTCTACAGTGCGGCTGATTTTGTTTCCCTTGTGTCTCTTAGCGATGACGTTGTTCGACTTAGTCTAGTTATTTATTAGTTAGCTCTACAGTCTCTGACTGATTGTGTTGAATGTGAATATGAAATGGTCTTTATCTATCTACTTCTTTGGATTGAGTATCTTCGTAAGGAATGAGTGTGTAGATCGATGAATTTTCTTGGATGTACATAGTTACTGACTGTAGCATACATAAGCTGAGCTACCTACCTACCTACCTACCTACCTACACGAACTACTGCAGAAGCTACGGAGTAATTACCAGCCAGTTCTCTAGGTACTTTGGATGGTATCCTAGTCATGTCTGCATTTACGCATATACACTCTCCCTCCGTCCTAGGATATAGACCTACATACATACATACATACCTAGACAGACAAATAGATAACTAGTCTCATAGATAAAAAAAAAAGAAACACGATATAGAAACCAGACAATCACCAAACCCACCTAAATGTCTAACGAATTTCACGATGGACCGCATACGAAATGAAGCGCCTAGGGTCGACAGGGTCTAGAGGATCTAGTCCGGTCGACCAGTTCAGTATAAAATCCTCGTCCTCTGTCTTTGTTTTTAGCTAATGGATTGGGACGTTGAAGGGGTCTGACCGTCTGTTCGCGGAGAGTGTTGGTTGCTTGCGTTGCTTGCGTTGCCTGTCTCCTTGATGAGGATTGGACAGCTGGAAGATTGGACGGTTGGTGGTTTGTGGTTTTGTGTGTACGTACATGGTTAGACAGGGTGTTGGGGGGTTTATTTTGTATTTGTTGTTTATTGTGGATTTAACTGCTATAGATGCAGTACACGGACCTCTCTTTTCTCTTGTGAGAGGGTGAGGAGGAGGAGCATGGATTATGTGTTGTTGGTTGTTAGAGGTGGAGATGGTGATGAATGTAAGACAATGAAGAAGGTAGAGAGAGATTGGAGGTGTTGATTGAGGCCTTGGAAATTTAGTAAATGACGGGCAGATGAACAAGTAAAAAGGTGCATACCTATCCAACCCTAACCTGACTATTACCTCATTCCCATACAACCAACACCTACATTGACTGGTGAAATTAAAAAGAGAGAAAAAGAAAGAAAAGAAAACATCGACCCAATCTACCTAACCCTAATTCAGATTACAAAGACAACCCCCTCCCCAACAACTCCCCCCCAACTTCCTGAATCAACGACTCCTTCGCCAACGCCCCGAGCTTCTTCTTCTGCTGCACCGTCTCCGCAATCCCCATCGCCTTGCACAGATCCACGACCTCCCCATCCACAGGCGCCTCGTACACAACCAGCCCCAGCGCAAAGAGGAGGCCATGTAAAGACTCCACGCTCTCTTCTTCCTGGGTGATGGCTTCGACGAGCGACGCGGTGAGTTCGACCTGGTCTTCCTCGGAGAGTTTATCGTGTGATCCGGTGCTGGCAGAGGCGTTGAAGCGCGCGTTGTGGTTGTACGCGGCGATGTTGTAGGCGAGGGAGGCGGCGACGACGCGGAGGTTAGTGTGCGAGTCGAGGAGGCAGCCGGTGACGAGGCGGAGGGTGGCTTCGTGCAGGGGAGAGGCGGGAGAGGAGGAGGTGACCAGGAGGTTAGAGAAGAGAGGGGTGTTGAAGAGGTTGCAGACGAGTTGCAGCATGATGATGCGGAGGGGGTACGGGCAGGAGGAGAGGGTTTCGGAGGGCGAGAGGAAGGTGAGGATGGTCTTGTGGTCGGGCTCCTCGGCGAAGTAGCTGGCTACACGCGGGTCGAGGAAGAGGAGTCGAGCAAGGTCGATGGCGGCAAACACGTTCTCGCGAGGGAGCGCCTGCACGGCGGTTTGGAGGTAGGTGGCGAAAGAAGGCAGGTTGTCAGGGAGAGGAGTGTCGACGGGCGAGGCCGTGCGACGCTTAATGAAGTCGATCATGGACATGAGACGCGGGTCCTCGTGGTAAGGTTGGAGTTTTGGGAGTAGCTTCTCGAAGGGTGGAACTTTCTGATAGAGGACGAATTTGGTGATGGATCGCTGGAGGCTTGGGAGGTGGAGTTGGCGATGGGGATGGGAGGGATGCGCCATCTGCATGAGAAGGCGCACGTTGCCTCGGAGTTGGGATGGGTTTGCGCCGCTCCACTGGTCGAGCTTCGAGCCCTTGAGGAAGGTGATAAAGGTTGGCGTGGCGCGGATGCTGTATTTCATGCCGACATCGCGGGCCGTACTGACATCCACCTTGATGAGGGCAGCCTGATCGCCGGCCTCCTGGGCAAGCTCGTCATATGCAGGGTAGAGTATCTTGCAAGGGGGACATGTCGCCGAAGTGAAAAAGACGATTGCGCAGGACTGCGATGCAGCGGCGAGTTGTTCCTCGAGCTGCGGAACATTACTGGCCACTCGGACAGTGCCGTGGAAGGGTGCAGGCGGCACCAACTGTGCAGTAGCAGCAGCAGCAGAAGAGGAACCATTAAGGTAGGGTTGGGGGGTTGGTGCGGAGCCCTGCACTGTACCGCGAAGAGCCATCTCGATCTGAGGTTTCATCATCTGGCCAAAGGGGGTGTCCAGGAACGTTTTGGGCAAGTTGCGGATGTGATCCGGGATGCTTTTTCCAATCAAGAACATAGACAGGTCTTGAGTGAAATTGTTGCAATTGTGTAGGAAGAGATCATAAGACTAAAATTGGGTTAATACTCTCTGGCCACCGGATACAGTAAGGGCATAATACCTCCGGAGTATAGATCTCTCCAAGCGACGAGATGTACTCTTCGATGACATCGCTGGGCAGCTCTGTCCGGCCCATGTGAAGTTTCTCAATGGGTTGACCATGGTGAGTGCTACCAGGGATGGCGGTTTGAATGCCCTGCCCAAAGAAATATTCCACACCGTTTAGGACTAGAGAAGTATGGTAGATGGCATCGATCTGCGTTCCCGTCAAAGGGAGCGAGTACTAGATTGCGTTAACGTTGCCAACAGAATCAGTCTTGATCCTCTGTACACACCATCCGCGCAAGCCCCTACCAATGTATTAGCAGTCTGTTTTGCAAGCGTAATACGATATCAACTCAGAGTAATCACCTTGGACAAGTCGTACACGTACAGCTCCACATCCATGGTGGCGGATGGACGAGCTGGCAATTAAGGATAAGGTCCGTCGACAGCGTAGAAAAGGAAGGGTTTCAATGGCAAATGATCACCTGAAAGATCTATGCAAGTTGTCTACTCAATCTCTAGTTCGACTCCACCGATGAGCAGGACAAAGTTGCGTTTATCAAGTCCGAAAGAAAAGCAGGCATCACCCGGTTACGTCAGCAACGTATCAGTCACGGGGAAGTCAAGCATTCGGTGATCTTCGATCAACGACCATCTCTTGATCTCTCTGATCCCCGGATTTCGCAATCCAACATGGTCGCCTATGATCTATGACGGGAATGACATGCAATGCGACTAGTCCCGAAACCCTCTTTCTTCAATTCAAAAACCATCCATCTCCCTACCAATGGCTGTCCGCCCCGCGCATCTCTTCTCCCTTTGACATTGTGACAACCACGTCACGCGAATACTGCTCCGCGCGCATCCTCACAGCGATATGGTCAGCAACATACCTAACGGATCGCATCTCCGTTCCACAAACCAACCAGCTAACCAAATGATGCCTCCAGCCTCCCAAAAAGCGCAGTGCGGCATCCGCCGGGTCGGCTCCCAAACGAGCTCGCCAGTCCAAACTCGCCAAAGAAAACGACCTGACCGGCGAAGAAGAGAACGAGATTAAAGAAGTCTTCCACATTTTCTCGACCACGAATGAAGAATTCCCGAATGAGAAGGAAGGCGTGATACCTTGCGAAGACGTTCGCAAAGCCTTGGTGTAAGGCCCCTTCCCTCCTCCATTCTACATCCTCAATCTACCTTCCCTACCTACCTACCTATCCAATCCAACCTCCCAAAACCACCAACTAACCAACAAAACCAAACCAGAGCCCTCGGCCTCTCCCCCTCCACCTCCTCCGAACTAAACTCCATCCTCTCCGCCCTCGACCCCACAGACACCGGCTTCGTCCCCTACGAACCCTTCCTCTCCGTCGCAGCCGCGAAACTCCGATCCCGCGGCGAAGACGCCATGGTCGCCGAAGTCGACGCCGCATTCCAGCTCTTCACGAAGGGCACGGACGGCCCGATCACGATGTCCCATTTGCGACGCATCGCGCGCGAGCTGAAAGAGGAGGGCCTCGGCGATGATCTGTTCCGGGATATGATTCTAGAGGCGAATGGCGGGGCAGGCGTGCAGGCGGGGGTGACGTTGGAGCAGTTCCATGATGTTATGACGAGGGCGGGCGTTTTTTGATAGTTCGGTTGGTTTTGTTTCATATGGTATAGGTGGATGGCGTGTCGGTTTGCTGGGTTATGATTCTTTAGCGGGTGTTTTATGGAAATTAGTGCTCTTCTGTTTATACTCTGTTTCAATATCCAGCTCGTGGGAGCTGTACTTGTACTCTGTGTTATCCTAATGTGAATTACCCTGTGGGTTAGAGCTCGAGGGGTTTATTGCTGGAAGACCTGCACAGCTTCGAATGTCATAACTGCATGTTTCAAAGAATGTCCACTGTATTGTAATAAGTAAAAATACATCTGATGAAATATGTGTGCTTCAATAGACCCAGACCCTCCAACATAGGGCACTGAGTAAATGATAACTGTCAACGCCTTTGGAGGTTGCAACATTGCACCTTCGGGGTATCATAGAACGCTTGGTATACATAATTCCGGTTGGCATTCCGCCAATCAACGGAAAATCATAGAGCAATCTGCACGGAGTAGAGGCCATCATTCGATCTCGGAATATGGCGGGAACTTCTCGGTGGTCGGCTCAGGAGCGGAGACGCTGGTCGCGCGCGAGGTGTCAGAGATGGACCCCTCCGTCGCAGTAGATCGTGTAGATCGGGTGGACATATCCTCAAGGGTGGATGTGGATTCTTCGACTTCGGTGGCGTCAGGTTCTTCCAGGTTTGCCAGCCCAGAAGAGTGTGGCCCAACGGCTTCATAGAATAGCATGAAGACACCGCCTTGGTTCATCACGTTGGATTCGCTGACCATTTGGACATCCTCATCGCTAAGCCTGTACCAACGCTCCGGCTTCTCTTTATCCCCATCCGCCTCTATGACAGACTCTGGGACTTGCACGGGGAAGTTCTCCGTCGAGTACTTTCTGTAACAAATGTAGTGTCCGTTCTCATGACGGCCGTAATGCGTGACCACTGCTCGTAGTTCATACTGGCGGTCAAAAGAACCCGTGACTTTGTCTGCCGGTGGGAGCATCGATTCACGAGGGTCAGTATCCCATGTTTCCGTGTTGTTATCGATGGAATCCGTTGACTGTTTCCCCAAACACCACTGATTCATGTCAAGCGTTTTGGGGAATCGTACTGCGGCGTAGTTTTTTCGAAGCATACCCGTGTTCTCGTCGAACACACTCCGGTTGATGTGAATGGAAAGACATTTCGGTGGTCTTGCGATGACAGCCTGCCTTGACTTGGTGGAGGAGACGCGATTCTTCGCGGGAATGTGGCATTTCTTGGACAGGGTTTTCTCAGCGAAATCTTGCTCTTCAAGCGCTTCCTGCACAGCTTCCAACCGCGCCTGGGCCGAGTTTCGTAGAGCGTCTGAAAGTTTGGGTGAATCGGGAGTGCTGCTCAGACCCTTATCATCTTCAATCTGCTGGAGCAAGTTCTGAAGCTGGTCTTGTGCGTGCAACAAAGTGCACTTGGCGCATTCCACCCCCTCGATCGGTTCGAGGTGCATATAATCATGCAGACAGTCCTGGACATCGTACTCATAGCTTGCGCCAAGAGGCACAGTCAGGCAGTTGAACGGGATGAGAGAAAGACCTTCGGTCCAGCCACATCTCATGCAGCCCACCCTCTGCGCAAGAAGGCCTTCCAACGGGTTACGGAAAGACGGCGGCTCATGGGGTCTGTTCGCTGTTGGAGTCTCCTCCTTTTCCTGAACCGTAGACTCAGACCTGATAACATGTTCCTGTGGCCCTGCAATCTTTAAGCCCAAGTTCCGAGTTTGTCGCTTCGTGGCCTGATGCACTTCGTAGTCGACCTGATCCACCACTTTCGCAAAGTATTCCTGCGCATCCTGCTGCTGCCAGCTGCTCATCGATTTCAAGTCTGCTGGCGTCCACAGGCGCTGGCCATAACAGGATGCACTGTTCAGTCGCCCGATGATATCTTTCAAGGCCTGGTGGGTTGACAGCAGCCCTTTCTCTCCGAGAAGTTCGATGTTGCGCTCAAGAAATTCATCCAAAGACCTGAGCGACGCTAGTCCCTGAATGATACTATTCTGATAGCACGAGTTGTCCCAATTCCCCAACCCCGGCGGCAAGGTATCCCTGTTTCCCAAAATCGCAGTACCAAGACCCGACAGTGCACTTGACCCGGGGAATAGAGAGGAAAAGGAAGAGGAGTTGTCCAGTCCGAAAATTCGTTGCATCGCTTCGCTTTTAGCGGAAAGGCTCATCAAAGGAGAGACGTCGGTAGCCGAATCTGATTTTGTCGCCTGCGGATCTAGAGCAGCGACAATTCGAGAAGGCGTCAGATAGACAAGGATGTCCCAAAGGACGCGGATCAACGAGGCAGGAACAAATCTGAAGTGGTTGAGTATAAGATAGACTGAGATCACCGTCACTAAAATGTAAGCTATGCTTGAATTGCTCTGCAGGTGCTGTATCACAGTGTCATAATGGCTATTTGATGCCGTGGTCCAAGGACTCTGAGTGAGGATATCAACCCCCCCTCTGCGAGCGTTCATGGCTGATAGAAACAGACAGAAAACCACAGCATAGAGACGGCACCGTGGTCTTCATCAAAAGTGAATGACAATTCCCACGGCGTGCATGTATGGTGCCAGACCAACAGCAAATATTGTTTGAAGGCAGCATTGGCCGACGCGGCACTAATAAGATAAACCGGATAAGTAAGCTGCGTTCTGGGTGGTTCCCGTCCACCGGAGAGATCTTTTATCGATAGCCCGGAAGTCTCCACAACAAAATATTCTACCGGCATCATAGACTGCTGGGACATTGTTTTTCTTTTTTGCTCACTCGTGGACAAAGAACCATGGCCAAGACGAGAAGTGAGTGATCTTTTGTGACTATATCTATATTTGGAAAACAGGCGTCCTATTTGTGAATTGCTTCTCTAACTTTACTGGAATTTACTAGCTCAGTCAAAGCACTCCCGCGCTGCGAGGCGGGCAGCTTCGCCGAGTCTTGATGTCGACAAGTCTGTTATGTCCCTCCCGCGGGTCGAGGAGACCGCACTGCCGCGCGATTCAGTTCTTGCCGACCGCGCAAATTCCGGTGTATCTAAAAAGCAGTCGAAGCCTCGGAACAAGTCGCGAGCGCAGCGCCAGAAACAACAGAACGGTATAGAAAGAGCAGAAAGCGTTATGGATCAGATGGAGAAGAAGGTGTCCAACAGTGTCAGCCGCGCAAAAGCCGTGAAAGCACGCAGGGTATGAGCGACGTCAATTCTCCGAGGTGCCGCCGTGAAGCATGTTCTAATCGCATAACACTCTAGGGCGAATGGGAGGATTTGAATCGCAAATCCGTAGCGTCGAAATTCCAAGCTCTTGAGAATGAGGCAGACAACGACGAGGACGATGCTATGGTCGACGACTCCGGACCTCCTGCAAAGACGAGGAAACCCCAGCCTCAGCAAACAATTGTGACCCAGAATCCTGTCGCGGACGAACCGGCAGGCATCGACGAAGATGAGGATATTACCTGAAATTTTAGACGGGGATATCAAATGCAAAGGAAATCTCAGACCGGTCTGGTCGTCTATTTCCTTGGCCTAAGCTGGTTGATCATTCGCTCGATATCCGAGGCGGCAGGTCCGGAAGCTCTCCCACGGAGCAGCTCAAGGGTATTGAAATCTTTGGCCTTGAAGGCTTCTTCGCCGGCTTTTACAATCATTCCGCATTTAACCCACATCTCCACCTTGTCCTCGACGGTCAGGTTGGTGCATTTGGGGACGAACAGTGAAGCAAGCTTTGTGTTTCCGGCGCCCAAAATCTCGTTATAGAAAGGCTGTCATTTTCAGTGAGCTTATGCATTCATAGAAAACAAGGGGGGGAAATGCTCACCTCCCATCCTACCGGCGATTTCTTGTTTTTACCGATCTCCTCTAGTTCACCCCAGTCTCGTTTGGCGACTAGGGCTCTCAATCTCAACCACCAATAGGTTTTCTCTGGCATCTTGAACTCGCTTTGGAGCTTCTGTGCCCTCTTGCCGTAACCCGACCTGATCAGCCTGTAGATAGTCTCATTCAAACTAAGGCCGAGGAATTCCGATCGATCGGTAAGGTCCTTGTCCAGGTTTTCCTGCACCTTCAACAACTGCGATGCTTCGGAGAGTAGTTTCTGTTGTAAAACCACGGTCGCATCTTTCGAGTCCGTTAGCAGGCGAGATGCAAGCTGAATCTTCTCAGTCTTGCGCGGTAGTGCCGTCTGGCTTAATGCCTCCGAGAGAAGGACATTTGAGCCATCGATAGGGCGATCATCTTGATAATAAAGATCCTTCAACAGCTCTGTATCCTCTTCCCGGGCAGTCGTTTCCACAAGTGCCGATGCCATGGGGCGTGTGTTAATCATTCTAAAGAAGCTGGCGAGAGGAAGTTTACTCTTCAAATGTAAGAGAACATAATTAACCAGGTCGTTGTCTCCACTTTCGATAGCCTTGTCAAGGGCTATCTCATCTTCTTCCATGTTCAGCAACAACGGAACCTGCTTTCCGGCGCGCGGCTCATGGTTCAATAGCTGGGTTGCCAGGTGAGACCGGCCCTCATCAAAGGCGGTTTGTGCTATCAGTTCAAACGAGATGCCTGGCTTTCCATCCAGCCGCTGTACAATGAGCTTGCAGACCGCTTCGTCATCGACCGTTGAGACTTTGACCTTCTGGCTAGCCCAGTGAACGTAAATCCGGTCAGCGGGAAGTTGAAGGTATTCAGATATACGGATGGCTAAGAGATATTCATGTCGATTAACCAAGCGTTCAACCAGCTTCTCGGGAGTCAATCGAATGTACTGCTCGTAAGAAATCGGGAGACCTATTTGATAGTCTCTCACTGCCTTCAGAACTCGCAACTTTTCAGTCATCTCAACGAATTCGTCGCTGTTATACAAATCGAGGACTGATTTTCCAAACGATGCAGCTTTCAAGAGCCGCTTCTGCCAGTAGGCGTGAAATTCGTGGCCAGCAGCCTTGACACAGACGTCGACCGCCTCTGGGAGACTCGGACGAATTCTTTGGATGTTCTCATCCGCTTTGGGCGACTTTTTCTCCAGTAAATCTACCGAGTCCAATAAGACCGACGCGGGAGAAGTAGATCCAAGCCGGAAGATCGCTTCTGTCACATCTACATACCATACCGTTAGCCGCTGAATGAAAGAATTCCGCGTGCCAACTCACCTGTAACCTTATGTAGGAACTCGCACGTATCGTTCGTGATCAATCGAACGCCATCAAATTCGGGTATGACATGAACGGTGTCATCATAGTAGTACCTTGTTCGATTAGAGCTGTAGTGCGAAAGTGGAAGACCAAAACTCACCGAGCAGCCACACCACTAGGTCCAATGAGGTGCACTTCATCCTCCCATGCAATCACCACTGCATCGTCGCCACACCAATCGACTGTCCGCGGTGTGACTCGGGATTCAGGGTCATATTCACTGTATTTGCTTTGGAAATCGCTGCTGACAACCCAGACTTTCCCCTCCGCTGTGATGAGGGCCACAAACTTCCCTGTCGGGGATACGCTAGCATGTTTGAACGGGCCATTCTGAAGAACTTTGTCTTCTGCCTCGGTTGGATCTATCAAGTAGACGGTCTTGTCAACCGCCAGCAACACCTCAACCGAGCGAGAGAGTGTAAAAGCTGGAGGAATCAAAGACCACGACGATACCTCGCCTTCGGGGCATGGCGCAAGAAGTTTAGGCCTTGGCTCATCATAATTTGAGACAGCAACCAGCTGGTTATTCGAGAGTAGAGCGACGAAACCAGATGTCCAGAATCGACAAGCCCGGACCCCGTACTCTTCGGAACCCTGGAGAAGTTAGTAATTCTAACATACATAAACTGGGGGAAAATGAAGCCTACATTTCCTAGAGAAAACGACGTGAAATCGCCATGCAGGCCAAAATATCGCCGCACTGTACCATCTTCGGTGATGACTAGCAGCTCTTCCCGGTCCGACCAGCCCAGTCCACGGATCGTACCGTACTCCCACTGGAAGCGATTAGTATCATCCCCAAACAAGGATCCATACGGGTCTACTGACGTTTATTCGGTTAATATGTTTGCCCGAGCATGAGTAGATGTCAATGCTTGTTTTGGCGGTCTGGGCATCCCGAAACCGGAACACCTTGGTCTCATCTCGGTGTAGGGCTATAGACTCGCGTCAGTAAGATTTTTACCACATTGAACAGGTCATGCCATCAATAGATGGTGCAGCGCATACCGATAGCCCCTCCGTACGGAGCGCCAACAACAATGTAGTTCTCTAATTGGACGTCATCGTCAAAGATAGCATCGTAGACGGGCACCTTTCGGTAGAAGCTATCGCCCAGCTTCTCCCAGTTCGCCAGAGGGTTCGACGGCGCCATTTAGGAGGATAGGACCATGGAAGAAGGGAATTGGAAGCTGCAGAGGGAGGGAGAGAGGGAGTGGTCGATGCAGGCACCGCTTTGCTTCTGGTCGGAAGCTCCAGCTCACATCTGCTTCCCGGCGCTAAACCGCGTTGGGCGTCCTCCTACCGTGACTTGGCCAAGACCCGTTATGTCTTTCTCTTCTCCGGACTCGCTCTGGAATTGAACTATAACTGGCCACCATGAGGAGGGATGCAGGCGCAGGGTATCATGGATGATACATTGGAGATTACCAGTTTAGCCGTGGAACTGTCGGATCTCGAGGTTGCCCTTTTGCTTTGTCTGGCAGTGCGCGAACATTGCCGTATCGATACCACGACCGAGAACATTCATGACGTTGCTAGAGAGCTCGCCCTGGTAACTTTGGACCGATCGACTGAAATTAAGCCCACTAGCAGCTAATGGTTACCTAGATCTGTACCAACACTTTTAATCTTACATATGCGGTTCTCGATTGCTCAGAGGCCACATCATTCGATGATTTCTGCTCTGACATCCTGCCAACGGACGCTCGCAGAAGATCGGCGACTATCAGGGCCGCAGCTGAGCACAGGGTAGTCGACGTGGTGATAGCCAAGAATTTCAACCATGTCGCTGAATATATTCAGGTTCAAGCTCTTGAGGTGAGCATGTGGCGACCACATTCTTGAGTTCGACCTAACTGACCCGTTTCTAGTTGATGCGCTCGAAGAAACTGGCCCTCAAAGATGGGGTGCTCGAGGCTCCGGCGGATTTTCTCTTCGTGCCTCTCTTAGCTCGTCGCTCAGAACAGGATCAACCGAAGTTGAACCCTCACTTGGTTGGTTTGCTTCCTTAGAATGTCATAGTCTTCGGTACTGACGCAGCTAAGAACGACCATTTCATCATCTCCCATTTTCATGATGACACCGATGGTTACATCTACTTAGAAGAAGACGACGATTGGCTGTCAGACAGTCAAATGTCGGCATCATCTGTTGTGCGCAAATCCTCAGCACCGCAGAACAAGCGCAACCCCAACATCGACCGAAAGGTAAGTTCGGTTCACATGCGTATGACAAACCATCTAATGTATCACCCAGACCCTAGATAAACTGAAACGAGCCAGCAATGCCGTAACAGCTGGGGCCGACATTGTCCGGTATCAGCAGGATATTATTGTGTTCTTTCGTCTCAGCCGTGCAGTCGCAGGAGGCATATCAGTTCGCTCTAATATCCACTTCAAAACACTTTCAAAGTATGTCATAGCCCGAACATGCACCCTGGGTCTTGCTGACCAATGAAACAGACTGCTAGCTACGCTCCACGGGATAGATTATCTCACCCCATCTATCGTGGCCTTAGCCGCAAAGAAGGTCTTTCGGCATCGAATCATCGTGGCTAAACCAGAAGATGACCGCAGTCTCCAGTATGGGAGTGACTTGAAAACGGTGTCTCAGGTTCTTGCTTACGCTACTCCCGATACTATATTGGAGAGTGTTCTTGCTCTTGAGACTCCTATCTGATATCTGGACGGATGGCTGCTGGCGGTCACGACCAGCTAGAGTCGAATGTAATTTATTTGTTTCCAGTATGTCCTATATTGAAATTCTATTTCTCCAAAGAAGATTCAACCAATTGAAGGATGCCACCCAGCATATTCAACACCAAATCAAGCACTCCATCCAGAAGACCCCCAGTAAACGCTAACAAGCATTCCAAAGAAGTCACCAAGTTATCCAACACGTCCACCAAAGTGCACTGTCCTTCATCCTTCTCATCCTCATCATCATCGCTGTCACTGTCACTATCACTATCGCTGCTACTGCTGCTACTGCTGCTGCTGCTGCTACTGTCGCTATCACTCTCACTCTCGTCATCCTCCGCATCACCATCCCCACTTCGCTTCCTCAACCACCTCCTCCTGATGTTTTCCAGACTAGTCGCGTTCGCGTTCGCATTCCCACTCCCGATCCCATTCAATTCTCGACATCTGAACATCCCAACAGAAACCTTCTCTCTCGACCGCTCCATCGCCGCCTTCACGGCCTGCACCTTTTCAGCCAACTCGCCCACGTCGACATTCTTGTTGCTGATTTGAGTCTGAGGCGTGTTTGCTTGCGTTCCGTTTCCGTTTCTGCTTTTGACGCTGTGTGCGTGACTACGGCCGTGGATCTGGGTATGATTGTGTCCATGACTATGTCCATGGCTAGGAGTATAACCCTTCCCATCTAATTGTAACAAGCGCTCCAAGATCGGGGATATGCGTGTCAACGTGTGGTTGAGTTTCTCGAGGTTCACGCAGTCAGGGAGGTTTGGTCTTGAGGTTCGCGGTGGAAGGTGTGTGTGCGTGTGCATGCGCGCATGAGCGTGGGTATGACCATGGGCATGCGCGATATCGAAGGGTAAGAGGAGGAAGGTGGCGAGGAGGATGGAGAGGATGGGAGGCCATTTCATTTTGTTTTTGTCTTGGTTCTCAGATGGTGGTTGTGTTTGAGATTGTTTGGATATGGGGACTGAGTTATCGAGATGAACTAGACAATGTCCAACAAAAATGGATGAATATTAGAATGAATAGGGATATTCAAAGTAGATAAAGAAACCACTACGGGCTATAGACACTTCTAAAAGGGGGAATCATTGCTCTTAATTAGGAAATTAGTATCAGAACTGAGACTGAGTTTTGGATATGTCACTTGTTGGCTGGCTGTCAGGGACATCCTTGCCGGAACCAGCTACGCCACTGACTTGCTCCCCTGACGATCGTTTGGTTTTCGACCAATTTGATCTTGACTTGGGTTACCTATCCTATTTAGTTTCTTCTGCATACAGTAAATGCTTGCGCTGTCTGGGATTGTCAAGGGTTGTTTTACTCTTGGCATCCTGGCGGTCGGACAAGTTAATAACATCTACAAGATTGATATCACCTGCTCCTACCCAATACTTTGCAGTAAGATCTACCACCACAGTGAGCCAGATCCCAACAACCCTCACCCCCTCGCCATCCTCGACCTCACCTTCAAAAACATATCCGGAGGCACGAACCCATTCCTCGACGCATTATTGACAACCCCAGCCCCAAGCCCATCACCAGTTACCTGATCGCCCGACTCCAGCTCAACAAACCGCATTAATCGACGCCACTCGTCCAGCACAACATCAATCTCAGTCTTAGCGTCGCCAGCAATAGCGTCCATCTTGATGTCATTGCGGTCGTAGCCGAAGGGGTCTTCCAGCTGGGAGCCAATCCCTTCGATGCCGTAGAGAGTGAAGATCACGAGACTGACGATGGGGACAGTCCACCAGCCCATGTCGTCGACCATGCCGAAGGGGAGGACGCAGCCGAAGAGAGCGAGGACTTGTTTTTGGTGGATTCTATGGGAGTAGTTAGTAAGTTTGGCTCAGTGTGGTGCGAAGATAGGTATATAGTAGACGAGAAGGCGGACTCAAAAGGACTCAGAAGAGAAGGAGACGGGAAGATGGTGAGGGAAGACTCACAAATGCGCCACCGGAATCGGAGTCAACCCGATCGTCTCCATCTTCCCATACGCATCCATCAAGGTATTCAATTGCGCCTGCATCTGACTCGAACCAGGAGCATTGAACCAACCCCGATCAACACCCCGCTTGATGAACCCATCCACAAGGAACGTCAACTGAAACGGTAACCCCAACCCCTCATCTTCATGGCCTTCCAGACCCGCAGGCAAAAGGCTCGCATAGTCGGGGTTATACGCGGCGATGCCGTCCTCGCCGACATCGCTCCCGAGAGCCCAAGCAGCACCCCATTCGGCACGGAGATGGTTCTTGACGGCATAGGGAATCGCCATGAGTATGCGGATGGTGCGCTCGATGTCCTCCTTTTCAGCGGCAGAGGGGGCTCCCTTGCTGCTGTATCCGTGCGTGACGATGGTGCGCACCAGGTTCCGGATGCTCGTGGAGATGGTATTCATGGCGTTTCGACCATCCCAGAATCGACTATAGGATGTTTGGTTGCGGAAGACCAGCATCAAGCCGACGACGATGGAGAGAGAGGGGATCTAGCTTGAGTTAGAGGTGTCGCTGAACAGGCTTCTGGGAGGGAAACATACAATACTATTCGGAAGGCCGACGGTATCAAAGATATACAAGTCAAGACAGACGACGAATGCCGAAAAGATAGCATGCAACGTGACCGGTAGCAGAATGGCGCCGTGGATGGCGCCCTTGACGAACCGAAGAACTAAAGGCCATCTGTGGCGGATAACATCATGTCAACGCGGGTCCAAAGCGTCAACATGAACAAGAGAATTAAAGCTCGCGAGTGGATACCTTCGAGGCTTCCTCCGAGCCGACAACAGATGCGGATGCGTGCCCTGGCGATAATGATGAGGATGCTGATGGCCATTGAGGAGGCCGGTATTTGGCCGACTCAGAATAGGCGTCGGGGGTTCGCTAAAATTCAATGTCATCGAGAAATCTTTGTTGCCAAAGACTAGAAAACGGACAACAGTCTAGTAGTCTAGGGTACTCCGTGTGTTGATCAACAAAGCGAGAAAAACGAGCCTAGCGGTCAGCAGTCGCGGTTTAATCTAAATGAATCTAAGGCGTGCTTGGACCACCTTGGACTATCTACAAGACTACAACAACAAAGACCTCAACAACACAGCCCCAGCTCTCGTTATCCGGACCTACTGGAGGGGCATATCAAAACGCCCCACAAATCACATTAGCAGCCAAGCATCTGCGCGCTGATGGAGTGCCGACTGCCGGTGCAGACTCGACCGATGGTTGGCGCTTTGTATGGCGATCTTCTGTGAAATGACGTTGTGGCTGGCATGTGCACTCCTCGATGAAACTTGCTTCGTCTAGCAAAACATAGTGTACCTACGATGGTGTACGGTGTAGAGATGAGTGGTGATGCTTCTTGAACCTCCTAGTCCCCAGAAGCGCTAGTATGTGCGCAGGATTCGGTTTAGAGATAAGATGAGCCTCTCTTATTAGTTCTTATAGCACCCTATAGTTATGAGCGAGTACAAAGCAAACATGCCAACTTTTCGCTGTATCAAATCCAAGTGATAGTATCCTGCAATACGCGGGTTTATCCATCAATCAATCAATGTAGCTACATACAAGATAAAAAGGTGCCCGCTTCCCCTATGCATCACGAATCAATTGTTGCCTTCGAATGAATTCTGCAAAACAATGCCCAACTCTGTATGGCCCAGGTTGACAATGCATGAGGGATTAGGGGTTCGGTCGCAATCGTATGGACTCTGTCTCTCTGTCTTATTGGTCCTGGTGTGCATGCCGAAAGGAAATATGTTATGAAACCCCCGTAAACAGGCTGGTAGACAAGTTGGAGTAAGTTCCGTTTAGCAAAAAGAGCGGTTGAATGTCGGCAGTGTTGGCCGACACGAGTTTCGAGCGAACCGGTCTACATCATCAGGCGGGTCTGGAATTGCCCGGGCCCGTGGTCGCTCCGGCGCGTTGTCTGCATCGGGGATTCTGTGACCAGGGCACCATCAGGAACTGCGTCAGGAGAGGAGATTCAGCCTACTGCATATAGACTTTGATTATCGCTGTGTATGCGAGGCATTCGTCTGATCTCGGTCGGCTTTGAAATAGCCCTACTGCGTATCGCTGGCCATCATCAAACTGGTGAACGGCTTCCCACATCTTTTTTATCCAGCATCCAATCGGAACACTGAATTGCCTCGGTGTCCTCAAAGTCCATGAAGGTACCGACCCAGGTATCAACCGGAAACCACACCATTCCGTTGGCAGGTGGATCAGGTGGCACAAATGGAGCATCAGGCGTGACGAAGTAACCAAGCACGCGGAATGGAAACGTGAAGATGTAAGGAAGCCAGTCCATGTGGAAATGTAGTGAGTAGTCTTGATGTGTTGTAGAGGTTTCTGAAAAATGCTCTTGGAGCGATAATGTTTGGAAGAGATGTGGTTTTGCAGAAAGGAGGAGTCCACAAAGCTGTTGGTAAACGGGCCACTCAATTTTGACTTCCACAAAGTAACCAACCTCCCTTAATTGCGCTGGAATGGTTGCTTAGTCTCTGTATATGCGGAGTAGGAAAGAGCAAATGAAGACATTACCGGAATAGGAAGACCCAGCGCGTCTGGAACAAAATGGATCTTATTCAGTAGAGTCTTACCCAGTAGAGAAGTTCATAAGAAGGATGAAGAGGCTCCCAAATCGACACTTAGAAAAAAGAGAGATAGAGTAGGGGAGCACGAAGAAAACATTAGCAAGGGAATCGATAAATCGTAAGTGAAAGCCTTGTCTTAGAGTGGGTTCAAGAACAAACAAAACAGATCATTGTGAAATCTTCATTTCATGGGTTTAGAAAACAATGCTATGCGTACATGTATATGCTCGACTAACGCTAAGGAGGCAAAGGGATGATGAAAAAGGGACGAAAAAGAATAGGCCATGTCCAAAAGAAAAAGCCAAAGTAGCAGGCTTTAGAAATCATCCTGCGATGTGTGGCCGTCGACAGTATAAACGCCAGCCTTATCCAGAACGCAGAAGCCATGCATGGATCAAAAGTTCAGATCGATGGTGGGTAGAAAAACGCAAGGAAACGGGTTCGGGATGATGACGGTCAGATGTATAGATCAGACGATAGACTCAACGGCCCTGGTTGAAAGGGTAGAATGGATTCAAACAAGGCTATATTTGCAGCGTGATGGGGTATAATTTTCAGATGTCGGGGAAATGTAATATAAAGTTGTATGTAGGCTGTGCGATGCAACGTGGTCGAACGTCAATGCCAGTGATGAAAGGTGGATTAAACAAATAAAATAAGGTAAGATAAAGAAAGTATTCCGACAAGCGGAAAAGGTTGTAGACGGCGTCCATGTTGACATAAATTGTTGTGTCGGCCGCATTGCGCCGAGAGATTCGCAAATCTCAATGATCGCATAGGTTTGTTGGTAATGCAGAAACAGTTGAGGCGGATGGTGCTTCGGATTCCCCCCTAGATCTGTCACGACATGCTAGCCCGACCGTCAAATGCTAATGGTCCGGAGTCATTCTGTGGTGTCAGAGGATTGTCATCAGATGATTCAGAGCGGACAGGCGTATCAGAGCGAAGCTGAGCCTGTCGGCATTGAACAGGAGCGGAGGTTTGGCCTACAGCCTGCCAACCGGGCATGTCGGCGCTGGTGTGCGTAGGAACAGTCTCGAGGTTCGAGCTGGTGGCATGTTCTTGAGACGCTTGAGCAGCCTCTCGCGCAGCCTCGGAGTCGTTTAGACGCATGCTTTCGATATTAGCAGCGAGGCCTGCCTCAGAAGGCAGGCCATTCACCGCTTCCTCCACCGAGCTCATGGAATGGTTGGTGACATGGTTGCTTCCAGACGACGTGGGGTGTGCTTCCGGTCGAATATCCTCCGATGAGGACGAAGGCTTTTCCTCCGCCGCGGAGCTCTTCTGTTCGGTGTCCTCGCCTTCAAAATCATTCGAGTCGTCGACTTCGGCGCTGAGATCCGTATAGGCGCGACAGTTAGGACATTGGAACATTGGGTAGTCGGGTGTGTGAATAAGGCGCATGATGCATTTGTAATGCCAGACGTGGGCGCAGGCTGCCATGAATAAACACTGGTAGGGCCGCTACAACGAGAGTTAGCAAATGAATTCCCAGATACCATCTCTCTATTAACGAAAGACATACCAGGACAGAGCCCAGGCAGATTGAACATTCCCGACATCCAGCATAATCCGCAGCCTCTCCCTTCCCCAGATTCTTGATCAGACTTTCGGTGTTTTTGCTGAGCCCCTGTTAGCACCATCCTGGTTGAAAATCCACGGTCGGGAACCCCATACTTAAACTCATTGGGCTGCTGTTGCCACGATCGGTTACACTCGATCCGTATGCGAACACACCGAAAGATCATTTCTTCGCCACCGCGAAAATCAATACCAAGTTGCACAATATCCCCATCCTTCACTGTGTAGAGCCTCGAGGCCATGTTCGGCTGGCTCAGTCGCATGTGGTTCAGAAACGTTCCGGAGGAACTGCCAACATCTTTGATGTGCCATTGCCCATTGACGTACAAGAACTCGCAGTGTCTCCGACTCACAACCTTCGACTTAAATCCCACGGGCGCATCCGACGGTTCTGTCGGATTGGGCTGCGGCAGACCATCGCGCTCGGAGTAGCGACCGACCTTGATGATGCAACTTTCCGACGGGAGCGTTCGCGAGACAGGGATGAAGGGCAGAGACGGTCGGGCGCTCGACTGGGACTCCTGGTGGGGGAAAAACCGAATGGTCGCCTTCTGTCGGGGTTTAGGGGATGAGGAAAAATTTTCGGTCGCGACGGGTTCAGGAGAGTCGAAGAGGGCACTCTGGAGCTCAGCCGGAGCGGACGTGGGAGCGCCCTCGTCTGCTCGAGACTCAGGCTGGGAGGATCCCCTTAGCCGCGCCATCGATTCTTGCGAGAAACTCTGAGCGAGATCGGTGGAAGGAGTCGAACTCGAGGATTCGGAGTGGCGCGATTCAAAGGGCCACTCAATTTGTAAGCCGCGGAAGCTTGACAAACTGGTCGAACTATTGTTGCGGGCGGACAGTTCAGGTTCGGGGCATGGAGCCGGGTTATTGCTAGGCGTCTCCACTATCGAAGCGTCTTCAGAATCAGAAGAATCGTCCTCGATGACGGTGAGGAACGGCGCAGGACACAGGCGATTCACTCGACTGCCCAGAGTGTTTTGGCGGGTGAGACGCTGGGAGAGAGGCTGAGGCGAAAGATGACCGTGTGTATAGGCACGCAGCTGGCTCAGTCGGCGGAGGGGTCCAGCACGAGAGTCGGCTGGGACTGGGAGGTCGCTGTTGGAGGCGGAGGCGGCAACGAAGGTCGACATCCCTGCCGATGTGCCTTTGATTGGCCCTGGCGGCGCTTCTTCTCTTTTTTTCCTTCTTTTTTTTCTGTTCTTTTCTTTTTTTCTTTTCCCTTTTCTCGTTTTCTCGTTCGCCGTTTCTTTTGGTCAAAGTAATCAAGAGCCAAGGATTCCGATGAAGTTGTACCACCAAGATCTTAAAGTCAGAAGTCAAGAGAAGATTGAAAGATTGGAAGATGAGAAGAAGGAAAGAAATTTCGTTCCTGTCTTTGCTAAAAGAAGATAAGAAAAATAGAATAAAATAAAGTAAATCACAATCGGAAATTCGAAATATCAAAAATATTATTTCTAATTATGTTTAAATAATATAAATCTTCTGGTACCGGTCAGAAGAATTTTTCTATGGCGAAATCATGGAATGGCCATGCCAATCTCCAGTTAGCCACCCAGACCACAAGCTGGAACTCGTGGGATCGTCAACGAAAGCCCTAAATTGGGATCTTCTTCTGGGAGAATAATTCCAGATCGGTTGGCTAAGTGGACTCTGCGATGGAGCACGGCAATGGTTCGGTGGAGAGATCCGATCGAGATGGAATTGAGGCCGATTTAGTAATTTAGTAGACGGGGCAAGATGCGATCGGCAATAAAGAAAGGTGAAGGTGAAGGGAGAGTGACTGCTGAGAGGAAAGAATTCGACATGGCGTAGGAATAACGAATGAATGAAGAAGTAACGAGTTGTTCCCAATCGAAAAGAATGAGGGCATTCATACCTGAGCTGTCTCGTTGCAGAGAGACTATGCGAGTCAGGTATGGCAAGATCTACTCGGTGGGGCGACGAGGAATGCATGTTCGAACACGGCACAGAAAAAGACCACACCATAAACAAACCCCCTCGACTTGTTGTCCCCGGCAAGTTAAGTTTTCCTCTTAACCCAATTGACGCCTTGCCTCGTGGGTCCTCCTCCTGAGTCCTGCAGACCATGGTAGACCGGCCGATTCGGTTTCTTTCATCGGTGGAATTCCAGATTCTCGTCCGCTACTTTACCACGTCTGCTGGACCTGTTGGTAGATACCGCTCAGTGTGTACGATCTACACACTTCATCGATGGAGACCGGCACGGCAGACCGGCACCTGCAGGATACATCATCAGTGCAGGACGAGTCGACGACATAGCATGATGCCACTCTAAATCCTTCAATTGGGACCGCCCAAGCTAAATTAGGGAGACCCATCCACCAAAGCGAACCAGACCAAAACCATCCACGATCAGGTCACGGTCCAGGGGAAAACCAGGACGACCGCCGAGGTCTCCCCTTCAGCTCCACCTTGACCATACACCGTGTACGAATTCCGGTCCAAGGTAATAGAAACACAAATCAAATCATAATAATATGAATAAGATATCATGAGGCCAAACCCACTCACTCGTACGGTGCACGTTCGACGGCATCCAGCCCTTCCTGCGGGGTTCTGCAGAATTCCGGGATTGTTGATTTGGCGCTCCCTTGGCCTTCTCCTGCGCTCCGTGTGACGCGACAAGTCGACCCGGCTCAGGTGGTCGTCCTCGTCGACTTGGTCCTTCTGGCTTCGTCCTTACGCCGGGCGATCGCAGTGACATGTTCTTCGAACCGATATAATTTTGCGCCTCGTGTCTCGGCACCACCCGATCAGTTAACTGTCAGAGCGTGAGGGCCGTGCTTTTTTCTCTGAAGTGTCAACTGTCAAGTCTAAGTGGTCGCTTGATGAACGATTCTCCTGCCTATTAAAGGGACCACGATGAGTCTAGTCGATCTAGTCGGTAGTTGCAGGGAGTTCGTGCAGGAGGGTCAGAAAAACTCATCTATGCTCTTCTTACTTCGTACCGTCTGCGATAGTTACCTCCGCCACATCATGTCACGTTTTCATGGGTGTATCGACTATGGCGTTGACTTGATCCTTTTGCTGATCATCCGTCTCTTTCTTAGTAGTCTGGTGACTAGGTCGCATCACGACCGTCGGCAAAGGCAGAAACCATCTCACCGAATCAACCGTATCTGTTGGTGTACACGGCCATCATCATTGTTGCTGTTCAATCTGATGTTTCCTTCTCGAACTCTGTTCGCGGTGGCAAACCCAACAACATTCATAATTCATGCACGTAGCAATCGGTCTCGTTTAGCATGGGCGTTACATTCCAGTCTCTACAAACAACCTTCTCTGGCACCTGCAGACAGATCTCCCAGAACAGGCTCCAAGTAAGCAATGACATCATGTGATGGGCCCTGTTTATCTGGAAGCAGGAATAGCACACTAGTTCGGTTCGGGCTAGTCAGGGACTGGGGTTCTGCTCTGAATCTTTGGTAACTTGCCTTGACATCATATCCAATATATTATTAATATCACCTGAACAAGATATCGCTTCTGCAATTTTCCGATTTACAGGCTCAGTGATGTGTTTTCTCATTGTCTGTCTCGCCATTTTAGGGTTTTGATAGTTCATCGTTAAGATCGTCAAACCACGGTTGGGACATCTACGGGCCGCAGACGGTGGCAGTAAATAGTCGGTAACTCTTCAATTCTCTCGAATTAGAATAGCTCAAAAATTGGTTGCCGTAGAGCCCTGTCATTGTCTTGTATGCTCAGCCTCCTCAACAGACACTCAATTCCTCGGTTTAAAGCCTCGACCCAGAATAAGTCTGGGAGAAGGATACGGCCATGCTTTGACAAAGAAAAGGCCACCAGTAATCGGGATCTTTTTCAAGGCCTCAAGTGCTGAGTATAACCCATATAGGTATGTAGCACCTAGAAATGATGGCTATATTTCTTGTGATGTCGAAAGTTACTGGCTGAGACTTTTCTCAATTCTCTGGAGGTTTCACTATTTTAGGCTTATATCGACAGAGAATATATCGACTCTCATCACCATTGTCCACATTTACTTCTAGTTTGGCGAAGCTGCGATGGTGAACGGAGGGGAGGCGGATGGCCCGGAATACTTCGTCCACTTGACCATCCAAAGTGAGTTTACCATTTTACACATATATTTAAGTCTGAGCCTGGTTGAGGAATAACCAGCTTACTGGGGAGAATATCCCAGGGAAAGGGCCTTACGCAAGATATACTACCTCTTAACCAGCTAAACAAAACAAACGAGCAATAAACGGAAACACCAATTGAGCCGTTTATAGTCTCCAATGCCAAGACGTGGCATGAAACTATTCCGAGCGATCGATGACTCAAATCCAAGGATGTGCAACTAGTTGCACACACCATGAACACTAGTTAAGAATTGCAACGGGAGTGGTTCGCCTTCCAAGGATTGTTGATACATTCCATGACTATCACACGGGGTGCGGTGTTCCCGATGATTAGCTTCCGAGGTGGGCCAGGATGACCCCATGCCTGCTTACGGAGTGTTGCAGGTGCTGTGTGGTTCGCGCGATATGCCGTCACTACTGTACGGAGTAGGTAGAAAGTGAAGACATTGACGTAGATAGAGGTATAGTGCCGATATGCTAGTGGCGTTAGATAGTCCGGTGTTCGATTATAAGACGCTCCTATTTAATGACACACCCCCACACCCCGTCGGCAGGAGTCAAAGGGACCAAGGGATAGGTAAGGATGAGTTGCTGAATGGACTGCCAAGATCCATCAAATGCCAGGATGGGACAGGATGGGATAGACAGATAACAGTCGGACTTAAGGAGGTCCGCAGTTGGCAAGCGATCAATAGATAAATATTTATCCCTTCATTGGTATGGATGTGAAGAAACTGTCGATGGGAGATCGACTTCCTTCCGGGATGAAGTGCATATAGCGAGTTTAAAATTAGATTGGTAAGACAAGAAGGAAGTAAAGCCTGTAAAGGCGTGGTCGTGACCGAGGTGGAAGAGTGGTGGTGATGGACGAGCGATGAGCTCCCTCCAATCTGCGTGTGATCATTAGCCCAGTGACCACCGCTAGTCGCATACTAACTCAATGCTAACTACTCACCTGCCCGTCCTCCCATCTTCTCATCTTCTTTCTACCAACCACCTCCCTCCTCCTCCATTATCTTCGATTTCCCCCCTTTGGCGGGTTATCAACTAAAGAAAATTCCAAAAATTAGAAAAAAAGAAAAAAGAGAGAGAAAGGATCGAGGGAGAATAGGTTGACATTCCGAAATCTCCCCTCCTATCACGCGCCGTTGCTTGTGCTCCCGAAAGCTCCAACTTTTGAGGCGGATGCAGAGCCTCCCAACCTCGCCTTAGTCTCATCGCCAATCGCCTTCCCTCATTTCCCGCGTTTCCTTTTTCCTCCGAGTTCGTCATTCATCCGCCGCTTTATCGACTTCATCCTTTGAACCGATAAAAGAAACGAATCAGCCAGGGAATCACACCGTCGGCTGCTCTCCCCGGTCGGATTGGGCATCGGTTCCACCTCCTTTGTTTTTGATTGAGCTAGACGCTTGCGGGGCCGCAGTTTGGTCCTGCGGGCCTCCAATCTTGAAGGCATGGGTGGCATTGTGAATACCTGCTTTTCCTGCCTGTCGACGGTCGACCGCTGGTGTCATATCACCGCTTGTCTCGGTGGTGGTCGCTCGAGGGACGGGATCTACGAAACGACGCTCGCCGACAATGAGCGGGAAGCTGTCTCCGACTTGTTGGGCTATCTTGAGAATGTAAGTTGCGTCGCGGTCATTCTGTTGACTTCTCGCCCAATGTGTTGCTCTTATATTCTGGTTTCTGACGATGTTTCTTTGACTAGAGAGCCGAAACCGATTTCTTCTCCGGAGAACCCCTTCGCGCGCTGAGCACTTTGGTCTACTCCGACAATGTGGATCTTCAACGCAGCGCCAGCTTAACGTTCGCTGAGATAACAGAAAGAGGTGTGTGTGGTTATCTATAGGTTGCTCTACAACAGCTAACTCTCTCGGTTCTCTAGACGTGCGCGAAGTCGACCGGGACACCCTTGAACCTATCCTCTTCCTTCTACAGAGCTCCGATATTGAAGTCCAACGGGCTGCTAGTGCGGCTCTTGGTAACCTGGCTGTAAATGGTTCGTACTGGTCGCATCACTCATCGGTCGGGGTCTCGCATGGCTAATACTTCATAGCGGACAATAAGGTGTTGATAGTCGCCCTGGGAGGGCTGGCCCCTCTAATACGGCAGATGATGTCTCCCAACGTCGAGGTCCAATGCAATGCAGTCGGTTGCATTACCAACTTGGCTACCCACGAAGATAACAAGGCGAAGATTGCACGCTCGGGTGCTCTTGGTCCGTTGATCCGCCTGGCCAAATCTAAGGACATGCGCGTCCAACGCAATGCGACCGGAGCATTGCTCAACATGACACACTCCGGTAAGATGGTGATCTGGGCAGTATCGTTTATACTCTGGTCTGACTTGATGGGTAGATGACAATCGGCAACAACTCGTGAACGCTGGCGCCATTCCTGTGCTGGTTCAACTGCTCTCCTCCACCGACGTTGACGTACAATACTACTGTACAACAGCACTCAGCAACATTGCGGTCGACTCTACAAATCGGAAGAGACTTGCTCAAACCGAATCACGCTTAGTCCAGTCCTTAGTACATTTGATGGACTCGTCCACACCCAAGGTTCAGTGCCAAGCCGCTCTCGCCCTCCGAAACCTTGCGTCCGATGAGAAATACCAGCTCGAAATCGTGCGCGCTAAGGGTCTTCCTCCCCTCCTTCGTCTTCTACAGTCCTCCTACCTCCCCCTCATCCTCTCCGCTGTCGCATGCATTCGCAACATCTCCATCCACCCTCTCAACGAATCTCCGATCATCGATGCCGGCTTCCTCAAGCCCCTGGTGGACCTTCTTGGCTCCACCGATAACGAAGAGATCCAATGCCACGCGATCTCGACTCTGCGAAACCTTGCGGCCAGCTCCGACCGTAACAAAGAGCTGGTCCTTCAGGCTGGTGCAGTGCAGAAATGTAAAGACCTTGTATTACGGGTGCCACTCAGTGTCCAATCTGAGATGACGGCTGCAATCGCTGTGCTGGCCCTCAGCGACGAGTTGAAACCCCATCTCCTCAACCTTGGGGTATTCGACGTTTTGATTCCCTTGACCGAGTCGGAGAGCATCGAAGTGCAGGGCAACAGTGCCGCAGCTCTGGGAAACCTATCCTCTAAAGGTACGCTTAACATACATACAAACCCAATTCCCTCCATCTGGACTAACGAGGCATTGCAGTCGGAGACTACTCGATCTTTGTTCGGGACTGGGCGGATCCCAATGGAGGAATCCACGGCTACTTGAACCGCTTCCTTGCAAGCGGCGACCCCACGTTCCAACACATTGCCATCTGGACCCTTCTCCAGCTACTTGAATCCGAAGATCAGAGGTTGATCGGATATATCGCCAAATCGGAAGACGTCGTACAGATGGTCAAGAACATCTCCGACAAGAACATCGAGTCCGATGACGATGAAACCGAAGATGGAGAGGGTGAGGTTATTGCGCTGGCACGACGATGCCTCGAGTTTCTTGGAAATGGACCCCGACAAACCCTTGTCGAGGGTTAGTACAAATATCACACTGCCTGGATAAGGCCTACGTCATATTATTCATCCCCTCAAACGCAAGTCTATAATTGGCATCCGGTCCCCTGTTGTCGTTGGTACATCGATCTTCACTTATTATTGGTGTTAAGCGGGCATTTCTCTTTGGTGTCACTTTTTTCTTCTGTCAGCGAGCATCCGGTGTGATAGGATTCATCTGCCCTTGTTGATTATCGCCATTCCTGCCATTTTGTACGTTTGAGGGCTGCTGTGCTGGTTATACTTGTGGTTGACGTTTGTAATTATCCCAGCAACTGGCCTTATATTTGACTTGTAGTGATATTGATATAGTGTAAATTGTTGCCGCGGTTATGCAAGCCAATTAATCGACATACGTTTGTCTAGAGCGAAGCGAGAGTGCCAGTGATGTTAATTGTTAACAGTAGTTGATGGATAGTACTGATCGGAAGTCGGCGAAACCATTGGCCCGAGCTGGTCTCATCTGGTTTTCTTTCGCTTGATATCCACCAACGGGACGGAGCTCTGCATTTCTTTCTCTAGCCATCCCTGTCTTGTTCATTCTCTCCCCGCTTCCCAAGAGCTGCCAGACGAAATGACGAGCGCCCTACCAGCTCTAGCGATTCCCGGCCAGCGCCTGGGCCCAATTGCCTCCTACTCTGCCGGGCCCGGCACCCACGTGCAGAATGCCAATATCTACGCCTCAATCGCCGGCCCCGTGGTGCTCGATCCGGCGCAACCCAGCTCCAAAGTGAAATCTACGCTCAGCGTCTCCCGGAGCCTCAACCGCCACCCGACCCCATCCTCCGGCGCAACCAAGCCCGCCACCTCGAAGCCTAAATACAACACCCTCCCGGCCGTCGAATCCGTCGTCCTGGCGCGGGTCACGCGCGTCCAGAAACGCCAGGCCACTGTCTCCATCCTCGTCGTGCTCGACGACTCGGCATCAGCCAGCAATGCGCAGCTGCTTAACCCGGCACAAACCACCTCCGACAACGACAACATCGCCTCGATCCTCACCTCGGCCGCCAACCCCGAGAACCACAGCAACTCGGACGAGCTGCGGTTCCAGGCGCTGATTCGCAAGGAGGACGTGCGTGCCGTCGAGAAGGACCGCGTCGTCATGGACGAGATGTTCCGGGTTGGTGATATTGTGCGCGGTACGGTCATTTCTCTCGGCGATCAGAGCTTCTATTATATCACTACGGCGAGGAATGATCTTGGTGTTGTCATGGCGCGCAGTGAGGCGGGTAATATGATGTTCCCTGTCAGTTGGAAGGAGATGAGAGATCCGGCTACGGGGGCTGCGGAGTTGAGGAAGGTCGCAAGGCCTTTTTGATTGAAGTGTCCAATTCGTGAGGGGGATTCAACCTTCTTTCTGCTTTCTCACTGATTGCCGCTTTTCACTCCGTCACGCCTGTCAGAGCACTCTGTCGTTATGCTCTGGCCTTGCTGTCTAGGCTGCCACGGATGATGTGAGTCTGGGTGGATGACAATTTCCGGTCTTCCAGCTGCCGGCTTGATGTTTTCACACTAGTCCTGTCCGGTCAGTTGGCCTGCGAGGACCTGCTCAGAGCGGTTCTTGAACAGATACATCACTCGACCAAGGGGTTGCCATAGATCGATCTCTTCGATGAGCAGCGACACTTATGGACGCATGCTCTACACACTTCGAACCATAGAAGGTTCTAACATGATCATCGCATTCTGTGATGACGCGCTGATGAATTCATGAACCACTAAATCAAATCGATAGAATTCTGTCTCCCCAGGAGGAGACGGTATTAATGAAATACATTCAAAAGAGTTTTTTCCACACATAGTAGATTTCAGTTCGGTTTGATAATCATAATGTAGGCTTTTACTTGACTTCATGTCTAAGTTGAATATAGGTACTTTTTGTCTATATTCCACCCATGAGGACTGTACCTGTACCTATATCTCTATACAACCTAGCATATATAAACCTCGCTGTGTAAACCAATTCACCCAGAAACCCCAACCAAACCAATTTTCTCTTCCCTCCTTCCCCCGTTCAACATCTACTTCTTCAACGTCTTCTGCTTCTCCGCATCAATCAACTTCCGTCCCTGAATAACCAACCCCTTCCTCCTCCTCACGGCATCCATATACCTCTTCGCGACATTCTCCCGATCCGCCAGCTCGCCCAAATCCTCCAGTTCTTCTTCCGTCGCGGGCACCCAGAACGGATCCTCGTCGAGGGCCTCGAAGCCCGCGAAGATCAGTTGCGGTTGCGCGGCACCCGAGGTCCGTTTCCGGATTTCTTCGGCGAATCCGAAGGACTCGGCCACGGGGAGCAGAGACAGGATGGTAAAGAACGGCGTGCCTTCTTTCATGGCTTCGGAGAGGATTCGGCCGCGGCGGCGTGTGATGACGGCGTAGACTCGTCCGAGGACTTCGGCTGGGGGGTTGTTAGAGATGAATTCAATCGGGTTTTGGAAGGGAGGGAAGGAGGGAGGGGGAGGCTTACTCGATGCTTGGATCTCACAACTGTACATGGCAAGCATGATTCGGGGACTCCAGTCGAGGAAACCCTGAGAGATGCTGTCGCGGACAAGTCGGATCGATTCACCGGTGAGTCGGCCGAGGTCGAGCTCGCCTTCGTTGGCGTTGACGGCGAGGTCTTCAAGGAAGACGGCCGTGCCTTGAATGGGCTCCTGGCAGAGAGGACCTTGGCCGGTGGCCAGCTGGAATGCATACGAGATCTTGTCGCAGAAGTCGCGGACGAAGAGGGCGTCTCGGCTGCTTTCTTCGGTGGAAACGCTGGGTTGCTTGGTAGGGTCGTCCAGTAAGCTGTGATAGGATGTTAGTTGTAGGTCACTTTGTGAAGGAGAGGGAGAGGATGAAGTGGGTTGGGTTGGACTGACAATTTCTCGCAGGTATTGACTGCCGTGGCGTCGACCAGGATGTTAGGGCCAATGCGCCTGGGACCGAATGCGATGATCTTGTCAACGACGTTGTTCCACAGTTCCTTCTCGTCTTTTGCGTTCTCGTCAAAAAGCTTGCTGAGTTCCTGCTTGAACTCCTGCAGAGAGAGAATGCTTCCCTCTAGGGCTTCGTCGGTAGCATCGCTGGCTTCGATCTGTTGGTTGCTCTCGGAGGTGCCGTTGGTGGCATCAGAGGCGGTTCGCTTTTCAGACTGCAGTCGCTTAATTGTTCCGACCTGTTTCGTGAAGAACTCCGTCACAGCGGCCGGCAAAGGCACGACTCGCAGGCGCATGGTCAGTTGCTTGGACGGCGAAACCACCACGACGCCTCCGCGTCCCACTTCGGGGTTCTTTGGAGGTGCCATTTCTGGCGCGTTGATGATCGTCTCGCGGTATGGGACGATGGTCTGACCGGTTTGGATGTCGCATCGGGCAAACCGCTCCCGAAGATCCTTCAAGCAACGCTCGAGATGCAGTTCGCCGGCCGTCAGTATGACGTGCTCTCCATTGGGAAGAACCTCGTACTGCGCGCAAGGATCACTTTGCTCGAGAAGACGCAATCCAGTGACCATTTTACCCAAGTCGGCGGGATTGACCGGCTCCAGTGCCACTCTGACAATAGGCGGGGTGTTCAAGGAAACACCGGCCAAGTTGACGCTTCCTTCGAGTTGCGAGCACAGCGTACCCGTCTTGAGGACGTGGCCAGCAAGACCACCGATACCAAAAACGACACCCGCAGGAACTGATCGGAGGGGCTCGAGGCTCCGGCCCATGAGGAGATACAGGTCCGTGACGGTCACCTTTCGAGGTTCCGGGCTTGCGTGAGGGTTTTCAGGCGAGAATTTGGGCGCAAGAACATAGATCGAATCACCAACCGTAAGTGTACCAGAGTAAAGTCGGGCAAATCCAATCAAATGTTCTGGGTCTTCCTTCTCCTCCGGTTCGCCGCTTTGGTCCTCTTCTTCTAAGGTGATCCTTTCAAAGGTCGACGTAATCCGAGTATATTCGTCTGTTGTCTCAGGAGCACTGGTTTCTGCCTGTAACTTGGCGATTTCTTCACGCTTCTTCCGAGCAATCTCGCGAGCTTCGTCCGCCGACATGGTATTGCCAGAGCGCTTGTTGCTTGATGATAACTCGCTCTCTGGAATGGCAACCATTTTACTGACATACGCCACAACTGGCTCTTCCGGACCGGTCTTGAACTGAATCATGGCGTTCTTCACCTTTTCGTCCACAAACCTCGCACCCGGCGACTCTTCAATCATGGCAGGCAGACGAGACTCTTGGGCCGTTGGAGGACTGGGCAAGTATTCAATGACGGACACCAACACAGCTGTAGACAGGGGTAGCCACAGGGAAAATAACGTAGTCATGATATTCTTAGGATCGCGCGAGCGTAGAATATAAGGCGGTAAGGTGATATTCAAAGACTTCGTGATCTTTTCCAGCAATGCCGGGTCACTGCAATTGTCAGCGCTTTATACAAGCGAAAAGGGCAAATCCAAACCTACCCTTTGCCCTTTCCTCCGCCAGTGGTGGCCTCATAAGCAGCCCAGATACTATCCAACACAAGTTGAACAAACATCGGCTTCAACGCCCGTCCTTTCAGATGCTTCTGACCCAGAACACGCTTCGTCTTAGGGTCCAGATAATAGTCGCCCCAGAGAACCTTCTCCAAAACGGAACGCTTGATCCCAAGCTTTTTCTCGTAGATTGCCGCAAATTGCCGCACAGTAAAGGCCCACCCATCAACAGCACTGCAGAAGATCACATTGTTTTTCTCAGGCGCGAAGTACAGGTCCTCATCGTCCCGTTCTTCGAATTCGGCTGCGTCAACGGTGCTACCCTGCGTCGACTCGCCGTCTTGCGTCTGCTTCTTCGAGCGGTCTTTCTGGGTGGCGGTGGCATTGGCGCGCTCTTCCATGCGCTCTCGCCACTGGAGATCTTCTTCCATCCGCTCACCCTGATAGAAACTGCCAATTACGGCGTTTACCTGCTCCAGCAGCCGGCTCAGATGATTATAAGCTTCGCTGGGACTCATCTTCAATTCGCCTATCAATCTATCGAGCTTATTAATGACCAGAATCGGTTTCAATTGCTCGACCCAGGTCTGACGCAGCACGGTGACTGTCTGACTGCACACGCCCTCTACGGCATCCACGAGCACGATGGCCCCATCGCACAGACGCGACGCGGTGGACACCTCGCTGCTAAAGTCGATGTGCCCGGGGGAGTCGATCAGATTGATCAGATACTCCTTAGGAACTGGGGCCGCGTCCGGCGCAGAGCGACGCATCATGGAAAAGAAGAGAGAGATGGCAGAGGACTCCATCGTGATGCCTCGCAGCTGCTCATCCGGCCGCGAATCCAGATAGCGGATTTTTCCCGCCAGCTTGGGCGAAATGATGCCATTTGTGGCGATAAGACTATCAGTCAAGGAGGTTTTGCCATGATCCTGGAACCATGCAACAGCAGGAATTAATACGTGAGAAATCTCCGGTAGAAAATGAAACCCTGGAGGGACTTACAACGTGGGCCAGAATGCATATCTGCGGTGTGATTAGCGCTGCTGGGTGGTTTGACAATGACCCCCGGGCTGTGACATCAAAGTGGGATGGAGGGGCAAACGTACATTCCGTATATCTTCCGGTTTCCGCTGCAGGCGAACTAGATCTTCGACATTTACAACAGGCATTTTGACACTCGACTGGCGCTGACAGCGCTCAGATCTAAGAATTCTAGCCTAGGAGGAGAAGTTGGTTGGGCGGCGGAAGGAGAGTTAAGAAATGAATGAACGTCAGAGGGGCAAAAAAAAAAATCGAAGCCGGGATTTGTACAGGCTGAAGGGACTCGCTCGGCCGCTTTTAATATAGCGACTATTCTTCTTCGCAAGCTTGGAAAGATTATCGGAAGTCTTCAGATTGTCAAAGTCTAGTTACGCTATCTTTTCTCCGATTATTAATGATACTATTCCGGTGGAACTACTGTTTCATTCTCAGTCATTATGACTCAATGAAGCCGGAAGGCAAAGATGGATATTATACACAATTTATATTCTTTTATAGATCTCTATAACACTCCTCGAATATCATTAGTCATGTCTCATCAAACGAGAGCTTGATTTTCTTCTTTTTCTGCTTGGGTTTTCGAGATGCAGGCTCTTTGGGCTGCGTTTCCTCGTTCTCCGCCTCAGGCTTGTCTTCACCAATGACCTTGGCCTGTTTTCGCTTCTTTTGCCCTCCGATTTCTGCTAGATTTTGTTTCGAGGGCCCATCCTTTTCGGTCGTCGGTTGGGTACCGTCGTCAGCCCCAGACGGATTTTCTTTGTCGACCGTCTTTCCCTCAGATGACTCGTCTTCCTTCGGGGCACCGCCGCGAACCAAAGCCTCGTATTCTTCCTTGGAGATTACTTCGTTGCTTTCTTCATCGACATACGTGGGCTCGTCATCATCGCCGTTGTCATCCTTCGGTCGGCGGGGTCGGGAGATGGGCTGTTGGAGGCGGCCGGATGTATCGCCGTATTGACCCTTGAGTTTCTGTAGAAAAGCCGGTTCCTTCGCCTCTGCTTTGGACTTAGTCACGATGATATGGATGAAGGGTGATATAGAGATCATACCGTAGGCGAGGTTCTTCGCATTGTATGACATGGTGCGATAAACAAGTCTGTTAGTCTTTCGGATCAACTCGGCATAGGTATGACCAGTCAAGATATGATTGATACACAAAGGATCGAGTGCTAGTGGAGATGATAAGTAGTAGTCAATTGCTCGTAAGTCCTGTTTCTTTTGCGACTCGACTTGATCAGTGCTTGAGGGATTACACTGCAAGACTCGCGCGTAACTGTGTAATGATAAATGGACCCAACAATTATGGGTGATTAATATCAAGTCGCGGCCAGCATAGCTACAGACACGAGCCGAAGGGACCAACAGACAGAATGGACTCAATTGTAGCTGGCTAGAGGAGTAAATCCGAGTCGGACTCGAGTTGTCGGGAGTTGCCAAGCGATCCGCAATCCAAAGCTCTGCGGCGCGGCTAAACCCAGATCGGGCGGGAGTCGAAAAGTCCAAAGGGCAAGCAAGCTTTCGCGTCAATCCAACCTCCCCTCTCCCCTCTACATCAACCCACCCTGACAACAAAACTATGCTGTGCGCAAGTATGTTATCACTCGCCCCTATTTAATTCGAATTTTCTGCTGACATGGAATTGGTCACAGTTTCGGGAGAGGCACCTCAAGTGCCAGTCGTCTCGCCTAAGAGCGGTATGTTGCAATCTAAAAGAAGCAAGCGTCCGGTCGGCCATTGTCGCAGGGCTGACATCGTATATAGGCAGCCTTTTCGAGAAGCGCCTCATCGAGGCCTACATCGCTGAAAATGGAAAAGACCCTGTGAACGGAGAAGAGCTCTCGACGGAAGACCTGATCGATGTTAAATCCCAGCGCGTTGTCCGACCCCGACCTCCTACGCTCACCTCGATCCCTTCCCTGCTCAACGTGTTCCAAGAAGAATGGGACGCTCTGGCTTTGGAAGCCTACACTCTGCGACAGACCCTGGCACAAACCCGGCAGGAACTCAGCACGGCGCTTTACCAGCATGATGCCGCGGTGCGAGTGGTCGCTCGGTTGACCAAGGAGAGAGACGAGGCCCGTGATGCGCTGTCAAAGGTTACGGTCGGTGCAAGCCGCACCGCCGGTGCTGGTGATGAAGCCATGCAGGTTGACTCAGCTGGACTTCCCGAAGCTGTGTTGGCTCGCATCGATAGCACACAAGCATCGTACGTTGATCTGAAACGGTCTCTACGTGTAGACACATCGCTGATTATTCTTCAATAACAGGCTCTCGAAAACCCGCCGTAAGCGCCCGGTCCCTGAGAACTGGGCCACCAGTGACACCCTTTCCGCATACCAGCCTATCGCGAACTCCGAGCCTCTTTCGGCTGGAGGTAAAGCTTTGTCCATCAACGCCACAGGAGACTTGGCCCTTGTCGGAGGGGCCGACGGAGTTGTCGGTATCTACTCGCTATCTCAGAAACAGGTCGTGCAGAGCTTGCAAGCGAATGGCCCGGTCACCGACGCCGTTTGGGCAGGCGACAAGGCCGTTGTGGCCTCTTCCACGGGCGCTGTGAAGGTGTTCGAGAACGGTGGCGAAGTCGCCAACTTTAGCCTGCATGCGGGTGCGGCCACAGCCATCGCTGTGCATCCCACCGGCGATATTGTTGCCTCTGTTGGGGCCGATAAGAGCTATGTCTTGTATGACTTGTCGACGAATTCCGTGATCACCCAGATCTTCAGTGACGCATGTAAGCATAATCTCCGGTACCTTTATCTTGGAATTCAAGCTGACGATATCTCTTTTCCTTCCCAGCCCTGCTGTCCGTCAAGTTTCACCCCGACGGTCACCTCGTTGCTGCCGGAGGTGTGGACGGACAGATCAAAATTTTCGACATCAAGACTGGCGCGCCTGCCGCCAACTACGCCATGACCAGCCCCGTGAAGTGTCTCTTCTTCTCGGAGAACGGTACCTTCTTGGCGGCTGTGGCGGATAAGTCTACCGCCGTGTCTATCTGGGATCTGCGCAGCTCCCAGGAAGTCAAGGTCCTGGATACGGGCAACCAGATCGACTCGCTCAGCTGGGACTACACCGGACAATTCCTGCTTACCGGCGGGCCCAGCGGGTTGACCGTTCAGCAGTACTCCAAATCCGCCAAGGCGTGGTCGGAGCCATTGCGGAGCGCTGTTCCGGCCGTCGCAGTCAGTTGGGGCGCCGCGGCCCAAAGCATTGTGGCCTTGAATGGCGAGGGAGTGATCACGGTGTTGGGAGGGCAGTAGTAATGGTGATTGATTGATTGATACCTTTCAAAAAATCAAAATTTCCTTATTTGTTCTTATTTGTACTTTTAGCCGCATGTTATCCCTCCGAGAAATCCCAAATGCAAATTCGGTGAATCCAGCCTGTCACTGTGTTCGTTGAGAGAGATCAATAGGCATAAAGGCCGTCACTATTGGTATGGTAGAGATATCACGGGACTCCCAGTCTGACCACCAGCAAGAACAACCCTTTAAACACACCTCATCCCCCTCACCTCCATTTCACCTCCCCCTCAGCATTCCTTGTGACGTGGGCATTTTATCTCTGTCCTTCATCTATAATTGCCGCGGTGGCCAGCTGTTTGTGACAGGGGCGGCATGTCATCTCTCCACCGCATGGACTCGGACCCAAACTCCTCCAGGATTACTACTAATCATGGCCTCCACCAACACTGAGGCTTCCCCGACTCCGCCGGCAACTGCTCTCTTTCCATTTTTCCGCACTCTTCCTCCCTTACCCCCCATTCACTCTTGGTTTTCTAGATCGTCTACTATGAACAACGACTCAGGCGTTCAGTTTGTGGCCGCCCGGCCCCGGAAGGTTGGTTTGCTTGTCTATCTTTCAAAGAAGCGGGGCTTTTCGTACCTTGCCAGCGATAAAGAAAGACCCCAGGAAGGACTGACAAATTGAATGAAACAAACAGCGGAATCATCGAGAGATGTCTGAATCGAATGGTCGTCAGCGACAAAATGCCGAAGCGTCGTCCTCAAGATCCCATCCGCGGCGACCGTCGCCGCCACCAACACCACCGTTACGATATCCCGGCGACGGCCTCGACTTTCGGAGACCTGCGCAGAGCAGCACCCAGGATGCCGTCATAGACCTCACGAATGAGCCCGACTCACCTCCGCAGACATTTCAGCCGCAGGGTACGGGCACGGGGGCTCGTCCGAACACACGACAACCACGACCCCCTCGTTTCGGCAGACCGATCATGACCGAGGTAGTAGACCTGGAAGAAGAGGAGCCGGAACCCAGTGGACAGACACCCAGCTCGCCTGAGGTCCAATTTATAGGATCGTCTGTCCGTCCGCCGCTCGCACGCCCGCGCGAACATAATTTTGGAGCCGACCTCCTACAAATGCTCCATCTTCACGACCCCCGGATCCATGGGGTCCCGCGCCGAGATGTCTTCAGGGAAGAGGTTGCCAGACGAGCACGGCAAATTGCTCGACACCCTCCATTTGACGTGGATGCATTTTGGGTGGGAGGGTCCAGCAGTGCGATCGATCTGACCAATCTCAATCTGGATATGGACTTTATGTTACGAAACCTTACAACGCCGGACAGGGGACCGCCTCCGAATACCTACAAACCACCCAGTCCGGCACCGGAAGGGTTCACAAGAACAGCGGGAGAAGATGAGGTTGTGTGTTGTCCGAACTGCGATGCGGAGCTAGGCGTCGGCGACGAAACAAAACAACAAATCTGGGTGGCAAAGCAATGCGGCCATGTTCGTATCCTCCATGACTTGGTTTCTTCTTGTCGGTCAGTCCTAACTTCTACACTAGGTATACTGTGGCGAATGCGCAACCCATCGATCGAAATCGAGCGCCAAGAAGGCCGCCAGCCAACGAGTCAAGCCCTTCTCCAAATGTCAAGTCTTCGACTGCGGCAAGTCAGTCAGTGCGCCGAAGGCGATGTTCCAAGTCTATCTTTAGAAAAAGATCCGAACTTTCTTCTTAACGCCTTACCATCCTAACGGTTGCATTATTCCGGTGTTCGGGTCGCATCATTACTTTCTCTCCTCTGTTTCGATTAATCACGCTTAGCCACTTTTCTCGATACCCTCATTGCATTTTCTAACTGGTGGACACGAGTCTTATATTATTTCTCTTTCATATGTTACAGGATATCGTACTTATGATTTCGGAGAAAGTTCAGGTAACCAGGAGTTTGGTGTTGATATTCATTTTCCTAGATATCTTAGTTTACAGAAAGACTAGTGGGCTACGATACCTGCTGAATAACACAGACATTTCGAGACCAAATGACACTTCAAAAACACTGTATTTTGTACATTTAATGCCAACCCTTTCAAACAAGAAGGCTAGCGATCTTCCCAGGGAAGACTAGATGAAACACAAACGCAAGATATAAAGGCCCCCATTAGACATAATATGACAAGCTGGAAATGGGTCTCCAGAAAACATAACACCATTGCTGATTTAACCCCGACAAACAAGGATACAAGAAAAAAGTCTCCGCTTTTACACTCTCCGGAGGTCGCCGTGATACGGGGACCAGATGCCACGCACGCTCTCGTTGATACTCGTCACGGGCTTGTTGGTGCGCTTCAGCTTCTCGCCGCTAGCTTCCTTCATCATGACCGCCTTATTGAATATTTGCTCGGGCTCGAGGTTGCGCACACAGACGACCTTCTCGCGGCCGTTGATGTAGTGGCCCTTGACCATGGGGTGCTTGTGCGGTCGGGGGGATACTCGGATCTCGATCTGAGGGTTCTTTTTGGCGAAGGCGGGAAGCTTGTTTTTCAGGAAGCTCCTGTAGACGGGACTATTAGCATAGGGGATCTTGGTTAGGCTCCTGCGAGTGATAACGTACACCATGCCCCGGGAGCTACCTGCCCAGTCGCAGTAGTGGAAATCCAGACGCTTGCATTGTAGAATGAAGGCGCCGACGCCGTTCTGCAGTGAAGAGATGCGTTAGCCCTGCAAAAGCGTATACTTGAGCATTTTCCCAGTGACACGGGATCGTACCTTGGCGGAAGTCACTGTCCGAATCCCTTGAACAGGCATGGTTGGGGTATCTTGGTCGCTTTGATCTCTTGCAACAACCTTCAGTCCAGGAACACCGGGGACTTTTCAACGCCGACGGTTCCGTTGCTCATTGGCTCGCGCCAAGCTCGGCTGCCGCGCCTGGCGGAGGGCAGCCCCGTCGTTAGTTGGCCTGAGGCCGTCCGCCCGGCACTGGAGCCAAGTTAAGTGAGAGCGGACGGCAGAACGCGAAACGAAACTCATCAACTCTTATCCGAAGACAACGAGAAAAGGGTGAAGCATCGACCACCACCAACTAGTTCCTTTCCCCTTATGTGTTTGCAATTTTAGTTTATTCTCGTCTCTATTTTGGCAACCGCTCATCGAAACAGCAAGTTGCTTGAGGGGCCAGGATGACGGACAAACTCCCCCCTCCGTTGCTTGCCCTCTTCCAGCCGCGGCCGCCCCTGCGCTATGTCACTCCCATTGATCGGGCGCCCGAGGACGCAAAGAAGAGTACCATCAGCGGCGTTGCCCAGTTCCTTCCGGAGGCGAAGAAGTTCGAAGAGGAAGCTCCGTACAATGCCACCGACAGCTGGTTGCAGCGCAAGATCCGCCAGAAGGCCGAGGCCAAGGAGAGACTCAACAAGCAGTTGACGGAAGGCCTTGAGCATTGTATGCTCTCCTCCCATGCTTCAGTTAATTGTGTTTTCTTGTGGCTGATCCTTCTAACATCTGTCCAGTTGACCCTTCTGCCGACGCACAGGCTCGAGGCGACCCGTTCAAGACGCTGTTCGTTGCCCGGCTCAGCTACGATGTGAAAGAATCGGACCTGGAACGAGAATTCGGACGCTTTGGACCTATTGAAAGGGTACTGTCCCAGAACGCAAACCATGACGTTCTCTCACACCCCCCATCCCCCAAGAATTGCCACTGACAAATCCAAGATTCGAATCGTTAAAGACAATGTAACTCCGAAGGGCGCTAAGAAGTCACACAAGGGGTATGCGTTCATTGTCTATGAGCGTGAGAAAGATATGAAAGGTATTGCCGCTGTGCTCCCGGGCCGTCTCTTGATTCAAGATGACGCGTCTATCCATCGCAAGGAGTTTTGTTCGCTAACCTACTCCCTTTTTTCGTCTGACTCCAGCTGCCTACAAGGAGACAGATGGTATTCGGATCAAAGACCGTCGCGTCCTGGTGGACGTTGAACGGGGTCGCACTGTCAAGGGCTGGAAGCCTCGCCGATTTGGTGGCGGTCTAGGAGGCCGTGGTTACACCAAGGCTATGCCCTCTCGACCCATTGGACCAGGATCGTTCGGAGCTCCTTCAGGACCTGGCGGATATGGCGGTGGCTTCCGTGGTGGATTCGGTGGTAGAGGAGGCAGAGGAGGTTTCCGTGATCGTGGCTTTGGTGGCCCCCGTGGCGGTGTTGGATACCAAGGTGGTCGTGGCGGATTTGGCGGACAGGCTCCCCCCAACGCACCTTCTGGACCTGGTGGTGGGCGAAGTGGTGGCTTTGGCCGACACGACCGCGACCGAGGCGCAACTGGAAGCAACCGTGAACCTATCAGACCTAGGGATAGCTATGGCGACCGCGATCGACGGGACCATGACCGCGACCGTGACGGTGACCGACACAGAGACCGCGACAGGGATAGCTACCGCTACCGGGACCGGGATCGCGACCGTGACCGTGACAGGTATGGAGGTCGTGAGGACTACGGACGGAAGAGATATCACGAAGACGATGCCTATGATGACCCTCGCGCCAAGAGAAGATACTGAGAGTTCCTTGATATTACGACGGGGTTCTCTTCCCATTCCAGTACTCAAAAAACATGGTATGCTGGTGGGTATTTGATTGATCGTGACTTCTATTCTTTTTTTCTCCCTCATCGTCCTTGATGGCAATGGGTAAGGCAAACGGAAAACTCAACAATCAAGCCAGGGTTACGAATTCAACTGCACCTACTTACAATAGTCCAAGTGTCATGCACCGTCTGTCCGTCCATTACACACGAGGGCTCTCTCTATGCGTCATTTGGCCAACACAAAGCATGATGTCTTGAAGGATATCATACAGGCAAGGACTTGATTGCGACGCGACCCCTTCTTGAATCTCCGTCATGTTCTTATTCTATCTCCTTTTTCTTTTTCTCTTGTTTTCCCGTTTTCGCTATCTCTTCCAAGGGTTCATGATACTCTTGAGGGGTAAGTATGTACTTTAGGTAGTTCAGCATTTCTTTTGTTTTTCTGGCGGAAATAATGGTGGGATTCCATGGATGTTCAGAGGTAAGAAGATCAGGTAAGGTTTTTTTCTTTCCAGAAACAATGACCGATGCCAGACATCTTCGTATGGGCTGTAAATCAAGGTAATGAATTATTCGAGGTGCTTTTATTTCTTTGATTAAGATTTGATATTTCTTGGTTTGCAGTTTGCAGCAAGAACGTAGATGACACTTTCGCCTTGTCTATCTCGATAGTCCTAGTCCCTAGATAATTTCCTTTTTTTTGTCTGGTATCCATCTGAGTCCGTGTCATACGCTCATCAACCCAAAGGTCTCAACCACCCCCAGCACACAAGATCAAAGGCACAAATGAACCTGAAAATCCGAAATAGTATCGAGATAAGATAATTTCAAAGAAATGTAGAAAGAAAGGCGCCTAAACCTAACTCCATGAAATGCCCAGGGGATTTCGTTTAAACTGATAAAAGAAAAGGGCAAAAGAAAACCGAAACCAAAGCGTAAACTTTTCCTCCATGAAAATTTTCTTCTTTTGTATCCCCTTCACTGACCATCCACATCCATACCTCCCTCCAGAAGCTTCACCTCGCCGGAAGCCCGAGTCCATTGCGCCTTCAACGCGACGTGGAACTCGGAGCTCACGACACCAAACATCTTCAATAACGTCGTCTGTCGCGAATCCAGAGTCTCGCCCTCGCGGCAGATCGGGAACGACTCCTGTCCCTCCGTCAACTCCAGCATGACCTTCCCCTTGACCAGACGCGTGGGGACGCCCAGTTTCCGCAGCTCGGGCTCGATGGTGTGGCTGACGGGTTCGTCCTCGGAGGCGGGCAGGTCTCCGCCGCGCGAGTAGACCAGGCCGTTGGGCAGGCTGAAGGAGCGGGTGCTGACGGTGCCGGCGCGCGCGAAGTCCAGCGGCCGGAAATTCTCGAAGTACTCGATCACGGACTGCGGGTCGCGCGAGGTGAAGAGCAGACCGACGGCGCCGGTCAGGTGGGGGGCGAGCTTGTGCAGGTTCGTGGCGGCTTCGGATTCGGGGTTGTGGCCGAGGGCGACAGCCATGACTTTGGTTTTGCCGAAGAAGAGACTAGTTGGGTGTTAGAATTTCGTTCGGTTATGGATTGTAGCTCGGGCGGTTTTCTTGAACAGCAATTGTCTTGAATACTCTCCCCTCCCCTAGCAAATGCCATATAATTTGATATGAATGGAGGAGAGATCGTATAGAAGAATGTGACCGCGGGGGAAGTGGAATGTATCTCGTGGATAAGGAAACTCACCGGCTGTCGGCAAACTCAGTGCGCACATCCTTCAGGTAGGTGTTTCGCATGTTGTTCACGTCAAAGACGAACAGGTGCTCATAGTTCTCGACGGCCTCGCGGATATTGGCATACAGCCGTCTCGTCTGTTCCTTGTGCGATTTTTTGGCGGTCTTCGACTCGTGGACGACTCTGGCACGCTTGGAGCGAGGCATTGTAAATGTGAAATTTACAAAAAACTTGAAGATTATAAGAAAAAGGCTCAAATGTTATAACCACCCGGGATGCTGGATGGAGGGGAAGTATATACAGCCGCGGAGAAAAAAAGTCGACGCTCGGAGAGATCGAAATACAATTATTTTTTTTCTTCGCTGATAACAGCCGGATTATCGTTGATGCGGGGCTTATCCGATCCGCACCCCATCCCGTATGGGGAAATGAGCTGAGGAGGAGCGAATTGTTCTTTATCCATCTCTCTCAATTTTACTCGGTCTTAACTTTTCAGTATGTGTGGTGCTGGGTGCCTGCATACTAACTTGATATTATAAAGCTGGGTCGTCGTTACCAACAATGCTCGATTTCATGGACTACATCCAACTCGCCTTCGCCGAGGCAACGGAGTGGAATCGCGACAATTCGTACTCGTCGCTCACGGCCACCGCGCAGTGTATGTGAACAATTGATTCATAACCGGCTTCCTTGATGGCCTATTCCAATCTGGGGCTTATCTAACTGTCCGGACCTAGCGCTCCTTGACTTTACGACTCCCGAACGCCTGCGCGTCCACCTTTCCTCCCTATCCACCCCACACTTCGCAACGAGTTACACCCTCGGCACCGTAGGCTTGATCGATGGCTCCGTGTCGTATCTCTACAGCACGGTGCCGTTCGACAACACCCCCAGCCGAAGTGCGCTGATCCCTCTCCGCAAACTCGCCCCGGGATATCGCCAAGTGCAGGCCCCCGTCGCCCCCGTCGAAAATTGGGGATGGGACTCGATCCTCGATGGCGCGCAATCCGGCTCGAAACAGCCCTCAGCTTTATCAACTCCTCTCGCGCAAAAGGCCACCCTCCTCAATGCCACCCTTCACCTCCCTCCCCCGACAACCCTCAATGCGCTCTTCCTGCGCCGCATCTCGCCCACGATGCAGCTCACCTTGGCCGTCTGCTCGACGCGAGGCCCGCCCTTGTCCAAATCCGCACCACAGGCTTCCCTCCTGACGCAGCTGTCCCACGACACGGGCAAATACAGCAACGAGTACCTTTTCAGCACCGACAACGCGCTCTTCGGCTGGCGCGGACTATGGAACTTCGGCCCCGACCCGCGCACCTCGAAGGGTGATGCTGCCTCGCCGCGTCTCTCGCTGCTCTCCGCCGGCGCAGAGGCCTACTATTCCCCCGTCTCCTCGCTGATCGGCATGTCTACCGGCTTGCGATTCAGCACGCTTCCAGCTGCCACGGACCTTCCGTCCTCCGTGACATCTACATCTATACCTTCGACAACTCCCTCTTCCTCCACCAACACCCCAACCACAACCAGCAACACCAACAATAACAACAACGCCCACCCCATCTCCACCTTCCCCTACACACTAACCCTAACCCTCACCCCCCTCACCGGCTCCCTCTCAACGACGTACTCCCTCCGCGCATCCCCAAACCTCGCCTTCAGCTCCCGCTTCGGCTTCAACGTCTACAGCTGGGAAAGCGAAATGGTAGCAGGCTGCGAACTGTGGCGCCGCAGTCCAACCCGCAACACCAAGGATGATCCAAACTGGGACGGTCTAGAATGGGCCCGTCGGAAGATGCGCACCTGGGACGATCCGCCCTCCTCTTCCTCTTCCCTTTCCCATCACCCTGGACCTGAACCCGAACCCTCAACCTCCCCAACAATCTCGAACATCACCCCCCACGGCGAAGAAAAAGAAGAAGAAGCGAACGGCTCGGTGCTGAAGATACGGGTTGACCAGTCGTGGAATGTACGCCTTCTATGGGAGGGTCGAGTGAAGGAGCTATTGGTTAGTGCGGGGGTTGGGTTAGGACCGAGTTCGTTTTCTTCGTCGTCTTCTTCATGGGCGAGTTCGAATGGGTCGTCGGGACAGAGTGGTGGGGGAGGAGGACCTGGGAAGTCGTATTGGAGGGGAGTGGGGGTTTCGGTGTTGTATTCTTCTTGAACCCTTCAAGCTCTACGGAGTGGATAGTGAGTGGAGTTGTAGGTGATTGATCTGAATGTAGAGAGGAGAGGAGAGAAAATGAGGTATGATGTATATGAAGTGGGAATTTTATCTGTATATATAGATAGTTATAGTGTTTTGATATAGAAATAGTACTTATTACCCCGAAAGTATGGACGTATAAAACGTTGAAAAGTTAAGTTCATTAAATTGCATTCATGGTATGTAAATTCTGAACTCGTTATAACCATTTTGGACATTTATACATGACTAAACGTGAATTTGCCTTGTCAGGCAAAGCCAGGGTATCCTAGCAAAGTCGAAATCTGTCTTTCAAGACTCGGCTACCAGCCGGCTAATATCTGCTGGCAATCGGTTGCTCATTGAGTACTAATAAGTCCGACTTTTGTTTGTTTACAGACGGGCGTTGATGATGTCGACGACTGCGATTAGGATTAATATATGACCGACGGCGATATTGGACATAAAAGGGTAGAGAACTTACAGGCAGGCTTCAAGCTGGCACCGCCAACCAGGAAACCATCGACGTCGGGCTCCTGGGCGAGCTCACGGCAGTTCTTCTCGCTGACGGAGCCGCCGTAGATGACGCGGGTGTTGTCGGCAGCCTCGGCGGAGATGGTCTCGTTCAGCCACTTGCGGATAGCGGCGTGGACCTCCTGCGCCTGCTGGGTGGTAGCGACCTTGCCGGTACCGATGGCCCTGGGGAATGACGTTAGCTCTAGTCTGACATACATCGCAGCCCCTTCTCGGGTGAGGCTGTGGGCAAAACAAGGACAAGACAGGGCATCTACTCACCAGACGGGCTCGTAGGCGATGACAACCTTCTCCCACTGCTCCTTGGAGAGCTCCTTAGCGGCAGCGTTGAGCTGCTTGGTAACGACCTCGATGGTCTTACCGGCATCACGCTCCTGTAGATCGGGGTATTAGCACCAACGTTGCATATTCCAACCCCTCTTTTGTGTCTGAGGGGTGGAGCACGTGAACATACCTCCAGAGTCTCACCGATGCAGAAAATAACGCTAACGCCACCGGCAACAGCAGCCTTGACCTTACGGGCAATGAACTAGTTCTCAATTAGCACACCGAGCGACCCTCACCTCTTCCTCGCTCAGTAGATCAAACATACCTCGTCGGACTCCTTCAGGATAACACGACGCTCGCTGTGTCCAATGATGGTCCAGTTGATCTTAGCGTCCTTGAGCTGGTCCACGGAGATTTCACCAGTGAAAGCACCGTTGGGCTTGTCGAAGACGTTCTGGGAAGCCACGCCGATCTTCTCGTTGGCGACCTGGCGAGCGAGAAGCAGGTAGAGGGCGGGAGGGGAGATGACGACCTCGGACGACGGGTCGAGCTTGGAGTCGTTGAGGTTCTTGATGATGCCGGTAATGCTTTCCGCAGTACCGTTCCTGTATTGAGCAAGAAAGAAAAGAGGATTCGGTCAGTAATTGGAAGGTTTGGTGGGTGGATAGGATACGGCCATAGGATGGCGTTTATTTTTTTCAGGGGAGGTAGCAACTGCGGGGCAGTGGTGAGGAAAGCTCGTACATCTTGAAGTTACCACCGATGAAGAATTGGCGAGGCATTTTGGTAATGTGATTGAGATAGTGTCGGAGAGACGGGGGGAGAGGTCGAGGAAGTATGGTGTGGGATAATGTGCAGAAGATTGGAGAGGGAAAGTAGCCGGTTAATAAAAGAGAGAGAAGAAGGAAAGGAAAGGAAGAGAAGAGGGACGATGACGAAAAGAAGGCCCGAGGATCCAGGCAGCGATGGTGGGGCAGGCGAGACGAGAGGGAAACTCTGGCGGGGCTTATCGATAAGTCACGGACTCCCGGGCAGAGAATGCGCTGTCACTGCATATCCTCTTCTGTTTCCTCCCACCTACGGAGTATCACTACTTGCTTAGATAGGCGGGACGGTTTCACCTTGAACATCTCCTCTTATCTTCTGGACATCATTGTGTTCGTACATCATTACATTGCATTTTTGTTGCTAAACCCCCGAAAGTATACAGCCCCGTCCTATGACGTTATTCCTGTGTACCCACCAAACCCCCAAACCCCCAACCGCGCCGGGAAAACCAACTATGAAAAAGCCTCGAAACAACGGAGGAAAACAGAATACAATAGAAAAAAAAATTGAGTAAGAAAATTGAAGATCCCAAATCACAGAGCATCGCGTAGATAGTACCGACGAGGATAGAAACCACCCGACTCGCGCATCGACATGCATCGGTTCAGGTAACGGGCCTCGTCCAGACGGTCATCGAGCATTTGCGTGCGATAATCAACCAATTTCTCTCTGCGCTCAACCCTCGCTTCTCGGTCGTCCAGAATTCGGGTTCGAATATCGTTGCGGGCCCGCAGACCGCGATACTTTTCGTCATAGGCCACCATGTCGAAGTTGTCGGAAGCGCTATGGATAATTTTCGGCCGATCCCGGGCTGGTCGGGCGACTTCCCGAGTGTGCACCTTCGATAGCCGGTTGGTGCTGTTTTTGCTCTCCGCCGGGACCACATCGATGTAGCCGGCTGGGTACTTGGTGCGACCGTTCCTGCCTTCCACTCCGGTCTTGGAGTGTTTTCGATAATGCGTTCGGTAAACGGGCTCTTGGCGTCGTGACTTGGATGAGTGTCGCCGAAAGAGACTGCCGCGCCAGGGCTGCGCCTTGCCGTGGAGGTCGGCATCGCCTTCATGCACTCCTCCGTCGTCTTCCTCCCCAGAGGAGCCGTCGGTGATTGAACTGAGGTCCTCCTCGTCGAGAAATATCGACTCGTCGTCTCCTATGCTGCTGTTTTCCGGTCCCCATTCGTGCTCCGCTTCCGGCACATTGGGGGCCCTAGGTATAGCTGCATGATTTGGGACAGCGCCGTGATTTGGGATACCTGCGTGAGCCGGAATGGGACCATGGCCAGGGACGCCTCCTTGGCGAGGAAGACCACCTTGATGAGGGAGACCGCCTTGACGAGGAATATCGCCATGCTGAGGGATACCTCCTTGGTGAGGGATACCTCCATGGCCAGAAAGACCTCCATGAGCGGCGTTGACCCGGGCAAAGTTTTCCTTGCTCAGGCGTTGTTGATTCAAGTGCTGAGCAAACAGGTTCTGAGCGGAGTTCGATCCTTGTGCCTGGCGAGGTGTGTTCATGTTCGTGTTCATATCCGCTGGGAAGCCGCCCATGCCCTGTTGCAAGATCTCAATCTCTGGGCCTTTGCTCGGTACCGACTTGGAGTTGTTAAGAAACTCTGGCTGTTGGTGGACGGCAGCTGGCATGCCGCGTGGCAAAGAGGCTTGATGAACTTGGTTCATCTGTGGCCGTATCCCCGCTGGGTGTCCTTGAGGATGGTTCAGTTGAGCTTGTGAAGGCATCTGTTGTTGAAATTGTGGGTGTAGTTGTTGTTGTTGCTGTTGAGCGGGTTGGTTAACCATGCCAGGTGTCTGCCCTTGCTGCATCCCAGCTCTTGCCAAATGAGCGCTCTTCATGAAATCATGACTCGCTTGCTGTTGTTCACCACGAGCCAATAGCTCTTCCACATTCGTTGTGGGCTTGTCCTTAGCCGTGAACGGCAACCCCGAGTTCTCAACCCCGATATTAAGAGTCTTGGGGTTGGGATGAGCCGTGTCGACGGGCTTTCTCATGAGGATGACATCCATCGAGACCGTTTCATAATCACCCCGTCGAGAATTCTTACCCTTGAATGGCTTCTCATCTTCGTTCACATAGACGCAGGTCCATTCGAACCGCGGGTCACTTTGTCGGTGCTCGTTAATCAACTGATCCACATGTGTCCGCCTCAGCTTCTTCAGTGTCTGGTACTGCTGGGCACTGGACAGCTTCTTGCCCTTCCTCTGCACCATCTTAATGAGGTCTGGTTGACTCAGGTGCATTCTGGTCCGTTCGGCATGGCTCCACGTGGGCTTTTGGCCGGGAGGCACGTCGGCCTTGAAGAAGGTATACCCCACATATTGTGCTGGCACCCGTACCTCGAAGTCTTTGTGGGGGGTGAAGCTTCGGGCCTTCTGGTCGTTGGCAGCAGCGAGGTTGGTGGCATTCATACGAAGACGGGCCATCTCGTCAGCCAGCTGTGCGGGGTTGACGGGAGCAGGCGTGTGAGGGTGTTGAGGGTGGAACGCCCGAGGGACTTCGGTCGGATGAATGGCCTGGTGGCCAGGTGGATGATGCATAGGAGGCACTGGAGGCATCATGTCTTGATTGATGACGGCCATGTTGCCTCAAGAGATGACTTCTCAGTGGAGAAGATTGAAGAACAACAACAACAGAAGATGGTATTAGATCTGGACTATGAAAGCTGACGATGTCTTATATAAGAAAAGAGAAGTAAGACAGCCCAAGCGGGTTTAAGATGTTTGCAACAGAGACAAAAACTAAAAACAATAACCGTGTGCACAGAAAATGGTGGGGAACAAAGAGAGATAATACCCAGAAGGGAGAGACCGATCCAGCGGGGGGGTGAGCCAACTTTTTGAATCGATAAGAGTCATACTAGGCAGCTATTCAGCATGGAATCGTCCAGTCAGTAAAAGATGTTTCAGGACGTGAAGATCCCTGTTGCTTTCTGCCTTGCGAATCAGTGGGATTGGTCGAGTACCTAGACGCCCAGGATCCGAGAGGAGGTCAGAACTCAGGACCAAGGGCCATGAAAGAACAGTCCATTGGAGCCATCGCTGCCGATGATTGGACCGGCGCCATTAGAAATAAGAAGTGAAGCTCTCAAGTCCGATTAAAATGGGGGTGAAAGGGTGAAAGACCTGCCTCGGTGCCCGTTCACACGAGGGTAGACAGGGCGCAGAAGATGCCCGGGCACTGCAGGCAGTGAGGCTATCAGTCAGAGGGGAGTATCGAGAGGGATTTTTTTCTTTTCTCAGGGAAGAAAAATAAAGGATTCTGATTTTTGCCCTTCTTGCTTTTTGATTTGCCCCCTTGTAGCGCCCCCGAATGATGTAGAGGCAGACCTCAGCCGCGATCCAGGGGGGCTATGCGTAGCGTCCAGGATAGCCACCCTCCATCACGAGGGGAAGAAAAAGAAAAGAAAGGAAAGAAAAATTACTCCGTACACGAAAGAACAGAGGAATATGAGTCAGCCACAGGTGAAAAGGCCAGAGAAGCGAGAGGCTGGGTTCGCAGTCTGAAAAAAGAAAAGAAGAGAGCAGCTATGATGGTGTTGGGGCCAAAATGTCATCATCATCGTGGTACTCTTCAAGAGGAAACAAGCACCCCAACTGTGTCACCCCGGCTGCATGTGGCCGATGGGGATTCCTTCTGTTCATGCAGTGAAGTTGTAGCCTAGTCACTGGGCATGCAATATGCATCGACTGCTCCGCATGCTCTCAGATTGCCCTGAGCCGTCAGGGAGCATCCTTTGCCAGCTCGGGGGCTTGGCAAGAAATGACTTAACTTCAGCCATTGAATTGATTGAAATGTAAGAGCCGCGCAGTTGGTCTGCCACGCTTCCCATGAGGCATGAGCCAAAAAGACCAACTTCTTCAAGAAATCCCACTACCAAACCCGCCATATATAGTGCCATACAACCCTGGGCATTCGCTATGTAACTCGGCAGTTGTTCAGAGAGTGCGTAAGTTCCGGGACGCCGCTTATTAAGACATGAAACCCATAAAACTTGCAGCTCTAGAGATTTTCATTTGCTGAGGGTTTCTTCACGTTTGTTTGAATCCCCCACAGCGGCATTTATGCAGACAAGCTCCGGAACACAGTGGAGACTTTTCGTGGTCCTTCGTGGTAGCGCGCGAACATACTCCAGATAAATACCAAATACGGTGTGGTAGTGCTGCAATATACTACGAATGGATCCGAAACCCTTGAATCCGTTCAACAAGCTAAGACAAGCTTATATCAAATATAGTAAATGATTGACATGAGACAGAATCTCCTGATAATTCCAGTCATCTAAAAGAGCCAAGTCACTGAGTCAGCGGGTACGGCAGCAATGTCAATCCCGAGTTTGGTGAACGAAGAAGTACCTACCTGAAGTATCGACTAGTATAAAGCCTACCTCTCAATGCACTTAGCTATGGGCTATTTGGGATGTACAATCCAACGCGTGAACAACACAAAACATTATTCACCAGCAAAAGGTCCAAGTTAGATGGCCACATCTTCCTCGATGGGTGCACACGCAATCATGGAACGAGAACAAGACACCGGAATCTCTGTTCTTGTTGTCGGGGGTGGCATTGCGGGTTTGAGCTTCGCTATTGAGGCTTATCGGAAGGGACACAACGTCCGCGTTATCGAACGACGAGTCCGGGGAGAGACTGCAGGTGAGCACCGTCTTTGATCTGTTCCAACCTTGACACAATTCGCTAGAAGATGGACCACCGCCATCATGTTGCACGTACTAGCTAGGTGACCTTGTGTATTGACGCTTGGCATAGGCGAAGCAATTGTGATCACAAGCTCTGCCCTCCATACCCCAAAGAAATGGCCGGGCTTCATGGAGCGGGCAAGCCAAGAGGCAGCTGCACCGGTGGCCACCATGAAAAAGTTCGACGGGACTCTGATCGGAACCTTCCCCATCGGTGACCCAAACAACCCATCTCTGGCAATCTACCGAGCGAAGCTACATAACGTTCTCTTTGAGTATGTCGAGCAGCTCGGCATCCCACTCGAGTTCTCTGCGACAGCTTCGGAATTCTTCGAAGCAGGTGACCATGGTGGTGTGGTCCTGTCTGATGGACGCCGTCTCACGGCCGACGTAGTGGTGGCTGCCGATGGAGTCGGCTCCAAATCATGGGCCTTGGTGACTGGCAACAAAGAGTCTCCTGTCAGTTCAGGATTCGTGCTTTATCGCGTCACGTTCCCCGTGGCACCGGCCCTCGAAAACCCGGTCATTGCGGCGGAGCTTGAAGGTTTCAAAGACCGGGCATTCCTACATGCCGGCCCGGGGGCACATATCGTGACTTGCAAGTATGGGGACGATATTTGCTGGCTACTCACTCGCAGGGTATGTCTCCTTGCGTGTCAAAGTCTGTGCTACACAGTTGCATTCTAACCTCACACCGTACACAGGAACATGACAGCAATGCGGAAGAAGACTGGGAGAAAACCACATCGATCGACAAGGCCCTCAAGGCCGTGGCTGGGAACCGTTCGTGACCGAGATTATCAAGGCGACGCCCAACCACACCGTCCTTGACTGGAAGCTCATGTGGCGTAACCCTCAGCCCCAATGGGCGTCACCTCGCGGCCGCGTCGTCCAGATCGGTGACGCCGCACATCCATTTCTGCCGACATCAGCGAGTGGCGGGACTATGGCTATGGAGGATGCGTATTCTCTGGCAGCGTGCTTGCGTATTGCTGGGAAGGAGAACGTGTCGCTGGCAACGAAAGTGCATAACCACTTGAGGTATGTGACCGCCAAAGGGCCTTGATACCACACCCAATTTTGCGTAGGCGGAGGTATGAAAGTAAGGATTACAGGAGCTGACACGATAGTAGGTTCGAGCGAGTCACTTGCGCACAGAAAATGGGATTCAAGAATCGCGAGGTATACCACAACACCGACTGGGATGCCGTGATCAAGAACCCGAAGATAATGGGCAAAATGGTTGGCGACTGGCTACTACACCACGACCCTGAGCAGTACGCATACGAGAACTACGACGCATGTGCGGAGCACCTCGTCAAGGGTATGCCATTTAAGAATACGAACTCGGTACCGGGCTACACGTACAAACCGTGGACGGTCAAGGAACTCCTGGACGCTTCGGAAAGTGGAGAGTTTGTCGAAGATGAAGGAGACTGGTTTTGATTGGGAAGAAAACCTGTGGGTGGCCTAAAATTGGCCCAAAGGATGACGGGTGTATATCCCTAGGCTGTTACGTTCTATCATGTGATATAAGAATGGGCTGCCCAACGTGCAGGAGCCGGGTAACTGCTTATGTGGGTTATAATATACTCGCCTATATTCGTCCACTGTATCTCATTGTCGTCCCTCTTAAACTGGGGGATTACAGTTTGCAGTACACTCTTGCGGATTTAGGGCAAGGCGAAGGTCTGATGAGGACATTTTGAGTGACAATCTATTATTGCGCTGCAGGACAGAAATACATATAAAGACTCGCCGCATATTTGGGAATCCCGGTTTCTGCTTCTACAACATGGAACAAAGCACACCATGCTGTAATGGCACTTATTTGTACCGTGGGCTGTTTAGATGCCATTCGAGACTCCCCCGCATCCAGTGTTTCATTGCATCGAGGAATTTGAAAGTATCCAGCCGATCTTGCGGGGTGAGACTGATAAAGCAGGCACTTCGAAGAAATTCGGCCTCGGTACTTTGAAAATGGGCCACAGTTTCTGTGATGAGCCCCTGGGCGATTTCTATGGCTTGCTCCCACGTGCACTGCTTCTGTTTTGCAAGCACAAACACCACATTGTCGGTATTGCCACCTTTGTATTCTTTTCGAACCGAGAAAATGTCATTGGTCATGCTGACTACGTCATCAGCATCTTCTCGGAGTTGGAGGAAATTGGGGTCCTTGTGAACGCTGCTGGGGACCTCAAAATCGCCAATCGCTTCAGCCCAGTCAAGGCAGATCTCGACCCCACCGGCAGCTCGTCGCAGCTCCAGATATTCTGTGAATTCCGGAACAGATCCACTGGCGTTATTCTCTGCTTCTTGCTGAAACCCATCGAATAAATTCTCCCAATGTGTGCGGTGTCGAACCTTCAAGGCCTCAGATGATCGTTCATGAACGCACCGCAGAAATTCTCTCCAAGCTGTCACCAAAGGAACGCCAGGTGTCTCGGAAGTACGCCCATAGAGAACCTCACGATAGCTGCTTAAAGCGTCCGCGGTGTTCTTCGGCGACGCTTTGAGGATACCTGGTTTGTCCAGCGAATCGTCCAGAATGAAGGACCAGCCTATCAGATTTGTGATGAGGTCTAGCTGGGGTGCACACGCTGATGGGTAAGTGTATGCAACAAGGCGAGGGAAATCAGTGGCCTCGTACACTTTCCGCGCTTCGGTGTCAGGTATCAACCCGGCATTTTCAATCCATTGAAAATGCTGTGCTCTCGCGCGATCAAGGTCTGGGTTAATGGCTACCTCAAATGGTATTTTAATACCTGAACCTGCACTCATTTTTTATAACGGATATATATCTGGCGCCTCGTAATGGCTATGGTGGTCTCGACTATAGGAGGTATCAAGATGTGCTGAGCAGTCAGATCCAAAATCAGCTCCTTGTGAGTCTTTATAGAAAACGTCTTTTGATGGCGACAACTGAATGAATTTGGGATATTGCATGGGTGGCAGAGAGTGGCGAGTCTTGAGTGATAATCCATGCCTCCTCTGTATCTTGTAGTGTATACTTCCTGCATCCTGCAGTAACTACGCAATGGTATCTCTTGTTCGCCTACATTCTTGAGGAGTGGACAACCTTACGTTTCGGTAATAGCCACGTATGTGTCTGATCGTAGTGTTATGATATTGAAGGCCTACGCCCCATCCGCACCATCACTGCAATATGTGTTGATCTAGTTACATAGTGTCAGTCATAGCCTAGCGCCGTCTCAGTGTATCATTTATAGTACAAGCTTACGGATTCATGGTTCGATTTGCCTCTGTATCTTCCTCAAAGAATACAGTCAGCGCGTTATGAACCCATATGTTAAAGGCCACTGGAGAAAATCAGGTAGAAAAATTTGGATTACACAACATAAACTGAACAAGTATGAGATGGTGGACTTTCGCGTGTTTGGTTGTACCTAACAGGCACGCTCCCCGGCAGACCCATCTATTGTAGGTCTAGTGGCCAACACCTTGGTGTACTAGCATGCATATCTGGCACCTTTGAGGGGGGGGGGGAAGATCTACCCAGCCCTCCCCCTTCTCGTACGTTTCCTAAATAAGGTATTCGCATTCATGTCACACCAACTACGTACGGTGTATGTGACCATCCCATTTACGTGGCAGTGTTCAGCGTCATTCGTTCAGCCCCTTGCAGATATCAAAGATTTCCTCCTTGCGTAATCACATTCTTGTGCCCAGTTTATGGGTTATCTGCCTTGATATCGACTTCAAATTACAAGCCAGAGGATCACCTTAATGCATAACCGTTGACGAGGATATTGTGTCAGACCACCTTCTTATACACCAATAACATCCGACAACTAATGCTATTTGTCAATCATACAGACGAAGATCACTTCTCTTAGCCCCAATAATAGGATGGGAAATGTATACAAACGTAATGTTGAGGCCTCTGCCTGTTTAGAGCATATGCATGTAGTTTGGTTATGAACCCTCGGCCCAGAAGATGGTTTCCACTCAGTGAGAACTTCTTTCGTCAACATCAATTTTCTACTTGGGCTACCTATTTAATTGACAGATACACTACCTCTGCCGGTCCATACCTTCGAACTATAGTGCCAGGACCAAGGACACGATTCTTTCTTTTCTAGAACAACGGCTCAAAACGAAGATTTAATTTACCTCACCCTAAAGACTTTACGTATGCCGACTTGCTAGCAAAGATGATTGGAAGTCTGGCGAGCCTAGTGCCACTTGAGCCAATGATGAAGATTGTTATTCTTCTAGGAATCGTGTGTATACCTTGCGCTTAAGTATTTCTGTGGCAATGATGCTTATCCCGAACTTCTAGTTTAGCGGTTTAAAATCAATCTACAATGCGCTTTGGCATCCACTGAAGACTTATCCAGGGCCCCTATCGGCCGCCACCAGCAGAGCTTTAATTACCTATTTCACGATCACAGGAAGGAAAACTGTCTGGCTGCAAAGTCTTCATCAAAAGTATGGTCCTGTTGTCCGTGTTGCTCCAAACGAGCTGAGCTACATGAGCCGACACGCACTTAATGACATCTACGGACGAGCTGAATCGAAGGAAAATCTGGAAAATGATCATATATTCTATACGGCTTTTGAGGGTGATAAATCCACAATAATGACGGCCGACGAAGCAAGCCATACGAGACTGCGCCGTGCCTATGCCCAATTCTTTTCGAGACAAAGTTTGGAGAACTTCGAGCCCCTCTTTAACAGATATTCAGATCTCCTTGTGCAGGAAATTCGGGACTCAAAACAGACAAGTCTCGATATCAATGAGTTGTTTTCTTTTGCATTGTTTGATCTGATGGGTCATCTGCAATTTGGCCAGTCACTCCAGCTACTCGAGCGTTCGGCCCATGTTCAATGGGCCAGAAGCCAAGCTGCCTGGATTCGAGCTTCTGTAACTGCTGCCTCGATTGCTGAATTTCCTCTGGTCAAAACCATATTCAAATCTCTCTTTCCGGCTATCATGGAGAGACAACGCAGACTATACTTCGCCTTCACTGATGACATACTGAGCCGAAGACTTCAAGAAGACGCCCATGATCCTGATCTAATTACATTTGTGTTGCAATCTGAAGGAGCCAGCCTATCTAAGGATGAGGTCATCATAAATGCTCCCTTCTTTATGCTAGCAGGCACCGAAACATCGTCTTCGGCTCTTAGTGGCCTTGTAGCCCAACTTTTGAAGACGCCTGATGCCCTAAAACGTCTGACAGAAGAAGTGCGTTCAAACATACCCGACCGCAAATTCATATCGATGAAGGATGCTCAGAACCTCGTTTATCTAGATGCATGCATCAAGGAGACATTAAGAAAGTATCCGCCTATTCCTGAGATAATGCCACGCAAGGTACGCCCTGGGGGTGCACTCATTGCAGGTAAATGGGTTCCTGGTGGCACGCGAGTTTACGTGTCTCTCTTCTCCTCCATGAATTCAGGCACATACTTTTCCGAGCCAGACAAATACATCCCTGACAGGTGGCTGCACAATTCGAGTCTCTACTCGGATGATGAAACAGCTGCGTTTCAGCCATTTTCAATGGGCAAGAAAGCCTGTATTGGCCAAGAGTGTGTACTCTTACCCCTACAATAAACCCACGTACGCTGACTATAATCAGCATGGCATATTATATAATACGCATCTTTATATGCAAGCTACTGTCCCATTTTGATATCAGTTCTGGAATAGACATTGACAGCTGGATATCAGACCAGAAAACATGGGCGGTGTGGAGAAGATCACCTCTTCTCATTAGAGTTGAGCCGAGATATTGTTTCTCCCCGAGTACTTCTTAGACAATATAAATTATGCCATCTCCCATTGAGGCCTTGTATTTTTATACTTTCTCGACTGAAAGCACTACAATATTGTTGTATAGTCAAGTACCCATAAGGAGCAAGAGATATCTTGGTAAGATGACCTTCTAGGCCTTAGTCGCAAACCAAAAGTCTGCACCGGTTGGGTTGTTCTACTGTATACCTTAGGAATATGTGCTTTTATAGCATACGATGGATTGTTCTGATTTTCATACTTTGCGTATACATGCATACACCCCATTCAACAAACACACCACCCTCCACCGCCATCTAAACAACCCATTAGAATATCGTCCCAACTCTCCAACCAATTTTAACCCCCCTCGCCAACACAAAAAACAAGCAAGCAAACCCATAAATCAACCCACAAAACACAATCAGCCCCGAATAATTTTCTTTCTTCCCCGGGGCACTCTGCGCTTTCATGATCTCCCCAGCAATAGGTATAGCAAACAGTGCACCCACACTAACCAAAGAATACGTGGTCCCATATCGCTTCCCAAAGTCCTCCGTCGTCGAGATCTGCGCCACACAAACAGGCGCAAGACTAATCGCCGAGCCGCTCCAGAACCCGAATAGAACGGCATATGCCACGATAGCGGCTGTATTGGACCCAGCGGACAGCCACAATGCAAGTGTAAAGACTGTACATCCGAAAGTTGTGATGATCATGACGTTAAACCGTCCATACCGGTCTGCGGCGTAGCCCGGGAGGACACGACCCAGGATCGAGGCTGCGTTGAGGATGGAAACAACCTGGTATGCGAGGCCTTCCTCCATGCCATGGGATTGGGCGTACGAGGTCAAGTAGGTGAGGGGTATGAGGAGGGCGAAGTCGATTAGGAAAATAGCGACGGTGAGTAACGCGAATGGGGCCTCGCGTAGGACGCGAAAGTCGATTTTACCTCCGCCGAGCTTTTTCGGGGGCAGTCTGGTCTTCAGGAAGAGGATGCACAGAACGCAGAAGAAGGCGCAGATGAAACCGGTGATTCGGATGGCCCAGGGGAACCCGACCGCTTCGGTGAGGTTATAGATTAGAATGGGGAAGATGATGCCTCCGCATCCGCCCGCTGTTGCTGCGATTCCGGTTGCTAGGGCCCGGCGGCGATGAAACCAGTGTGTCAGACAGGCCACGCTGGGGGTGAAGACCATTGATGAGGAGATTCCGCCGAGGACGCTGAACCCGAGCATAAATTGATAGTATTCTGGTAGAAGTCGGTATTAGCATGACCGTAGCGAGCAGGATGGTGGCTTTTCATATAGCGAACCTGTAGCTACACTAAAAACCATCAGTGAGCCAATAAGCCCAATACATCCTGGGACAAGCAGTGGTTTGAGACCGTAAGCATCAAAAACTGGTCCTGCTTCACATCAGCCATAGCCGTTTGGTTTATATGAGAGACCTGGGACACGCATACCGACTTGGACACTCCCAAAATATAGAAAGAATGAATACACTCCGAATATCCAACCAATAGATGCCTTAGAATAGCCCTTTAACTGATCATTTGCCAACCACGCTTCAAGGACGCCCATCGTGTTCAAAAGCCCAAACGAAGGAACCATTGCGCACCAGGAACCCAGCACCACGCTCCACGCTCGCCATCCGCCATCTGGAAATTCTGAGGCTTGTTCCACTTGTCCTTGGCCCTCGCATGTACTGAGACCCTTCTCATCGATGGTATTCGAGCATATTGGCAGCGGACCAGATGGGGAATCACTGTCATTCATCTTTTATCGCTTTTCTTTTCTTCTTTTTCCTTTCGTTTAGAAACAGGGTAGGATGAGAGAAAAAGTCTTTTGAAGCACTTGAAATGCTTTTCAGCTCCGTGTTCTATATAGCAGTATTGAATAGTATTTCTTTAGTTAGGGCATGGCAAACGGTTTATTCCACGCTAATCCCTTCCCGGACGCCGACGCCACTGTTGATGTCCGCGGAGCCCGAAGAACCATACATCCATGTTCTCAGAGAGTTGATCTGAGCGTTAGTTGGCTGGCCTACTGGGTCTCAGTGAGCGATCCGGTGGATTCATACTGCACAACAGAAGCAACATCGAAATCGATATGAGTCTTATGTCTTGGGTGATTGCGATGTCCTACTTCGCGAGTCCTCGTGGTAAAGATCTCAATCGAGGAAGTCGGAATCTATCAACAATCCAAAGGGTCTGTTTCACGATGTCACAGGGGTCATCCGTTCTTTGATTGTAATTTCATCTATAAACTTGCCTATCATAAAATACCATGGCGTTAGAGCGTTCATTTCGTAGTGGGATAGTACGGAAGAGCCAAACTATTGAAGGGCCTGTGTCAGTGACAACAGTCGGCCCCAGTATGTCTGGTTTGGTTGATGCAAAGAAACACGCTTGATCTTCCCCTCTCGTAAAGGTAATGTGGAAATACTAAGGGCAGAACCGAGGGAAAACAAACAAAACGAAACAGATGTTGAAGATCATCGACGGAGGCTGTCAAGCCTTGCTTGCAAGTCATCATCGCTTGTAGTAGGTCCACCTCCAGCACCGACCGGTTGAGCGACCCGGTTCTCTGCAACTGCCGTCTTTTGTATATCCGTTGGAGTCTCGCCCAGCTGTGAAAAGTCAGTACCAAAGCATAGCTCACGGAATGCCAAGAGAAGACATACCGCTTGGTTCAGGTCGACACCGATCTCGTCCAAGACTTCCTTGACAATGTCTTCTCCTTCCTCCTCCTCCCCTTCTATTCCAGTGGCTTCGTCGATTGCGTCGTCCATCATCTCTTGTCGTTGATCCATAACGTCGTTTTCGCGTTCAAATTCCATGGCAATTCTTTGGAGCGCAGGAAGGTTCATCTGTCGGTTCATGCTGCCGAGTAGCATGGTTGCACCTTTCATAGACTGCATCATCTGCTCGTTGCTTCGCACGGTCTGTACAGAAGAAAGGCAGGTCAGCATGTGATTGCGCGGAAGAGTGGCGAATATTCGTACCTGAATCCGAAGGGAAATAGCCTGTAGCTGCGTTCGCATTTGGTAGAATTTCTGGATATACCTGAGCGGGACAAGGCTCGTTAGATACAACTAGACAAACAGGTGTCCATCATTGATTTGTAGACAGCGTACCTTCTCGTCCGAACCAGGTCCTTCGCCTGGATCTTGCAGGCACCGATTTGACCATTTTTGGCACTCTTCTTGATATCCGAGACCAGCTTCTTTTCTTGGTTCTCTAACTTGACCCGTTCGCGGTCCAGTTCACGCTGCGTCCTGTCCAGCGCCCTTTGATGTTTGCGCAGACGCTCAGCGGGCGTCATGCGCTTTCCGAATGCCCACTCGACGATCTAGAGGGGTAATGTTAGTTGACGTGACAGTAGGGACAAACCCAAGCGATAACTTACATTCATGATGGCAGCAATAGAACAACCCGACAATCATATAAAGCAGAAAGCAAGCACCTAAGCTCGAAGTGTCCACAGCGATGAGGCCCCCAGCGGCGGTGACATCAAGCTCAGCCCACCCAGACGATCGATACGCCGCGATTAGGGCGAGTCACATGCAGCCACCAAACCCCTTTCGGGCGAAAATTAGATGACGTAAGCAGATCTTCGACTTTCTCCGAACCAAAAAAACAAGTTTCCGCCTTTAAACGTTTCCATACTGCCATTTCGCCTCCGAGCTCTCTCTCTCTTCATAATTTCTCCGTCCATCGATTCGGACTCTCATGCAAACCACCCCCTTTTCGTCATGAGTCAGGAGTATTTTCCCGGCATGGGCGGTTCCTCGGCCGGCGAGGGATCGTCTAGACACGCTCCGGACGAGTCTTCGCAGAACCCTCCCCTTCCGAACGCCCCGCCCGCGTATATGACCGTCGGTAATGGTTCGACTTCGGAGAGCGCCTCGCGCTTGATGGCTTCGCTGGACGAGGATTCTGGCTATGGTGGCAGCATCGCGAGTGGCAGCGCCATCGACGGCAATGGTGGCAGTAGATTAAGACCGGAGTTATTTGAGGACCGACCAACTCCGATGCATGCCCCGGCGTATTTCAGTGAGGCCGGTGAGTCCTTTTTTGTATCCAAGGATATGGCGGGTTGAGGCTCGTTTTGGCGCATACTGACGGTCTGGGACGATAGCGGAACATGAGAGACAGGTGGTGGCGAGTCATGTTCATCAGTTACAATAGTATGGTTTTTCCAACACCGAAGACGCGACTTGAGATGCTAAAGGCGTTCGCAGCAACCAAAACAGGACAAAGCTCGGTCGAGCGATCTCGCGCACTATCGAAACCCTGAAGGAACTCCAGAATATGAATCGCCAGTGGCCGGCCCATTACCCTTCCGTTCAGCACCCCGATCCCTCTCGGCCCGCGTTGCAGCACACACAGTCGTTCGGCTTGAATCCTGATGAATCGGAGGACCCCCGACCCGGAATGAGGCGCGCAGCGACTATGCCCATCAACGACGATTTGGCCGAATCCAGTTCCACCGCGGAGCGTCGCACCACCCCCGAGCCGAGGTTGATGAGCCCACAGATTGCGCAAGAGTTCTCGATCTTGAAGTTGGATCTGAAGCTGGGAGCTTTGTCTCAGGCTGAGCTTGTGCATTCCTTGGAAAAGTCGTCTATCGCGTCTCTCTTGGACGGAAAGATTAGCCAAAGTGTCAAACACCTTCTTTCGCTGCGCGACAGAATCGAGGATACGTCGAGTAAGGTCCTGATTACGGGTGACCTGAACGCAGGAAAGTCGACTTTCTGCAATGCTTTGCTGCGACGCAAGGTTCTTCCGGAAGATCAGCAACCCTGCACCAGTATCTTCTGCGAAGTACTAGACGCCCGAGAGAACAGCGGGCTGGAGGAGGTGCATGCGGTTCACAAGGAAAAACAGTACAACCGCAACGACGAGAGCACATACGATGTCTACCCCCTGAAAGAGCTGGAGAACATTGTGATCGACAACTCACACTACATGCAGTGCAAGGTTTACGTGAAGGATGTGCGGACCATCGATGAGTCTCTGTTAAACAACGGAGTGGTTGATATTGCTTTGATTGACGCTCCTGGCTTGAATTCGGACTCCCTGAAAACCACGGCGGTTTTCGCTCGACAGGAAGAGATTGACGTCGTCGTCTTCGTGGTTTCTGCCGCAAACCACTTTACGCTCTCCGCCAAGGACTTCATTCACAACGCTGCGCATGAGAAGGCTTACATGTTCATGGTAGTCAACGGCTTTGATCAGATTCGGGACAAGCAACGATGTGAACGGATGATCCTGGATCAAATCAACAAACTTAGCCCTCGTACTTACAAGGAAGCTGCGGAACTCGTCCACTTCGTCTCCAGCAATGCCGTCCCAGTTGCACCTCCGATGTCCGTTGAAAGTTCCGGCGGTGGCGGTGGCGGGGGAGACTCAGATCCGCATGATGATGATGACGATTCAAACGATCACAAAGGAAAAGGAAAGGACAAAGGCAAAGAGAAGCAGAAGATCCAGGACTTCGAAAATCTGGAGAGCTCACTGCGACGGTTCGTTCTGGAGAAGCGCTCCCGGTCGAAACTCGCTCCCGCCAGGACTTACCTTCTCAATTTGCTTGCGGACCTGAATTCTTTAGCCGCGGTCAATCGTGATGTTGCTCAAGCTGAACTTAAGCGTGTTACAGAAGAACTCGCGGAGCTTGAGCCGGCCTTCGAGGATGGCAAGAAGAAGAAGATTGAGCTTGACGTTCAGGTCGATAAATGCATCGATGACTCCTGTGACGACGTTTATAACCACACCCGCACGACTCTTTCCGACACTATCGCTCGTGTATCCGATGCCGACCTTGGTGTCGAATACCCCGGCTTCCTTTCTGCGTTCCAATATGCCGAGGATCTGAAGGTGGCCATGCTCGAGCAAATTGCATCATCCGTCTCGAACTGCGAGGACTATGCACGTGACCGGACCGTGAAGGGAGTTGGCTTTATTCAGAACATCGGTCTCCTGCATGTCGGGGAAGATAAATTTGCTCCCCTCCAATTCCGCGCAGATATGATGTTCCGTCGCGGTCGCCGTCATACGTTTGCCAGACAGGTGGACACGGAAGTCGAGCTGTTGGATTTCTTCGATATCGCTGGCCTCTGGGAGCGACAGGAGAAGGTGGCCGGAACGGGCATGGCCATGACAGCGTTGACTGTGGTTGGAGGTAGAGCTTTGGGCGGTATCAGTTGGGTCGATAGCATGTTCAGTGCTGTGAAGATCCTCGGCCCCAACAATGTGCGACGTCTGTTCTTCCCCGGCGTTATTGCTGCTGGTGAGTGTTCTTCCCGATCTATTATGTCTTTCTTGACAAGCATCAGCTAACTCCCACAGCCCTTTTGACCGCCGCATACATGGTCTCCCAGATCCCATCCACCCTGCCTCCTCGTCTTTCTCGCAAACTTGCCGCTACCCTCTCTGAAATGGACTACGTGCACTCCAATGCCAACCGCATCTCATCAGAAGTCCGCCGCATTCTGCGCCTTCCTGCCGGTAACCTCCAAACCAGCCTTGCACAGGGCATCGAGGATCTCGGACGACGCAAGCAGGAAGTCAGCAAGACGAAGCACGAGAGTGAAACCGCAAGCAAATACTTCGTCAACCTCTTCCGCGAAAGTGGCGAGAACAGAACGTCTGTTGACTCGATAGATCTTGATGCCCCATTGCCCGGTGGCATGGCGGCTCATGGGCTATGAGTTGTACCAACTAAAAAAACGATGACGACGATGCTGTACGAAGAATTGTGCTGTTTTGACTCGATTGGTGGGTTGCAATTTGTTCTGTCCTTTCTCTTTATTCCCATACTGTATTATTCAATCCCCTTCCTTCATCCCCACCACCTTATTCAACATCCTCCAGTCGGATTTCACTTTCTCCTTCCTCCTTTTGTTGTTTCTTTACTTTTATCATGAGGTTGTTCTCCATCCACTGGCTTCCTTGATTATACTCTATGCTCTCAAGGTTGTGCACGATGTATTCAGCTTCTTCAATAATTCGATATCCCACATGGCGCGCGTTGGTGTTCGCTAGTAATGCTATCTATAATCCTATTCTGCAATAGGTTTCATTCTCTAACCTCTTTCTTGGCTTTAAAAGTATCCATAGCGATTAAATATGTGAGCTCAATTGCAGTTTTGTTTCTTTTCATAAATTGCTTACGCTAGATGATTGTGACAACAGTCTACAAGGAATCTTATGATCCTTGACAAAGAACCAAAAACGAAATTCATAAGATAAGAGAGAGCCAAATTGTGATGAGACGGATACCAACGACCGACGCCTCGCCATGCAATCCATTAAACGTAGAAGTAGACATGATGAGTAACCAACATCAATCAACACACGCACAAACCACAAACCAGGGGGATAAACGCAAATTAACCCCAGGCACAACATCCCCAACCTACAAATCCTTCAACACCTTATTAGCATTCCTCGTGCGCCTCCCAGTCCCCCACCCCGCATTCTCTAGATCCTTCACCTCCCCCAAAACCAGGTTCTGATCCTGGGTCTTATTCTGCAAAGAAGAAGAGGAGGCTTTATCGGCCAACTTCCCTGCATGGGAAAGGAACTTCTCGCGCATGGCGAGCGCATCAGGATCTTCGTAGTGCAACTGCGTCATGGGTGGCGACTCAGGCTCGTTCTTTTCCTCGCGATATAGATGCTGTTCGTCTTCGGCGTATTCGAAGCGGCCGCTATTTGCGAGAGAGGGGATACCGTTGTCCGTGTTGATGCTTTCGATGGCACTGCCGCAGCCGTCTTCGTTGAGGGTGTCGATGGAGCTGGCGCGCGAGAAACCGCGCTGCTGCTGCTGGTGTTGGTCGAGGGCGTTGGTGCGGGCGGAGGAGGTATTTGAGGTTGCACGCCCGAGGAGGGGTTTGCGCTTGCGGCGATTGTTGGGATGCTGCTGCTGTTGCTCTGTTGGGTCGGAGTTGGAGCGGGAGTTGGCTTCACGGGCTTGTTTAAGGAAGCCGCTGACGGTGGCGAGGTCGGCGGAGGTGGTAGTTGGTTCGCTTGGGGGTTGGGATTTGGCGGATGAACGGTGGTTATGGTTCTTTGAGGGTGAGGGTAGTTTCGACTTCGGTTGGGGTTGCGGCTCAGATGAGGGCTTCTGTGAAATGTCTTGTTTCGACTTGTGTGGGATATTCTCTTGCAAAGAGTTTGAGCGTCGATCAGATGGAGTGCCACGGCTGTCCGGCGATTGGATCAAACCGGTCTTTTGGGCCTTCGTAGGGGAATCTTCGACTTTGTTTCTGTCATTGGGATTCTCGAGTGGTCGTTTTTCGGGACGCGAGCTAGCGCGCATTTCGAGGCCTTTGGTGCTCTGAGAAGTAGGCTTTTGAGAGCTTGGTCTTCGAATAAGATATGGATCGAAAGATTGTTTCTGTTCCCTGCGAATGGAGTTCCAGAGCCAGTCGGCAGTCACCGCCGGCACTCCCCATTCAGAGGTATGGCGAAGCTTGTCCTGGTTGACGGCATTGGGGTCATTGCAGACTAGTACTGATGCACTTGGCGTCAAGTACTCGTTGTATGATGCACCTGAGAAGTCAGATAAGATAGTTTCAGCGATAGCCTATGACCTACCGATCAAGTTAACAAGTTTGGATAGGTGGAGAAGATCGATGCGAGAAAATCCAGTAGAACAGACTCTCGTCTCGTGAAAGCCTATTTTCATTAGATACTGGGTGGAGATGTTCAAGCCGGAGAACCTACCTGGAATGGGAAATCGTCGAACCGGTGAGTTTGCGACGTGTGATTCTGGAGGTACCAATGCTTTGGCGTCAAGGCATCTTTCTAGCCACATGTCTGTCACGATCTCACAATCGAATGCTAAATCGTCCGTAGAGGGAATTTGACTGGAAGGTATCTTATGCGAAACAATGATATAGAGGCCGGAGCCTTTCTTTGGAATATCTGGCCGAGAAAACTCGCTCATGGAATCCACCAATTGCGCACCATTAAACGAAAGATGATGGCGCAATACATTTGTCTGTTGGAGGATGAGCTATTGTAAGAAACCAAGTTTGGTTATACGTACCTGTTTAGAGGAGAACCCGTAAACGAAGAAGAAACAATCGTGCAGAAAACCATCGCGGCTGTTCGTTGCCTCGGTAGACTGCTGACGAGACCCTTGGGGTTCTGCAAATGTCGTCTCACTAGCGAACGACCTGGCTTCCTGGACTATTGATTCACGTCTTGTGAGTTTCTGGCTTCCTTCTTTCGGTTGGCTGCCCATGCCGACAATATCGCCCCAGATCCCTTCATTCTGATCACCCAACTTCGCACTGGCAACGCGACGCAATTTCCGAGGCCGATGGTTCGGCGGATTTTCGTTTTCCGGGGCTTTTGCTTTGACTGTAGGTATCGAGCGATTCCAGGCTCCAGCACCCTGTTGCTCCTCTGGCAGGAGGGGATGATACAGAGTCTCTTCCAAGACCATTCCACGCTCCAAGCTCTCATTGAACCATTTCATGGTGACGACCTTTATATTCCATTGCGTTGCGAATTTGTATTTCTGGCCGTCGGTGTTGCGCGCGATCAGGTGCGTCACACTCTTCGTGAGATCCTTCTTGAATTCGGCCCCGTTCGCATTCGTCGTGCTCTGGATGTGGTTTCGGAAGGTCACTAGGACAGCACTTGTGAGTTTCTTTGATTGATCGATCAACGAGCATGCGACAGGTCCACTCACTGTCTTCGAAACCCGTTATACATATAGCCAACCCCGCAAAGGTTGGGAGTCGATGTTCAAGCTCGAGGGCTCGAATGTCGGTATCTCCTCCCTCCATCCATGATTGTCGTACTGCTTCAATCCATTCCGGTTTCAAAACGGTGACGTCCGCTCGTTCTCGCGCAACGAATTTATATTTCGCGGTATTTGTTTCGCCGACGATCAGATGGGTAACGTCGGATGTGAGGTCGTACTTGTGAGTTGCTCCCATCTGACCTGCAATGGTCGCTAACTCAGTCTAACAAAGCACCATGCATCAGTCAGTTACAGGTCCATATTTCGGCAAAGAACAAAAGAAAAACAAGGTATGATAACTCACCCTCTGCTCCGGTAGAATGGAGGTAAAGCAAAGGACAATCCCCGCGAGAGGATGCTCTTTGTCTAATTTTCAATCAGTAATCCAAGAGTGGTTACCGAAGCCAGCAAGTTGACTTACTTGTAGTTGCTTTCTCTGCCATACTTCATGATTGACAGAGTCGGGCCTTTCCTCTCATGCGCCGTGCTGGATTGTCTGCTTGGATAATTCCGATGCGGCATTGGCCGGCGCGTGTCCGCGGAACACGGTCACGTGACTGCATACCTCGATACGAGTGGGCGGACTGCCCTGAGAGGGATCAGCAACCTTTCTCTCTATATACCGACAGGCTTAATGCCATTGATATAGAAACCAAGATGAGTTATAAATCTGAGTCAATACTTCTTGCTTTGTGTTTGTTCACGCATGTTGACATGCTGACGCCACTTATTGATCGCGCCCCGGAATCTAGCCCTTATCGGAGTCACGTGTGATAGGCGGCGCGTATCTTCATCTGCCGGAGGGACGCGACAGCTTCGCGAAATCTTCCGGCGCATCAAGACCTGATGCAGTGGGCTCTGAAGAGTGAGTATATCTAACTATTGGTTGAAACTAATAGTCTACTATACAGCTTCTGTACATTGTGAGAATTCATCAAATTACCTTTCTCGCGCGACCAATACTCATTGCATGGAGTTTCACTGATAACGCAAGTTGTTCCGCGGCATTCAGCATCTCATTCACAGATAACAGAGGAAGCTGCGATGTTCAAGAAGGCTGTGCAGGAGCACACGGGGCCACCCACCACAAAGTCCCTCCAATCAACTCTGTTCAACACCAATGCAAACAGCCAATCGCTGCCCACACCTGCACAATCGCAAGGTGTCAAGCGAAAGATCGAGATGACGAGTGCCGGACAGAGTGGATTGGGATCGTTGCATACTAGTGCGGTATATTTTGATGAAAATGACTTTGATGACGACGATGACTTGGATTTCGAGGAGCCAGATCCGTTCATCCCCCCGCCCAAAATTGTTCGGCCCAGTGCTCAAGTGCAGGAGACGAATGGAACGTCGAGTTCAAATGTTATACCCAAGATGAATGACACCTCGAGACAGAGCGCCGCACCAAAGAAGTCGGAGATTATCACACTTAGTGATGATTCGTTGGATGTCAAGTACCCAGAACTACCACCTCTTCCTGATGAGCAGGTCGCACCGTCGAGCAGCATACAATACCCTTGGTCCTCATCACCTCCGTCTCATTTTCAGAACCCCGCCAACCGTCGAACCCTACCGTGGCTGAGAAACGAAGAGCCAGCGCCCGAGCCTCCCGTATACAAAAAGCCAGAAACTCCCGTGCGCCCAAAGCCAAAGACTACAGCACCATGGAACAAGACCGCTAGTGCCATCAAGGAGGAACAAAAAGAGCTTCGTCGGCAGGCTAAGAAGAGCCAGAAGGGAGAGACGAAACACAAGCCAAAGTCGAAGCTCGCGTCGCTATTCCTCAGTGATGAGCAGCGTCATGTACTTGACGCTGTGGTCCAAGGTGGGAAGAGCATGTTCTTCACCGGTTCCGCTGGTACTGGTAAATCCGTGCTCATGAGGGAAATCATCAAAAAACTGCGGGATAAATATCGGAGGGAGCCGGATCGAGTGGCTGTTACTGCTTCCACGGGGCTTGCTGCCTGTAACATTGAGGGAGTCACTCTACACAGTTTCGCGGGTATTGGGTTGGGTAAAGAGCAAGTTCCTGAGCTTGTTAAGAAGGTCGCAAACACCTCGTCCCCATTGAACCTCGGGTTATGCTAATACTATTTGCAGATCAAGAGAAATCCCAAAGCCAAGAATCGTTGGCTGCGCACAAAGGTCCTGATTATCGATGAGGTATCTATGGTTGATGGGGATCTTTTTGATAAGCTGGAGGACATCGCCCGTAAAATCAGAAATAATGGCCGGCCGTTCGGGGGCATCCAGCTTGTCGTAACCGGTGACTTCTTCCAGCTGCCCCCAGTGCCTGAGAAGAATAGTCGAGACGCAAAATTTGCCTTTGCAGCCGCCACTTGGAACACTTCCATCCAGCACACGATTCTGTTGACCACAGTCTTTCGTCAGGCTGACCCCGAGTTTGCTGGGATGCTGAATGAGATGCGACTAGGCAAACTAAGTCCTCAGTCCATCAATATTTTCAAGTCTCTCGCCCGACCCCTCGACTTTCACGATTCCCTCGAGGCTACAGAGTTGTAAGGGAACCTTCCAAAAAATGCTAATGCCTTCAATACTGACTTGAACTTTTTGTTTAGATTTCCTACTCGCCAAGAAGTAGAAAGCGCCAATGGTGCTAGAATGCAGAGACTCTCAGGCGAGCTGATGACCTTCACTGCACAAGATTCAGGAACGATCAAAGAACCTGAATATCGTGAAAAACTGCTACAGAACTGCATGGCCCCACCTGTGATCCACCTCAAGAAAGGCGCCCAGGTAATGCTTATCAAAAACATGGAAGAAACACTAGTGAACGGGTCCATTGGACGTGTCGTTGCATTCATGGACGAAGCAACATTCGACTACTACCGAGAGAACGAGGCCGACTTCTCCGGAGAGCCAGGGGGCGGGAGTGACGACGAGAATGCAATCCACGCCCGCAAGAAGCTCAAAAGCATGATCCACAAAGACGGCGCCGGTGGAATCGCCGTCACCAAGAAATGGCCTCTGGTGTGCTTCGTGCAACCTGATGGAAGCGAGCGACATCTGCTCTGCCAGCCTGAAGCCTGGAAGATCGAGCTGCCCAACGGTGAAATCCAGGCCCAGCGCCAACAAGTCCCACTCATCCTCGCGTGGGCTCTCTCCATTCACAAAGCTCAAGGCCAAACTCTCCAGCGGGTCAAGGTCGATCTCGGCCGAGTCTTCGAACGAGGACAGGCATACGTTGCGCTCAGTCGTGCCACCAGCAAAGAGGGTCTCCAAGTTACACGCTTCGAACCGCGCAAGGTCATGGTTCACCCCAAGGTCACGGAATTCTATTCTAACCTGGTGAGCATCACCGAGGTGATCAAGCCGAAGGGCAATGCCAACACCAATAATAACAATGGACCTCCACCTGGACGAGTCACCAATGAGTTTGGAGACTCCGACGAAGAAGAATATCTCGAAGAACTATATGGATTATAGATAGAGGGATAAATAGGCCTTTTTCCTTTCGAAGTTTTCGGGATCTTCATTACGCTTTCATGTTTGAAATCAGCCTTTCCAAGTCTACACGGCGTTTGACTTGTTGCATTTTACTACCTAAATAGCCAGGTATTGATATCATCTGTAGGTTGATGCTGGCACACTACCTTTCCCCCCGCTCGTCGAGATACACATTGTAATTGATCTTGTGTTGTGAACACGAAGATGAATTTGTTCAATATCATTCATATTTATGATAAATCTTAAATGGGATATCTATACATAGGATGGAGAGCGATGCAATGCAGCAGTAAATGTATATTCCAAATTAAACACAAGAAGTGAAGATATTCAATGAAGACGGGGGAGAGCAAGCTCAAGCCAGAAAAGTATTAAGATCCATGTAGTAGAAAAGGAAAAAAAACAGAAAAATTTAAAAGAACAAACCAACAAGTGGCGAGGAACTCAACCAAACTTGACTCCCTCAGAACAAACCAAAGCAATCTATTATGATCTATGAAACACACATACCCCACGACTCAAGAGCTTTTTCGACTCAACCTGGGACTGATATAACCCGATTTTACACCTCCCAACCCCTCACCAGTATCAGTTGAATGCTAGATCTACTTGAACGATTCCCGCGTATGCACCCGATCAATATCATAGGGGTTCTCCTCATACGCAGGCTTCGAATCAACGGTACTTGCGCGCCTCGAATGCAACGAGAAAGTACGACTGCGTCGAACAGGCTCAGACGGGAGTTCGTCGACGTTCGAGTTCGACGAATGGTTGAGGGTATTAGGGTTCGAGTCAGAGGTGGAATTTTGGCGCCCAAGCTCGATGTCCTTCTCGTCTGCGACCGGAGAAGCCTCATTCTCGGCGCGCGCAGGTGGCTGGGTTGTGTTTGGCTTTTGAGTGGCCGCGGCAGCAGCGCCTTCCATCATCTGGCGCATGAAGGCGTCTGATTGCGCGGCGAATTTGCAGCGCTGGCGGATCGCGGCGCCGTATTTGTAGAAGAGGAAGGGGAAGGGAACACAGGCGAGGGCGAGGAAGGCCGGGATGCTGGAGGCCCAGTGGATTCCGAGGTCGGCGTACATGTAGGTGGTGAAGAGGGGGAAGACGGCGCCGAAAATGGACCGGAGGACGGAGTTGGCGGCGAGGACGGAGGCGGCGAAGATGGTGTACGAGTCGATGAGGTAGTTCATGACACTCAGGAAGAGGAGGACCATTCCGAAACCGAAGGGCGCGCCGGCGGCTATACTGGCGAGCCAGTGGATGCTGGGGTAGTTGGTCCAGGCGAACCAGAAGAGACCGACTGGGACGGCGATCGATGCGATCATGCAGGGAGGAAGACGGGCTTCCGGAGGGGCGAAACCGTTGTGTTTAGCTTGGACGTCGATATATCGCTTGTTGTCGTATATGGTGAAGGCGAGCGCGCAGAGCATCCCGATTAGAATACCTAGGAAGGCAAGGCCGGAGATACCTTGGCTCCAGCCACGATTCTGTTGATACACGATGGGGAACGCCGCGAAAAGCATGTACAGTGTGCCGTAGATGATGGCCATGTAGATGGACAAGAGCAAAACTATCGGTTCCTTAAAGAGAAGGATCCAGGGGCGAGAGAGGGAGGTTTTGAATGCCTGTGAAAGCGATGGAATTCCGCCCTGCTTTGCATCAAGCTGAGACAGATAGACCTTCCCATGCAGTGATGATAAGCGAGCCGCTCTTCTTCGTAGAAGTACTGGTCCATAGGTTTCGGGAACAAAAAGACTGCAAGCGATCCAGACAGTGCCAGAAAAGGCTGCTAGAAGGCCCATGACCCACTTCCAGCCTGCGCTTTCACCGAGGAACCCTCCAACAATAGGTCCAATAACAGGGCCCATGAAAGGAGCAGAAGCGAAAAGACTCATTGCCAGTCCACGGTGGCGCGCGGAGAACATGTCCGCGATAATACCACCGGCATTGGTCAGTGGTGACGATCCGAAACAGCCCGCAAAGAATCGAAAGATGATTAAAGACTCGGGATTCTTCGCGCCTGTAGCGGCCGCATTGAAGATAGTCAGACCGCAATAGCTTATGGTGAAGAGATATTGACGGCCAAACAGTTCACTGAGGGGAGCCCATAGCAGAGGTCCGATGGCAAACCCTAAGACGAAAAGCCTATACATGGGGATAGGGGTTAGCATTCAACCACTCAACCTTTTGAAAAGGCTGCTGAGATCCACATACGATATACCTAGAGTTGCTACCTCAGTTCCGATATGAAAATCTGCCATGATCTCGGCGACACCGCCGGAATAGGCAGACGAGACCAGGGCAACCGCCAAGGTTGAGATGGACACGGCAAGCGTATACATCCATTTTTTGTACTCTGGAAAGGTCATTGGGTTACGAGGGTCATTAGGAAGCCATGAGACCAGGTACGGGTCCTCTTCAGTGCCACTTCCTGGGTAAGGGTAATTGGCAATTTCATCGGTGACGATGCCCTGGTCCAGGAGCAGCTTCCAGTGAGGAATCCTTGTAATCTGCGGCTGTTCCATTGCTCCAGAACTGCTGTGTGGGCTTCAAGATTGCCTCCTACCTCGCAATCTGTGACCAAAGCTGTGGTAGGGAGGGATAGGGCCTCAGCATGTAAACAAAAAGAGAGGAAAGGTATGAAGAAAAGAAAGTGTATGCTAGGTTAAATCAGAAGACCAGGGAAGAGCAAACATGATAAGCACCCACGGAAACAAGAGACTACTCCGTGTGCCCAACCCAGTCATTATTAAAAGGTCAGAAAGTGGATCGATTGCAGGACGAGGCTAATGGGCCTCTAGATCCATTATAAAAACCTAGCCATGAGCAACGGAGTTAAGGGTGGATAACAGGGTAGAAAACAACCATCAGCTTGACGCGGTCAGCCTCGAGTGCATTATTATCGCTAAAATCCGGTCCATCTCATCTATTCTATGCCCGACGGTGTGCGGCGCTTGGTCATTCGTCATCATTACCAGAGTGATTGATAGGTATCTATGCATATTATGTTTGGAGCAAACCGGGGAGAAGAGACGGTTCATAAAAGCCCTATCCAAGAACAGGCGGCATAAAATCCCGCGAGGACCGATCCGCCAGGGTGAGAACGACAATGTGACAGGGGAGAGCGCGCGGTATGGAGTCGGCCGCGCTGTGGCAACACCTGCAGGGCCGAGTCACAGGCAGGTTGAGCCAATCAACGACGGGATGTGATGAGATATTAGCCCAGTTCCTAGATGATGGTCAAAGTTTAATCAAAACAGTAGTAATTATGCACATAAGATACGAGAGTGCACCATAATTCTCAGCAAGAACAGGCAATTGAGCCATGGAAGCCACCATCAATGGACCCAGACGGGCCAGACGGGGAACGAAAAAGCCAGAGCTTAGCCCGTGGTTCCCGGGTGATTTGTTGCATGACTGCGGCTTATGCACGAGGTAAGGCGATGTGCAAACCTGGATGCTGTGCTATACCGCTGGGAGAAGTTGGGAACTCCACGAATAAACGACCATCTGCCATTTAGAAGGTCTGGAGTTGTTCTCGGGGAATCCTTTGGGAGAGCAGAATTGGCCAAGTGGATCCGCTGATTCAGTGCTTTGTGCTTCGTCTTATGCAGCCCATTCCTGCATAGTCCTGACTTTCGGAATTATGCACGACGCATCCATAGAACCAGCAACGTCAATGCAGTTCAGATTGGAGGGATTGAAGGATGTTTCGCGAAGTCCTAACTTCAAATTCCAACTAATTTCGTGCCATGACTAATGTCGGCTCAATCTTCCGTGTTTTTCTCCCCCTGTCGACTCATGCCGGGGTCTAGCTCTCTGTGGCCCAAAGTTATACATTTGCTTTGTGTTGCATAGAATATCAGAATTGAAGTTTCTCTTGAGAATCGCAACGTTTTGAACTCACTTGAGATCCACATCCAACTTCGAAATTCATCTTAATTTTTACTTGTCGAGTGGTTGGCGCAGCCGCTGGATTTGGACGCAGGTGTACTGCAAAGGATTGAAGGGGCATAGAATAGCTTCCCCAAAGCCTTGATTCAGAATGCGCAAGAAGCCTGGAGGGTATAATTATTTCAGACAGGTCTGGATTTCAATGTCGCCAAGTTTCTATCTATATTGTATCACAGATAACCAACCAAGAAACTATATCTCAATGCTAGTGCGGTATATCCTGAGGAAGTGAAGGGGTACGACGAAATCACTGAGTGAAATTTGTAGTTAAATTGATGTCTGTTGTGCAATAACTAGGTGGTGAGGGTCTGACTTCTGATAAAGGAGCTCAGCTAGAGTTATCTGCAATTGAAATTGAGCTGCGTGACATGGGGAGTGTCGGACTGGGTTGGTATCGAGACCCCTTTTGTCACTTAGGCTTCTTTATTAAGTATATCACACATGCTGGTTGAACGAGATCTGGTATGGTGTACGCCGTCAATGTTCTGCCTTCCTTCAAAATCAGTTCTCGGATAGACTTTCTAGTCTGATATATATCTTTCTATCCAGAACTTGATGCTTGGTCAGTCAATAGTCCAGTCACGCTTTTCTGTCCATATTTTATGAATTGGCACATATATTCACCGGAGATCTCAGAAGAGTGAATAGGAGATGATAAGAGTATAGTCAGTAGTCCAAGAAACTGAATTCTCCGATAATCTTTAGTTTCGTAGTAGCAGGTGCACCTCAGGCGCTAAGGCCGCCCCACATGAACAGATCTTATCGATAGGCGGTATCACACGTGACGGGAGCGGAAGCTGCAGCTGCACTCTTTCTGTCTTTCCATTGAAAGCTGACAATTCACTTTTGCGACACAAGACGAGTCCTGTCCTCCCCTCTACCTCGCTTCTCGCCCTTTCCCCTTTCCCAACCTCATAGGATGAGCATCCGATGTTGACCACTTGATTTCGATGCACCGTTGTTCATCATGGCGTCCCAATTTATTGGCTACAATGTTCTCGTGACCCTGAAAGCACCGCCGGATGCAACCGTCCAGGGAGAAGTGGCCGATGTCATAGGCCAGCGCTTGATGCTGCGAAATGGTAAGCATGAAAATCCGGCTTGGCGTCACTCAACGCAGCGCCCCTCTAATCAGTAAATTTTTAGTGAAACTGTCGTGGAATCACCAAGTGCTCCCTAGCTATTTTATCGATGCGACCGACATCGCGGACCTTTCTCTCGGATCTGCCGTCAAGGGTCAATCGCAAAATCTGCCTGCAGCCAAAGGAGACCGAAGCACAACCCAGGCTGCACCCGCGACGCAACAGCAGTTCGTTGACCCCGCTATCCTGAGCTTCTCCAAACCTCCCTCCAAACCAATTAGTCGCACTCTTGAACCGGAGAATCGACCGCTTCAGCCCAGCTTGCCGAACGAACCAACCGTGCAGCAGCCTCGTCCACCTCAAGTCGCACACGCTCAACCAGCTGCGGTATTGACGGAACCATTCAGCAGCTTGGAGTTAAATGTGGACGGCAAGACCGGCAGTGGAGGCATACCACAGGTGGAGGAGCGTCGCGAATCTGTCTATGGTTCGAGAGACGAATTGACACCGCTGCAAACACCGAGTCAATATGCGGCAAAGCGCAGTCGACGAACCGGGCAGAAGAAGACTCGACAGGGAGGATATCCGAACGCGGTCAATGAGCACGATGGGGCCTCGAACACGAACCCGAAGACTCGAGGCTGGCGTCAAACTGCCTTCGTTGAACCATCTGACCCGCACCTGATTAACTCTCCACAACCGCACGCAGAGAAAGAGGGAACTCTCAATGGACGGCGTCGCAAGAAGAAGAACCGCGGCTCCTACGTCGAAGACCCCAGCGGATGGGCGACAGAAGATGCCACTGACATCCAAGAATTGGGGGAGTTCGATTTCCAGAGCAACCTTTCGAAGTTCGATAAGCGGAGGGTGTTTGAAGAAATTAGGAACGATGACACAACGGCAGACGAAGCTCGATTGGTCAGCTTCAATAGAAGGGTCCCAAAGCCAGGCACCAATGGTGGCAAGAACCTGCACTGGACGGAGAACGTCCTGGACAGCCCTCAAGAAAGTGAAAACGAAGCAAGTGAACACGAGCCTAGTGATGCAAAACTGAGCAGTGGAACCTACTCGGGACGTGAGTTGTCAAAGGCACGAGGACAAACTTCTCGAAAGGGCAGTGCTTTGCTGGGTCAGCCGCTCGTTCCGCCACAACTCAATACTATCGGACGTGGTCAACTCAGTTCTTCTCGCACTACAAGTCCACGCCCGAATAAAACCCCCGTTTCAGCATCTCCGATAGGCGGGCCTGGTGCTTCAGGTGTTTCCTTGCGTCTTACTACAACCAACAGAAGTTGCCCGACTGTGAGCCCTTTACAGACCCTTGAGGTCGAGCAAATTGCCGTTACGGAACTCGGTTTAACCGAAGATATGATCACGGAAAATGCTGGAAGAGGCATCGCAGAAGCTGCTGTTGGCCTCCTTACGAATGACGCAGCTGCGCCTACGATCTTGGTTCTCACGGGCAATCATCGCACTGGGGCAAGAGCAATTTCTGCCGCTCGCCATCTCCGCAACAGAGGCCACCGTGTAACTGCATGCATGCTTGGAATTGAGCATGAAAATGAGCTGTTGGAGAGCTGTCGTAAACAGCTCGACGTCTTCAAGAAGATCGGTGGGCGAGTGCTGAGATGGGAAGACTTGTCGGCTCGACTGTCAACCTCGGATTTCAGCCCGGACTTGGTAGTGGATGCCTTGTTTGGCGTTCACATAGCCTTTGACGACCTGCGTACCGACGATCAGGCCACTGCTTTCGAAATGATTTCCTGGACCAATCGAAGCAATCTCGAGGTTCTTTCTGTCGATGTGCCTTCGGGGCTATCGGCTTCTAGTGGTAAGAACCCGCAAAACAATGGTGATAAACCAACTTTTATCCTTCTTTTTGCTAACGGAATTCTTGATAGGTGAGGTAACTATCGTGGAAGGGGGTCGACTATGCGTCAATTCCAAATCTGTTGTCTGCCTTGGAGCACCCAAGACCGGCGTGGTGCAAGCTTTGGTTTTGGGCGAAGGACTCTCCTGGAACCTTTCAGTGGCAGATATAGGTGTACCGCAGATTGTATGGAGAAAATACGGTACTCGCCGGCGACATGGAATCGACTTTGGGAACCGCTGGGTGGTCCCTCTGCGTTTCCAGGCATCCACTGCTTGAGATCACCTCATAGCCACCTGACGACTGAATGACTTGAATAAAAGGGAACGAAGGAAAACGCCCATCATGGTCGATACGGCCTATGGCTTGCATTGGAGGGGATAGAGCTGGAGGCACTCTTGCTGCTGCTCTTAATTCTGGAATGGCATTAGCTACGGGGGGAATAGGACTTCTGAAAATGGAGCACGCTGTACAGTATGTAGTTATATCTTATGCTTATTGATGTAGCCTGTTTCAGCCACTGGACAGTTTCAGGTCATTGACTCCTACCAGTGGGCTCTTTTCCAAGTATTTGTATCTGAGGTGTACGTACTAGGTATACATTGGGTGTAAACTGATAACGTAGATACTGTAATGTTACAAATTGCCTAACCCGAAACGGCTAGCCTGATCCCGGCGCAATACATCATGCTTTTGCGGCGGCATCTCGTTGCGAAGCCAAACCCAGCATCTTTGCTGCCCTCGCAACAATGGGAAAAGGTCAGTGCCTTGCATCTTATAGTACTATGTCCCTCTAATTACCAGACTAACGTGAAATCTTCTATAGGAACGGATAAACTCTATGTACGCAAGACCTCCGCGAGTCCTCACATAAACGCCCCTCCAAAAACTGACCGCGAACCTATAGATCACCCATTCGGAATGGGCATCGGAGGATGCTTTTTCGGCCAACGCAGGCGCGGGGGTCGGAAGGGCCAGACGAGGCGGAGCTGAGGGTGCGTTCAAGCGCCTTCCCTTCAAGTTCTGCTCTCTCTCCCTGCAGCCATTTTCGCATCCCGTCTGCACCCCGTCCGGCACCGTCTTCGACCTGACCAACATTCTCCCCTGGATTAAGAAGCATGGCACGAATCCAGTGGATGGCAGCCCGCTCAAGAGCGCTGATTTGATCAAGTTGCACATCCCGAAGAACGAGTCGGGGGAGTTCGTCGACCCAGTCACGTACAAGGTCTTGACCGATAACACGCATATCGTCGCTTTGCGGAATACCGGGAATGTGTTCGCATGGGATACCGTGGAGCGGTTGAATATCAAGGGGAAGTTGTGGCGCGACTTGGTCACGGACGAGGAGTTCACTCGGAAGGATATCATCACGCTACAGGACCCGCAGAATATCGAGTCGAGGAACATGAGTACATTTAATTATCTAAAGGACGGCGAGACCGATATACCTGGGCGGGATGAACAGCAAGAAAATGTCAATGCCAACGCGCTGGGAAGCTCTGCGAAAATCCTCAAGGCGAAGGAGGCGGTGGCTAAGGCGCGTTCGGAAAGGGCTCAGCGGACGGGTTCTGCTGCTCTATCCCAGACCAAAGCGGACGGCTCCGTCGGTTCTGCATCCCAGAAGAAGGCGGCCGCACAGCAATCTGGGAAGCCGGTGCCGTACAATGCGGCCAAGCATACCACTGGTCTGGCTGCCGCTTCGTTCACCAGCACGGGAATGACGCCACACACGTCCGGTGAACTTGCTCTGCTATCAGACGAGGAATACATGCTGAAGAGAGGTCGGGTCAAACAGAAGGGCTACGCTCGGATCTCAACGACATCTGGCGATTTGAACTTGGAGCTCCACACCGAGTATGCGCCAAAGGCTGTGTGGAACTTCATCAAACTGGCCAAGAAGGGCTACTACAAGGATGTTACTTTCCATCGCAATATCAAAGGCTTCATGATTCAAGGTGGAGATCCCACGGGCACTGGACGAGGGGGCGAGAGTATCTGGGGGAAATACTTCAGCGATGAATTCGAGGGCCCTCTCAAACACGACTCCCGCGGCACCCTCAGCATGGCTAACAAGGGTAAAAATACCAACAGTAGTCAATTGTGAGTTCTACGCTCTCCCATGACTCTATTCATGCCGTGCTGGTGCTGACTCTCATAAGTTTCATTGCCTACCGTGCACTTCCCCATCTGAATCACAAGCACACCATTTTCGGAAACATCATCGACGATCCGACACCGTCAGCGCCCACGCTTAACAGTCTAGAAACCCACCCCGTCAACCAATCGACCAACCGACCTACGCCGGACATTAAGATCAAAGACGTCACGGTTTTCGTGGACCCATTTGAGGAGTTCTTGAAGCAGAAGCAGGCAGAGGAGGCAGCAGGGAAGGCAGGACCAGACCCCGCGGAAGAAGAAGAGAATGCTCGACGTGCAGAAGACGACCACATTACCTGGACGGGGAAACGAGTTCGGGGAGCTGGGTCGACGACCACAGAAGATAGCTCCGGCGGAGGCGTGGGCAAGTACTTGAAGGCTGCGCTGAACAACCAAGCCGGTCAAGAAGAGGACGAGATTGTTGAATTTGTGGATGATTCCGAGCCTGAACCCTTGCGAAAGAAATTGAAGGGAAGGGGAGGGTTTGGTGATTTCAGCTCCTGGGATTAGTTACTAGTGGGAGGATTCTGCATTATGATGGGTCAGGTCTGACGACAAAAGAACAAGGAAGAAGCAAGGACTATATATCAATCTATAGTACAATTTCGATCCACTCGATCTACTCGATCTACTCGACATGTTCATGGTTCCGGTGAAGCCGAGTAATGTCCGCCTCAAGGTAATCTCCGGTTGGGCTCCACCGGCAGTTCTGGGCAGATTCCGCGTTTCCGGCATTCGTTGGGTCGACCGCCCGCCTTGCTTAGTTAGCCGCTGCCCCGAGGGAAGCACCTGACTTGCTCTCCCCAGCATCATTGAACTACTTACAACGACCACTTGCTATTAATATCTCCTCCCCCCCATTCCTGCCTTGGGGTTGTTTAATTTCGCATCGCCCCCCCCTTCCTTTAGACGATCTTCCAAGTGTGATTCTATCGACCACCCGTGTCTCCGTGAGTGCCTTTGATGACCTCCTTATTCAAACCTCTGGCCATTCGGTGGCTTAGCACCCTGTCATTTCCATAGGCGCGCAGTGGGGTTGGTCATGAAATGCTCAGGGTTGCCTGTTACGAAGTGACAGATCAGCCTGAGCCTGACACACGATGATTTGTGATGGTCTCCCGAGCCTCGTGCTGGGCTCTTGTTAGCATATACTATGTCTTTTGATTGATTTCCTTTGCTTTGGTTTACAATTAATAAAGAGAGCGCCGGATTCGAGGTACTTCGGCCGCTGTCGTTGGACCCCCTCGCCATCCGTCATCTGATAGCATTGCTACACAGAAATCATCTGAGATCCATGCTGGCCATGATTAATTTATACAAGATCGGCAGCTTGTTCTAGTCCGCTCATGTACTGACAGTTTACATCTTCACAGCTTCATTCCTTCGCTTCCGCCGCAAGTCCTTCCCTTGGTTAATCTGCGGTAACTCTCATTCGCCGCCGCCGCCGCCGACTCCCTCGTGTCACTTTGTCTTGACCTATCCTTCTTTCCCCCTCAAACCCCGCGCCGACAATCAAGCTGGCAGGGAACAAGCGGAGAAGTTTTTCTAGCCAGGGTGGGTTACTGAACAGAATGTTCAGTGGCTCCTCGAGCCCACCCAAAGAGAGACTAGATACCATCCCCCACTCGACCGCCATAGACACACCTTCTAAGGGCACGGTGACCGAAGAAGCCGGCGTAGCGCAGAAGAAATTCTCTCCTCCCGGTGGATTCTTTACACGACGAACGAGCGAAGACCAAGCCCCTGCTGCCGAGAAGAAGCGCCGGAGTAGCACGGTTACCAAAGCGGCCACTTTCTTCTCGAACGCTAAGAATTCATTAAGTCTGAGCAGTAGTCCTCGCGAAAGTTCCCTCGCCAACTACAATCCTCGTCCCGCGTCAACGCTGCAATCAGCCGGGAATATGGATCCCGCCTTGAACGTTCCCCAGGGCTCATTGAATAATTCGGCCGGTGAATCGCTGCCGACTCTTCTTTCATCATTCAAGGTTGGCGTCACCGAAGATCGGAATCGAAAATGTCGTCGGACCATGGAGGATACGCATGCGTACCTCTACAATTTCCTGGGATCGCCTTCACCCTCGACTCCGGCCAAGTCCGGGGCCAACGATGGGGGCGACGTTTCTCCGACCGCCGAGGACAACACCAGCGTTGTCGAGACCGATAACGGTTATTTCGCGATCTTCGATGGTCACGCGGGCACTTTCGCCGCCGAGTGGTGTGGAAAGAAGCTCCATCTGATCCTCGAAGAGGCCATGCGAAAAAATCCCAACACGCCGGTCCCGGAACTTCTCGATCACACATTTACCGCCGCTGATCAACAATTAGAGAAGTTGCCTGTGAAGAACAGCGGGTGTACTGCCGTTATTGCGCTTTTGAGATGGGAAGACAGAGTCTCGGGCACGAATCCGGTGACGAATTCTGCCAGCAAAGACGATAGCAATTCGGAAGCGGGGGATACTCCCACGCAGCTGACCACCACCGGTGGTGGATCGTTCCCGAAGTCGCAAGGCAAAGCCCAGCGTCATCGTATATTGTACACAGCTAATGTTGGAGATGCGCGTGCCATTCTGTCTCGCAACGGGAGAGCGCTGCGGTTGTCCTATGACCATAAAGGTAGCGACGAGAATGAGGGCAAGCGGATAGCTCACGCTGGAGGTTTAATACTCAACAACCGGGTTAATGGTGTCCTTGCGGTAACCAGAGCCTTGGGTGATGCGTATCTCAAAGATCTAGTCACCGGGCACCCGTACACAACAGAAACGGTGATCCAGCCGGATTCCGATGAGTTTATCATTTTAGCATGTGATGGGGTGAGTTAATTGCTCTTGCATCTTTCCACCGCGATGGCCACCATAGCTAACGTTCGATTTCAACAGTTGTGGGATGTATGCAGCGACCAGGAAGCCGTAGACCTTATTCGGAACGTCCCCGATGCGCAGGAAGCATCGAAAATACTCGTTGACCATGCTCTATCGCGATTCAGCACCGACAACCTATCGTGTATGGTGATTCGATTTGACACTGAGCGTGTGAAAAGCGTCGCCAACCGAGTCGTCGAGCCCATCGGCGTTGACGGCGACCCGCCTACGAATGTGGAACGCGGCGTGAGCGAAGCCGAGAAGATCGTCGAGGGAGCACGAAAGAGCATGGCCAACGCAGGGATATCAGACGACCCGGAGACCGCCGAAAAGGTCAACGAAGAAATACTACAGAAGATGTCGGACGATGAATCTGGGCCCGAGCTTTCAGTGAACGAGCACAGTGACACGCCTATAGTAAAGCCGGCGGACAGCTCGCAAGGGTCCAAATCTACCAACAAATGATTTTTTGCTATCTTTTAAACGAAAGCTGTTCGATGTGATATTGGCATTATCTTTTCATCGGAAAGGAAGATAGAGACTTTGCGAGATTCATTTCTGTATTCAGACAATGAAGTTATTTTCTCCTATTTCGCACGCTGCTATTTCCTTTTCCATTTCCCCGTCCTTTAATCGGTTACTTCTTTTCTTTTTCTCATCTCAGATTTGTTGACATGGATACTGGGCCTTATTGTATCAAAGGATTTATTTGACTTTCCACTGCGTTGATATGGTATTCTGCACAAGGGGGTCTACTGCAACACAGATATGTACTTCTTATCTACTTACTCATAGTACGCGCTTTTTATTTAATCATGCGATTTTCTTTCCTTCCGAGATTACTTGCATTATCTGTGTCCCAACCCCCTTTATGAAACGGAATAGGCTAACGAGATGCAGCTCTTTCGGTGCTCACTACCTGTAGTCATTGTTCTCGACCCATTTCCAATGATCAGTTTGTACTTAGCTGGCCAGCCTCAATCAATGTTTTTGGTTTCTGGTGTATGTTTTGAACATGATCTATTAACTATCTAGGTAACCACGTCGTCATTAACCATGTCTATGTATTCAATTGACGTAAGATCGATCCATATGCGCGTCATATTTGCTTTTTACTTCCAGAAGGGACAGCCTGTCATCTCGAGTCTAACTGGTGTATGAGGTAGGCCTGCGTTTCATAAACAAAGTTTGGACCTGTTCAATCTTGCGTCAACCTTGTTACCTACATATGCTCACTTGATTGATGCGGAGAACTTCTCCACTTACTGTCTAGATATAGCAAGAGCCAAATATTGGATATCTTAAGTAACAATGGTACAGTAGATGTACTCAAGTAGACGAAGAGTGCAGAAATGTTTCCAACTAGTTATAAGCTGATTGGCAAGCAGGTAGAGAGGGACCGTATGTCTTTTTTTCTCTTGAATGTACTAATCTAAATTGTTCGTTGGTACGGTTCTGCGACGTCGTTTGTTTGTCTATTCCTATTCCTATTTGTTTCCTGCTATAGTGTGCTTGGATTAAATGTGCTTGGGTAAGGGGTTGGGTGGCTTGACGCTTAGCATTGATTAAATTGGGGTTGTGGATTGCATCCTCTTCGCCAGTATCTTGGATACCTACTCTAGGGGCTAGGGGTGGGATGGGAATAGGTGAAGGGGAGGAAGAGTGTAGGTGAATAACTGGTTAGATTTCAGTTGTTATCTGGTCTTTGGGAGTTCAATGTATAGGCACTGTTCTCGGATTTACGTAGCTATATCGTCAATTGTCGATATACTATGGTATATCTACATGTTACGAATTCTAGGCAGCTGTCTGCTAAACGCCAATTCATTCCAGAACACAAAGAAAGCTAAGTATCTAAAAGTACAAATTTGTATAATGCGATACATAAACACACATTTCTCGAACAGAAATATCCACAGTATCTATACCACCCCGTTCACAGACCTCAGACTTTAGGCCTGCTTCTCCTTGAAGCCACCCTCGGCCAGGACTTCCTGGTTGATGATGCGCTTCTGGCCGGGCATCACGTGGTCGCGAGTCAACTCCAATTCACCGTGCTGGACGCGATCCGACCAAGTCTCGGCCAGTCGGGCATCGTGGATATCAGTCCAGAGGATCTTGACGCCGTTGTTCTCCAAAGCCCCCGTCTTGTCCTCGATCTCCTCGATCTTGTACTCGACCTGGTTCGTGCTCAGGGCCTGTTCAAAGCTGGCCACGCGCGCGGCCTGCTCCTCGGCCTTGAGCTGCTCCTTCTGGCGGGCCTGTCTCCGACGTCGCCGGGCCGAAGGAGTGAGATAGCCACGCAGGCCACTAGCAAAGCCGTTCTTCATCTCCTCCTCCTGAATCTCCAGGACGGCGGCGATATCGGCAACGCTGGTAGCCTTCTGGTCCATCATGGCACGGGCGCGGTCCTTCTTCTCCATCAACCAGCCGAGCTTGCCCTCGTACTTCTCGTTGAACTCCTTGGCCTTCTCGGGGTCCCGGGGCCGCTTCTGGTCGAGGTACTTCTGATCGATGGTGATCATCTCGCGGGGCGGGGAGAGTTGACGCTGCATGGAGAATTCTCGGAGCAGGTGGTACGCGCGAAGACCGATCTTTGAGTCGTTGAAGTGCACCGAGTAGTACGGAACCCACATATCTTTTCGGAGGGAGGCGGGGACGGTCTTCTTGCCGTGGTAGACGAGTTGACGGAGGACGCTGTTTTTCTAGAACCCACGAACAGATGTTAGCAAAAGCGACGGTCAGAAAACCAGTCGCGAGAGGCAAAGCTCACCTCGAGGTACCGCGTCAACGAATACACCACCTGGTTGGTGCGAATGTTATGATAGACAAAGATGTTCTTGCCATGGGTAATGGCGTTCAGGGCCTTCCGTAGCCGAGTGCCCTCCTTCGACTGATGATCCTTGAAGGCATTGGAGTTCTGTTCACGAGGCTTGCCCTGAATCAGGCTGTGGTTCTCAATCGGCGGACGGCGGGCGACGTTCCAGGTCCCAATCTTGGTCGGGTCCAAGATCTTCTTGTGGAAGGGCTTTGCGGCTTGTTGGGAGGCCATTGCGGCCGGGGAGGTTGCAAGGAACCTCGCTGATTCCTTTCGAAACGAGGATGAATTGAATGAGAAGAGCGAATTCCACTCTATCGCATGGCGATTCCCGGGGGAAGTATGGCGGCAATGGAGCGGAACGGACGACGTGGTGAGGGTGAAAGGTTGACGGTGAGGGCGCGGATCAATTTTTCGACGGAGAGTCGAACGGGTGATTCCGCCCGCGCTCTCCGCTTGCCTTAGCGTCCATGCGGAGCAACCACTTTCTATGGCCTCACCTGCGTTGTTATCCTCACAATTGCTTGCAGCTACAGCTTTGTTATTACCAACGCTGTCTGGGCCTTGCGATCGCCTCTGCTATAATGACTGCTAGATTGTTCGGCCAAGCTTCTCCCTAGCTGTTCTGCGATGTCGCTGACGGTGACCACCACTCAGGTGGATAATGACGCGGGCGGTCGTCGCGAGCGACCCTGGCTATTCCCATCGGTAAATCCAGGCCATACCGTGCTGTCGGGGTCCTACGTGTGCTCGATAACTAATGATGATATTTCCAGAATCGCAGACTTCGTCATCTCCAAGGGATATCTGTCCGCAACCTGGTCGTCACTCCTCCGAACAGGGCTCGTGGCAAGACAATCGACGACGAGGATATCCCCAACTCTCTACAATCGCCCTCTAAGATTCTAGCCCAAGATGCCAACCGTCACTTGCATCACTCCCGATCATTTACCGACCTCCAATCTACGCCCTCCCGTCGCGAGAACCCCACGCGCAAAGAACAACCCCTGCGATCGTACCGAAGAAACACTCTACTACCATGGAACGATCCCAATCCGCGCACGAGACAGACCAAATTGGAGGATATCACGAAAACTCGAATGGCCGATACGTGGTTTTCCCTTCATTGCGATGGCCACGAAGGTCCCGTGTACGTGAGCGAGATCGTGGAGAATGCCACGAATCCCAGCTTTCGGGAATTCGACTTGAACATCTGCGGCCCATTGGTGTCTCGATCGGACCAGTTGACCCTGAAACTCTGGACGAAGACGACCGCCATGACAGAATATCTCCTGCTTGTTGAATTGCAACTGCATCTGCAGTCCTTACAGTTTCTGGGGAAGTCGCTGGATAACTTTCACCAACCCTTGCCGGCCAATTCGATACTTTTTCATTTCGCGGATGGCGTCTACACGAGTCTGACAGACCTTCCACCAGTCTGGACGTCGCTGCCCGCGAAGAGTATCCGGCCGCCGGAAGGAGCCGGGCTCTCGACGTCCTCTTACGATGCGCTGATGCGGCTGGCAAACTTGGACGAATGTATTCAGGACGCGTTGTTAACGCGCGAGAAGCTGGAGGCTCAGATCAGCTCCATACTGGAAGAGAACCAGCGAGCGATAGACGTGGTCGGCGAAGCTTCGCGAGCGCGGGAAAAACTCGCTCAGACCAAACACGCCGTCTCGTCCGAGCGGAAACGGCTGCGAATAGCCGTAAACCGCAAAGCAGACCTCATGGCGAGCATTCGAGCGAGAAGGGAGGCCATGGATACGGGACGTCACAGCCAGGAGAAGGCACGTAGTCATTTGCCCGATGCGCAGCAGAAATTGGCCTCCAGTGCCAAATTGCTGGATCAGAACACCGAAGAGGCCAAGGGACAGATCCGCCGGATTGGGGAGGATCTCCTCGCGATCTATCCCATCGAGCCGATTCCCGATAAACCGCTGGCCTTCACCATTGCCGGCGTCCCTCTGCCGAACTCGAATTTTGTCGACATCGACCGGGGCGCCGTGGCCGCCGCGCTGGGATGGACGGCCCACCTCGTCTACATGCTGTCCTTCTACCTCTCGGTGGCCATTCCTTATCCGATCAACCCGAACCTTTCGCACTCGCTGATCCAGGACCCCGTGTCGGCCGCCCTGCCGCAACGAACGTTCCCGCTGTATCCGGTGAACGTGCACTACCGGTTCGAGTACGGAGTGTTCCTCCTGAACAAGGATATCGAGTTTCTCCTGAACAAGCAAGGACTGCGGGTGGTCGACATCCGTCACACCTTGCCCAACCTAAAGTACCTGCTGTATGTGCTGACGGCCGGGACGTCGGAAATTCCCGCCCGCAAGGCCGGGGGAATTCGAGGCCTGCTGCCAGGGCGCCTCACGCCCAGCTCGTCGCGGCGCGGAAGTGAGGATAGCGTTACATACGGCGAGTCAGCTCTAGCCCGAAAGGTACTGGAGCCCATGCCGAAATCCAATGGGGGGATTGCGTTAGACAAGGGGAAGCGAACGGGGTCGGCGTTGGTCGCTGACCCTGCCGCCTTTCCTACGGTCTAGAGATGACAGAGTATTTTTTGAAAAATTATCCCGTTTTTTATTTGTTATCGTTGTTTATTTGTTGGGGTTCTTTCGAAGCTTCCACGCGTTTGGGTTGCGTTGACGAGCGTTTTTGTTTGGTTGCGAGGCGTTCTGGAGAATCGATAGATAAGGGTGTCTTCCTTGACCGACAAGTGTGATGCACTGCTGGTTGAGCTGGCTTGACTTGTTTGGTTCTTTTTTCTTTTCTTTCTAATTTTCTTTCTTCTATAATCAGTTTTTTTATCACTTCTGATTTGTTTTATTTATTGGCTTACTTTCAACCCTGTATATAATTGATTGTTGAGCTGAACAGTGTCTATATTGATTTACTTACTTCTTACCTGCTGCGTGGAAAACAGCCGTCCACGTGGATGGACGCCTCTCAGACCCTCAAAGTGTTCCCAAGTGCCTCCAGTGTCTCCAGTGTCTCCCAGGGATTCCCACCTCTTAGCGGCGAGTCTATTGGGATTACGATTGATAACAGCAATCCAAGTTATCCAACCCGGCACGACGCAAGGGAATTAATTTCCTCGTGCCTCGTTACTACCCCGCATTTCGCTTTGGCTTAGTATCCTTAGGGCTCGCGATTATCCCCAGACCAGACTTCTTTTCTTTCTCATCTCCTCTGCAATCGAATCCGTCCTCTTCGTGACTGTCCGTGGTGGATCATCCACGCCCTTTGCATTACATTGTAACGCCTGCAACACAATTGGCCGAGGGCAAAGGAGAAGAACCCCAAGTTTTCCGTGGCCGAGAAACGCTGCTTTCCCCCCCACCGCTTTTTGTCGCTTTGCATCGGCAAACCCCAAAAAACCCCCCCAGACTCGACTCGAAACCCACTCTGTTGCGCCGGCAGAAGGCGGCTGGACTCGATCATGATGACCGTAGGGGACGACCACGACCAGCAACAGCAACAGAACCCCCTTCGACAATCCCCCGACGACCCTGACGCCAGCCTCTATTCGCAGTCCAGTCAAGGCCCCAAGTCGCCGTCCCTCCAACCCCAACATCGCCGCGGATACCAGGCATGCGACCCGTGCCGTAAACGCAAGGTCAAATGCGATCTTGGCAGTAAGTCATAGTGCTGGCGGATCATGCCATTTCTCCAGGCGTTCCTCCTTTACCCCGGATTGTCTCAGAGCTGATCACCCCCGGACTTTCTAGGCGTTGACAATCCCCGTCCGCCGCCGTGCGTGCGATGCCGCCGCGAAAGTAAGCGATGCGAGTTCTCCGCCACGCGCCGCAAGCGCAAACCCTCCGAGGTGGAGGAGCCCGTCTTCGAGGGCGTCCTTCGTCGCGATAAACGGATGATGGTGGGAGAAGTCGTCTCGAATGGCTCCCCTAGTGATGGCTCCTCGTATACGGCGACCGATCCCACCTCGTACGACAACAATAACAACAGCATCACCAACAGCAGCAACACCGCCGCCACCACCACAACGCAGGCTGCACCCAGTCGCCCGCAGCGCAAGTGGTCCGAGGGATCACCGTCAACCACCAGTCAGGTTCCTCCCTCGACTGCTACCCAGCCGCAGTACCAGCCCAATACCTCGTCGACTACGCATTTCCCCGATGTCAAGAACACCCGGCTTCCTATGTACCCGGTTGGGGACCGACCGTCGGTACCAGGGTTCGGTCTTGAAGGTGGACAGCCGATGATGAATCGCACCGCCGTTGAGTTGCTATCGCCGGCGATCAGCAATAGTCATGATGCGCTGCATCTCCTCTCCGAAGCAGCGGGGCGGACGGAGGACCTTAACCGGCAGAGTCTCGAGAATCGATACGCTGCCCGTCAGTCTGTCTCGTCGTTCAACTCGCCCATCTCGCCTCTAACGCAGGCCGGCACGCCGCGGAGCGCCGGCGGATCATTTTCGCGGCCTCCTCGGTCGGGTGCCATGCCCATGGGCACCTATTACCAGGCCGGTACGTCCGGGACTGATGATACTCAAGCTGCCGATCGCGGCCAGTCCGGTCCCTCGGTCAATCCTCATGACCCCGGCTATCTGGACGCAGTCAAGGCATGGTCACGACTCCGTTTTGTTCGTGCGGGCTGGCTCTCGGTCGAAGAGTCCATGGCCTACGTGGCATAGTACGTTGTTGAGAGCATCTGGCATGACTGGTTTGCTAACCATGGTTTAGTTACTACGAACACCTTGCTCCGCTAAGTCCCATCGTGATTCCGGATTTCTCCCATCCCTCGACACATCGCACAATGCTCACTGACGAGCCGGTCCTTGCCGTCATGATCCTTACCACCGCTTCTCGACACATGAAGCCGAAAGGAGATGGTGCTTATACCCGTGCCTTCTACATCCACGACCGGCTTTGGTCGTACCTTCGTGGTATGATTGAACGGTTATTCTGGGGTCAGGAGAAGTTCGGTGGCAACGGGATGGGTATCAACAAGCCTCGGTCTTTTGATCTGGCTCCCACCCCGGCCATGGTCCATGCCAAAGGAAATCTTAGATCTCTAGGGACCATTGAGGCCTTGCTGATCCTGACGGACTGGCATCCTCGGAACCTGCATTTCCCGCCAGGCGACGACGAGAACGCACTTCTCGACGTCGATGCACAGGCGCATACAATGGAAACTGACGGCGAGAATGGTGCCAACCGATCGTCAAACAACCCGGCGGAAGGTCGACTGGCGTTCCAAAAATGGCTGGAGCCTGCCTGGCGGTCGGATCGGATGTCCTGGATGTTGATGAGCACAGCGCAGGCACTGGCATTTGAGCTGGGTGTTTTTGATCAGAAGAGTGAATCCAAGTCAGCCGGCGAATCCCCGGCGGAGCAGACTCGAAAACGCCGGCTTCGGCGTCTGATTCTTGTGTATATTACCCAGAGCAGTGGGCGATTGGGCATTCCCTCGATGCTTCCGCTGCCGCAGTGGGCTAACGACATTCAACCGACTACCGTGACAGGTGCCAAGGGTGGTGATACAACAGTGGACCGCATGCATGACTGTTGGATCGGGATCTCCAAGATCATGTACCAGAGCAACCAACTGTTGTTTGCGTCCAATGAGCAGACGTCAGAATTGATTCGAAGCGGCCGGTATCGAGACCAGATTGACCGGTTCCAGCCTTTCCTGCGGGAATGGCGGCAGAACATTGACACAATCGATCGTGAGTTTGTATTTGTTTGTGTTGCTGTTTGATGAAAGACTGATGAGGGATTTAGTTGCTCCTGCCATGCGAATGATCTTGATGATTGAATACGAATATACACGTAAGTCGTTTTTCGCAAGATGGGCACTGTCATGAGCTAACGGTCTTGTGTTTAGGATTGTATGTTAATTCTCTTGCACTACAAGCGGTGGTCGACCGCTGGACGACAATGTCGAACGAGGCTGCTCAAGCCCAGGCTCGATCTGGCTCGGGGTCCTCGTCCAGCAATGGATGGTTCCACGTGCTCATGGAGCTTTACCGCGTCAATGAGCAGTACATTCAAGAGGTTGTTGATGCCTCTAGGAAGATTCTACATACGGTTTTGGACGGTCTTGTCCCGGGGGATCATCTCAAACACGCCCCTGTACGCACTTGCTTTCGGATCTTGTCTGGAATGATCTTCATTCTTAAGGTTAGTCGACTTGTCAACGAAGAGAGAAGTTCTTGAGGCTGACTTTTACAGACATTCACGCTGGGCGCAAAAGAGGACGATGTTCGCGTCTCTCTCGATCTTCAAGATCGAACCATGGAGGCTCTGCGCACCAATGTTGTCGACGACGTGCATCTCAGCCATGCTATTGCCCGACTGCTTGAACTGCTTACCACCAGCATTCGCACACGCTTCTTACGATTTGCACCACTGGACCGTGGCGGCGACGGAGAGGCCCAGGACCGCACTGCTTCGGCACCCGTCTCCCGACCGCAGTCACCCCGTCCGCGAGAGGGCCCGCAAGGCCGACGAGACGGTCCGAATCACGGGTGGACATCTGGACAGAACGCGACGCACAATATCGGGTATGCCGACAGTAACGGCCAACAGGCAGGAGGCTCAATGGGATCGGTTCATGACCCGCTGGCGGGGATTCCAGCACAGCCGATCAATTCGTCGAACATCAACGTGTCCTTCATGCCGCCGCCCCCCTCTGTGTATCACAACTACTACGACCCCAATACCACGCCGCCGGCGGGTGGCGATCTGGACAGCTCGAATGTGCCTTCGCAGGCCCTGCACGATAACGCTGGACCGTCAAGCGGGCTTCCCGATTGGTTCGCGCTGCCTCTGGACCAATTCTTCAACAGCTCCACCGCAGTCGTGGACCAAGGCCTAGGAGGCACGGGACCGATGGTCGGCGACTTCGACATGTTGGAGGTGCTCTTGAACGAACAATATGACGGACAAGGCGAGCACCTTGACTCGGCTGGTGGCGGGAATCTCCCTTCACAGTTCCTACAATCATGACCTCGGCCGAACCTCCGTCCGACGACCACTGTCAGCATGTAAGGGCACTCTGTATAACGACGAATCGCGATTAATTTCTATGAAGCAAGCAAAAATACCCTGATGGGAGATCATCACATATCATCTCCTCTTTCCTAGTCTGCCTTTTCTATTATTGGCATTTTAGCACGATTCGTGCCTACACTGTATCGGGATATTACCTTTGAACCTCTATCACCCGGATAGTAGATGGGTCGTCGAGCCTGGGCTGTTTATGTCATTGTATCTGTTGTACTGATAGCCTGATGATGAATGATTATATTTTCAGATCCACAGATCTGTTGTTTCGTGTTCAGTAAATAACATTGTCCATTGGTCGGATTGGTAGTACATACCCGACATTAAAAGTCCGAATGAGCCCCAAGCTGAGGACTCAACGACGTCAGCTATGTTAACCAACAACCAACCACAGCATCAAGTAGTCTAAGAGGTCTATATGAAAAAGCAATCAGACTGACTGTTGTGTATCATTCGAACACAGTCAGACTCAGATCCATCTTGCATATTCTCACAGCTATTCAGTATCCCGGTCAGCAGTTTGACTTTCCGTAAATGTAGATATATACAGGCGAGTAGCTCCCTGATAACACCTTGAGACTGTCCTACAAAAAGAAATACCTTAGCTCCAAACACAGTCAGATAAGGCCCCCCTGTCCAACTCAATCGAGACATATAGAACATTACCCTATAACCTCTCGGTCTTCTCTCTAGAATGCACGCCTAACTACCATTCATAGACGATATAAATACCCTCTTCCGTCTCCTATCCACGGAGAGCCAGATATCATCCATACCCATAAGCAAGCATCGTCACTTCATTTCTAGACTCCACCCCCCTTCCAAAACGAATAGTCATCTAACCCACCATGCGCTACCGCCCTACCCTCGCAGCCTTGCTCGGTCTGACCGCCGTCATCGCGGTAGCTGGACCTGCACCTGCACCTGCACCTGCATTGGACTCCAACAGCGATACTCTTCTCAGATGGACCGGATGCGGCGAAGGGGCCGAAGTATGTATACATACGTTCTTATCGTTATTGTTCCGCTCTATGCTCTCCGCTCTTTTGATCACAGAAGTGGGAGAACTGTCCCCTGTTCCCTAGAGACCCACACCCTATAATAACAATGATGTCTGGTCGCTAAAAGAAAGTATATAGTGCCACGCCGACGCAGAATGTCGATCTCGCTCGGATTGTATCCAACGAGCTGGTCCTGGCGTAAGTCTCTAATTTAATCTCTATGGTAAGGTAGGTAGCATCGCACATTCGCTACCTACCTAGGTTTGGGAAGGACGGGACTTAGTACCCCATCATTGACGGTCCCTACAGTAATTGAAGAGTTTGCTAATCTGTCCTCGGGTAACGATATAGCACCTTGATTGGATCCACTGCGGTCAGGAGAATCATCCTTTTGCTTGTTGGACGGTGAGTATATCTTTTTCTTACCCTTATCTTCCATTTTCCCCTTTCCTTCTCTTCCTTTTACTGGTTATGTATTAGAGAGAGAGGTTAAATTAGTTCAATGGCTGATTTATATGGGGTGGGTGTTCTGCAGTATATACCTTGAATGTTTTTATGAGGGGTTTAAGGGTCGAGAAATGGCGGCAATGGCTGGGTAGGTAGCTACATAGGATGATGGTAGGGATGGTTGGCTCGTGATTATAGGTGAAGGGGTGGTTTTGAAGAAGAAACTGCTAGTTACTGTGGTTGGGGGATTGGTTGGTAGTTATTAGAGAGGGGAGAGTTGAACAGAGTGAGGTCTAATAAAAAAACGAAATAAAAAAGGGTTGCCTGTTCGCTTTGTCCAAAGTAACGGAAAGCTCTCTATCTTCTTTTCTTCTTTCCATTGGTGACATGCAGCGGTATGGTTTCGGGTCTACAATATAAGATATGTAGTAGAGTCATGTTTATCTCTAGACTCTTGGTTTATGATTAGCCCTCACAAACACGCCTGCACGGCATTGACCCTTGCTCTCCCGCTCAGAAGATACCGAAGTAACCTTGCCAATGCATGCGTGGCTTCAAGCCAGTCTTGTTTGAGACACAGATTATAGCCTCGTGTGAATTCGAGATTCAAAATCTCGTTCTCTGAGCACCCCTTTGCATGGACCCTCGAGATCTGGCTCTTTGTAAACCATGCACGAGCGATGTGGAAATGGAAACCATGAAAGCCAACCACAAAGACTTCCTGGTCCTGGATGCCCTCACCACTGCGCTGGACACTAAGGTTCTTGGTAAGCTGACCCAGCATGATACTGACAGTCTCCATCAGTTCACTCCAGCTCTGCTCTTCAAACCACTAAACAGGGTTAGAGCTAGTTGACAGAGTAGAAATGGAACTCATATACATACTCCAGTAAAGCATAGTATTGGTAGGCGCTGGGCCGGTTGTCCCACAGAAGCCGCACCTTCCGCTCTACTGGCATATTGCTTACCACCAATTGTGTATCTGAACGTAAGTCCAGAATGGGTGAAGCTGCAACGGTTAGTAGCGAAGATCTTGTGGTACAACTAATAATCAGAACCAGAGTTTACCGAAGGATAGGCCCCTCCTCTTTGATTCCGGCAAGATTCCAGTATATAGTTTGTATCAATAATCGGATCGTGCTACTTTGTGAACCTACAAAATGTCTGAAATACTCTCTCTCAGACACTTTCCAGCTCTTTCTAGGCAAATTGATGGTCTCGTTGGGCACCAGAGCTCGCGAGATCCCTGTATGGTTGAGCACATTGTCTTCTAGCTCGTCGCGGTAGGAGTATAGGTTATTGAAAAAGGCGTTGAATTTGCAGTCCTCTTCGGGCCAGTGACTTGTTGTCATCTTCATCTGCAGTATCAGATTGTTTGAAGACCCAGGGAATGAGTTCTTGTACATCCTTATCTGTGTTGGAATGTCAGTAAGGGGGACTCGAATAGTGATCAAAGCAAAGCTCACCTTCGCGGTCACGATCACTAGTGTTTGGTATTAGAGAATCGATGCCGATGAGTTCAGAGCAGATTGTCACCGACATATCGCCTCCCGGTGGTCGATTAGATAGCACATAATAGGAGACATATTCCAGTCTGGTTTGATTAGGATACTTTGTCGATGTTAGGCAGACAAAGTGGCTGTCCGTTGGTTGCCTGGTATCACGTGTCGCCACGCAAGGCTTCATCTCTCCCAGATCAATCCCGAATGATCATCTGGGCACTGTCAGGTACCTCGACCGACCTCATCCTCGAACCCTCACCATCAGCGCATGTTCAGGCTATACTCCGTATTGCGGCTAAGCTCTTCTTAATCCGCGATCGACAGCCCGAACTAACTAATGCTAGCCTTAGCCCAATCAGAGGTGGGACTCCTCACGCGGTGACCTGACGTGCTAACAAGAGGCCCATTCAGTACCTTGATTTGCCCGTCATCTTCACATTCATTTGAAAGAGGGGGTCTGAAACCCCAATCAAATATACCTCATACCGAGAGATGGCACGACGAGAAACAACCAAAGGAAGGGGATGCGCGACGTTCCTACGCGGGATAAAATGAGGTGCTTGGGACTATCGACCGACTAGGAGATAAGAGTGTGGGGTCCTGCGCGACGGTCGAAGTTTTACAGTCACATCGTGCATTTTCCACACCGGAGATAAATTGATTTGCCCTGGTAGTCCGTCGGAGAGGTGGATATTAGTCCTGCATAACATTTGAGACGAAGTAACGATACCAAGACACCAATGGAGCGCAGAAACGGCGATCGTCAGGGCCTCCGTCGGGGATGGCACAGGTACCTTGTGACGGTCTCCATTCTTACTGGCTTTCACTGTTATTGATTAATATTGTCCTCATCTTTTCTCATCCGTCTCTTCTATCGTGCAATCCAGCAGGATCGGACCCCCGGTCTGGCCCTCCCCTCTTCACGGCTCCCTCGACCGCCTCGAATGGAGATCGTCAGTCCATCGTCGAATGAGAATTCCCTGACGGTGTGAAAGTCCCTGTCCTAGCCTTCATCGTGCAGGGCTCAGCCGGACATGTCCGTCCATCTATCGGCCGCGGCCAAGAAGTCTTGTCGAGTCTTGTCAAGTCTTGTCCGAAACAAGCAACATGCTACAGACTCCGCCGTAGCATTCGCACATGCAAGTTGCAAGCCCCCCTCCTCAGTCGCTTCAGGGGTACGGTCTTGGGAAGGCTTGTCTCGCCTGTATCGGTCGTCTTTCTTGCGCCATGCGTCGTTGCCCTTGCCTGGTGTTATCTTGGCGCAGGCTGAATGGTGACTATTTCTGAACCGGTCCAGAGCTTGCTTCGTTGAGAGGCGATCTGCAGGTTGGTAAACCGAAAAGAGGAAGACGCGAGGAACTGAGGCATGAACTACTATCACGATGGCTTAGGCGAGAGGGGAGAGAGGATTGTGAGAAAAGCTATATAAGGGAGCCCGATTCCAGCTTCTTTAGGCATTATCATCTCAACTCATCTCATCCTCTAGAGTCGGTGATCTTGAGCTTCTTGGTCCTTTACTTCGGACTTTCTTCATTCACTTTTCTGTTCATACTCTACATTCGCTTGTTTGAACTACCCAGCCACCATCATGGTCGTCTTCAGCAAAGTCACCACTGCGGCCCTCGGCCTTGCGTCTGTGGCCTCAGCGCTGCCCCATGCCCAGCCTCGCAAGGGCTTCACGGTCAACCAGTTGACCCGGCAGACTGCCAACCCCAAAACCCTCAACCTGCCTGCCCAGTATGCCAAGTTCCTGGCCAAGTATGGTGCCACCGTGCCCCAGAGCCTCAAGGATGCTGCGTCCAAGGGCACTGCCGTGACGAAGCCTGAGGAATACGACTCGGAGTACCTGACGCCCGTGGATGTTGGCGGCACCACCCTGAACCTGGACTTTGACACCGGTTCTGCCGACCTGTACGTTTAAACTCCATTTCCTATAACCAAGCAACGTTAACCAGACTACAGCTGGGTCTTCTCATCCGAACTTTCCACCTCCGAACAGTCCGGCCACAGCGTCTACAAACCTTCCTCTAACGCCACCAAGCTGAAAGGCTCCACGTGGGACATCTCCTACGGCGACGGCAGCTCCGCCAGCGGCGACGTCTACAAAGACACCGTGACGGTGGGCGGCGTGACCGCCAAATCGCAGGCCGTCGAAGCCGCCAGCACGATTAGCGAGCAGTTCACCCAGGACAAGAACAACGATGGCCTGCTGGGTCTGGCTTTCAGCTCGATTAACACCGTCGAGCCCAAGGCGCAGACCACCTTCTTCGACACCGTCAAGTCGCAGCTCGACTCGCCCCTCTTCGCCGTCGCCTTGAAGTACCACGCCCCGGGTTCTTACGACTTCGGCTTCATCGACGACAGCAAGTATACCGGCGAGATCACCTACGCTGATGTCGACACCTCCCAGGGTTTCTGGCAGTTCACAGCCGACGGATATGCCGTCGGTGACGGCGCGACCAAGTCCGACTCCATCAGCGCTATTGCTGGTAAGTCTTCCTTCCCCCTCTGCATCCAAACCCAACTAACGCACCGCCAAAAATGAATAGACACCGGAACAACCCTGATCCTTATCGACGACTCCATCGTCTCCGCATACTACAAGCAAGTCACCGGCGCGAAGAACGACTACTCCGCCGGCGGCTACGTCTTCCCCTGCTCGACCGACCTACCCACCTTCACCGTCGTGATCGGCGACTACAAGGCCGTCATCCCCGGTAAGCACATCAACTACGCGCCGGTGACTGAGGGCGGGTCGAGCTGCTTCGGTGGCATTCAGAGTAACTCTGGCCTTGGGTTCTCGATTCTCGGCGACGTGTTCTTGAAGAGTCAGTATGCGGTGTTTGATTCGGAGGGGCCGAGAATTGGGTTTGCGAAGCAGGCTTAAATGAGGGGTTGAGCTAATATTGATTGGGTTGCTGTTGTGAGTTTCATGATGTTGATGTTGATGTTGATAATGTTTGATTTGTATGTCCGATATGTATGTATGCATCTGGGCACTACCTTGGATAAGAGAAGATGATGCAGGGTTATATACTACATTACTATACTAAACCATGCCAGTGCGTTAGTTGGAAAGTTGACGTTGAATGAATTTGAGTACCAAATACCTAGTCCACAATACTCACTCCCTCACCGGAATAAATAAGTACATGGTCTACGAATAGAAACAAAAACAATACACCTTCTTTTCTGAACATGCTAGCTTCCATGGCAGGACGGATACTTCCAAATGAACTCAGTAGGTAGTATTTAGGAGCTTGGCAAAATACAACTCCACATTCAGTGAGTATTCCTACCTAGTTAGTAGACTACTGGACAGAGGGATTAAGGAGAGAGAGGATCCTTGAGAGGTACTGAATATCTCAAGAGTACAGGAAGCCTACCGTACTTTCAGGGATGTGCCTACAACAACAGATATTCATATCATCCTATCTCATGTTGAACCAATCAATACCACGCTATGATAAGATGCCCTAGGATATGTGTTGTATGGAAAAGAAAGGAGATTATCAAATCAAATTACTGTACAACAATGTCCAGCAAAGTCAGGTATCCAAGAAAGAGATGTGATCCGAACACCCACACCCCAGCGCAAACAAACAAACAAGCCCCGTAGATCACATTCCACCAACACCTCATCCACCGTATTTGGATTTGCAATTTCGTTGCAGAATAAACGTGATAGACAGATAAACAAGAGGGAGTCATGTTCAGTTCGAAATCGAAATAGAACTCCCTAGTCCTTTGTACACTCCAATTTGATCCGTCCGTTCGCTGCAAGGCCCAGAACTGAATATATGCCACGAAGAGAAAAAAAGACCAATATGTATCAACCAACCAACAAAGAAAGCCTATCTACTATGTATGCACCTGCAAAGATAAACATATATATCCCAGAGATAAGAAAATTTAATTAAGTGTCATTAGATCATAACTCTTGTTTGTCCATCTCCCAGATCTCCCAGTGCTTGATGACCTCCCATCCCACGCGACGGACGCGTCGTCGCCAGAGACGCGTTTCCGGGTTCAAGTGCTGGGAATAGCATGGGTCCCAAGAATCGCCGGCCGGGAGATCGGTGTCCATTGGTTTCGTGGGCACCAGGGTATCGTCTCGGTTACGTTTGCCGAGGACGGGAGGTGGAGGTGGTTTGGATTGCTGGGCCGGCTGCGGCTGTGGTCGGTTGATGTTGACGGAGGGGACGAGTGCAGGTGTGAGGATGCCACTGGGACTGGCGCTGTCGTCCTGGACGCTGGACGGCGTCTTCTCCGGTTCACCGTTGGACTCGGTGACGGGAGATTGCCATTGTGTGACGTGATTCTCGGGATTGGCCTCACTGGACGGTATCGTGTAGTATTCGCCAAGTTGGAAGACCTTGCGGCCCATGCCGAACATCTTCAGCCGGCTGAATACCTGCTGGTCGGCCAGCGATTCGCTCAGCTTGTCACACAGCATCTGGTCGTCAGCCTCGACGATGTCAGTGAAGCTCCGCGCAGAGGTAAACACGTTGGTACCAGCCAGGGGTCGGGGCATGTGGCACGGCGCAATTTTCCCGTTGGGCTGACTACTTCCGCTGTTGGTCGGGACCAACAGACGAAGAGCAGTCAGATTCCGCAGGAACGGAAGGATGAGCCCTAAGGTCTCCATGCTCGAGAAATCGGTGGCCAGTGCCAGTTGCTCGAGGTTGGGCGAGGCGTGGACGAGGCGGGCGATGGCGGAGCTTGACAGCGGCCACCGGGCAGGCAACAAGAGATGACGTAACGAGGCGCAATGATTTGTTATGATGATGTTGAGGTAGCTGTCTCGCAAACTGGGTTGCATACTGGGGACAGTGGACTGCGTGGATTCGGGAGTCGGAACCGCGCCTTCACCATTAGCTTGAGAACGGCCTTGGTCCACAGATTGAGGCGTCAAGGCGGCGGGTGTTAATTGTCGAGGGGAGTTAACATCATCCAGTGTATTGGTCGTCGCGTTGACAAAGTATAACTTCTCCAACCCCGTGAAGGAATTCAGGAAATCGATATGTTTCCGCGATGTCGAGTCCTGTCGCATGCTCTTGATCTTCATATGATTCTTGGGTGGATTGTTCGGCCATGTGCTGTCGACAAATGTATTCATGTAATTGATGTCGTCGGTCCCGATGTTATTCAGTATAGTGATGTTTTCAACCGTGTTCGAATTGAAAGCGAGTTGAAAGTCTTCCGTATGAAGCGCATAGAGGTTCTGTAGCCCCATAGTTCTGATGGAGAGGGGTTGTTTCGCCGCGATGCATTTGCGAAAGTAATCGTGAAGCATGACACTGGGCTCCTGCGCCGTCCTCATGCGCGGGGACCAGTGCAGTTTCAGAACCCGCAGTTTGCGGCACTTCCAGAGCAGCGTCGACACGTCGTCCGGGTAGCAAAGGGGATCGATATCGGTGATTTTGAGATAGCGTAGGTGAGGCATGCCGGGGATGGTGATCATGGGTCGGGGGTGACGACTCGAGGGAAAGCGCACGGTCAACGACGTCAGCTTCGGTAGCTGCGTCAGCCCTATGTATACAGTCTCCAGCATCTTGGTGCTGAGCTCCCAGCTGAAACTCTCCAAGTCCGGCATCCTATCGACTGCCGCCCGAACCGCAATATTGAGCATCATCGACGAGTCCGGGACGCGGCCAACCCGCGCGTGCTCCTCCAGCTCCTGTTCTCGCCAATTACCCCGCAGCGTGAGCGATCGCACGAGGGATGCATAGGGACGGGTGATGACGGCGTTGAGACCCATCGAGAAGGGGCTGGCGCTGCCCATGCCCTCGGGCTCATCTCCGCGGTATCGGATTTTATCGTAGGACGTCAAGGTCAGGTTCCGGTAAAGTTGGGGTAGGGACATGTAGTTTAGGACGCGACATGTTCGACAGATTCGGGCGAGGTCGCCTGGATCATCTAACTGTACCAGCGAGTTAGTCGCCAGATATTCCCCGAAGGCGTCGGAGAGTAGTAGCTAGGCTACAAGGCGGACACATACGTGAGCAATGATACGAGCGATCAGGTTCAACGGCAGGACCATCAACGACCCGCCGCGCGGCCGATCGTTCGAGATGCAGGCGTCAAACATATTCCGGTTGACAGCCGCCATGATGCGACGCCCAGGGGCGATGATGTCGCGGCATCGACTAAGAACGCAAGGAGTGAAGAGACAAGAGGAGACAGACTCGAGGAATCGGGGTGGGACGTGGAAAAGCGGAAGAAGAGGAAGTGGCCGGACCAGCAGCTCCCGAGAAAGTTTTATGAAGGATTCGGTGTCTTATTCAGCCACGCCCGATCGTCTCCTCCGCAGTCACTTTGTCTTGTATTTTGTTCGTTCATGACTTGTGGTTCATTATTTCACCGTAGAATTAGTTATATCCAAGAATATTCGGGGTATCTTTTGTACAATCCTTTCCTGCTGTCTTCCAAAAATCCTCTTTCCAAGTTTTGCCAACGAAATCAATGCCCAATCGTGCTCCAATTGCACCCCATAGTTAAAAGTATAATGCACGAAGATGAAAGAATAATAAATAAACCAAAAAAAAGGGATAGGGATCCATCCCTATATATCCGATACGCCCTGGCTAAACCCAAGCATACGACTCCCTACCCGAGAAGTAATTATCCTTTTGCAACGCCATATCTTACCAACGCACACTCAACGCCTTTTGTCTTTGTTTTATTGCGATCTAGGGCTTTCGCTGGCACCGGTACTGGTATTTTGTGAGCGCGGTGGATGAGGATCAAGAGATGGCGCCGTTGCTTGAACCGGTGATTGTTCCGCTGTAGGTCGATTCGAAGAGTCCGGGTTGAGCTCGTTCTGATGTGCGTCGGACATGGATTGCCGGTCAAGCTCGTCCACGTATTCATCAGTGAGGCTCACCCGCACGGTCTCGTGGTGAACATCCCGTGTCGAATGAGATTCAAAGGCGGGATCGTCATATCCTACGAGAGCCGCGGCTTCGGGATCGTAGCGTAGTTCGTAGTTACCAAAGCTACCCTCCGCATCCGATGTCGTCCACGGAGCAGAAGGCCGGGCCTGCGGTTGGATTACTCGCACCGGGAGATTAGCCCGGTTGTGCGAAGTATGGTGTCGGCGGGGCGAGGGTTCCAAGATACTGGAATCGTTGAACCACTGTGGTGACCATGTATGCTGACCTCGACGTCGGGCAGGAATAACGGTAACGGGTAACCGCGCGTCTGCGCCCTGCCGTCCGGACTCAGGTCGAGTCCTTCTATCACTTGTTGGCCGAGAAGTGTGCTGCTCTCCGCTCTCATCCGGTGCCACGCCCTCCTCATCTGTGTACGGAAACTGCTCCTCAGCCTGTGCGGAAGCAACTTCTCTTGGCAAGGACGCGTGCCGACGTTTGAAAGGATTTAGAATCGTCCGCCACCTGTGATCGGTGTTAATGATCTGGGGAGATTGATCTCTCGTTTGCTGCGCCTCGAGGCCTTCATGGGCCATGTTTGCGTGTTGTCCCTCCATGGACGTTGCCAGTTCCTTTGCTGCTGCCGCCTCATCGCTATTCTCCTCCTCCTCTTCCATGTGCGGCATACCAACGGGTGGAGTCGGACTCGAAACGGGGTGATAATGAACATTGTACACAGTACTAGCAGCACTAGTAGTGTCAGCCCGACTGACAGGCGTGACGGCCGCTGGCGGCGGTGTTGGCCGGGCTGGACGACGCCGGCGAGGGTCGGCTGAAGGGTCATGATTTTGGGTAGTAGGACGAGACTGCCAATTGCGGCCGCTATTGGGCAGACCAACCCTGGTGCGTAAGGGGCGATGGGCTAAGCCCATCATACCGCCCCATCCGGACGATGTGCCCGTACCTCCTCCTCGGTCATGACCAGAGTTGTTCTGGCGAGGCCAGTCCACCTCTTCCGAGGGCGTCACTTCCAGCATTTCGTCGCCGTCGAATATCTCCCGGCCAAGGATCCCATCCTTCCTTTCGTCGCGTTCCAGCGCTTCAATGCGCTCCACCCATTCCCAAACCACAACACTTGCCGCTGCTGAACCTACCAAGCGCACATACGTACCCCAGCCTGCTATCTCCGGTTTTGCGATATCCATCACAAAGAAAACCACAGGAATGAGGACCGCGCAAAGAGACAACAAGGCCACGAGACAAATGTTCCTCATCTTCGGGTGAAAAAATGCAAAGCGATGTTTCGATATTGAATAGAAGATAACCCATGCAGCGTAGAGCAAATTGAGAGCGAGTTCGAAAAGATAACTGAGTGCAGGGATCGCATCGTCGTACAATCGCGGTCGTGTCGTATTCGTTTGAACAAGAAACTTGTCCAGAATGCTGAATATCGTGTCTAACACAATCAACGCGAACCCTGCCCATTTGATCATGATTTTTTCTTTATGTCGCGGAAAGAGTCGAATCAACGTCTGTACCTGTGCAAGCCACAGAAACGTGCCGGATATGACTCTCACAATGCGGATCTCCATGCCATCAATGACCTCTTCGGCCAGAGCTTCTGCGTCCGAATACCCGTGAATGTACTGTCGCTCTGCGACCTTAAATGAATCCGCCGTTGCGATGGTGAGACATATTGCGACGAGGATTGCGGCGACCTTTTGCAACCATGGCCGACCCCCAACTCCCACGACAGAAGAATTCCCGCTGTACGATCCGCTGATCATTCCGTGGCGGCCTAGAAAATTGGCACCGCCTCCCGGCCCGCCAACATAGAACGTGCGTGGTGTGATAAGGAGCATGACAACAAGTAGGTAGCTGACCACTGTCGAGCACCCAATGGCGTAAAGTTGTGGAGTCACTGAAGAATAAAAGGGGTCACGGGTGTCGAGCATCGGGGAGGCATGGCTGGTCTCTGTAGGTTCACTTGTACAAGCGGGTTCGAAGATCGCATTTGCGGTAAGGGATATTGAGAAAGAGCGATTCAAAAACACAGCACCTAGAACAGATGAGCCAGGCGATGTTAGTCAAAGTTCCATATGATCCGCAACGAGCGATGCGATGCGACTCCCGCTAAGCCCGAGGCTCGCCACACGGGCTCGACTAAACGGGCAGCAAATAATCTATGACAAACATACCATCACTTGGGAGAAGAAACGGCGTACAGCCGGGCGCGTATGTCTTCCCGGAGGTAGTCGTCGGTTGCGCCCATATCTGGCGAGCAACCAGAGCAGCGTGGTCCCCCATGATCGAACAGACAATCCGCACGACTCACGTCACGGCTTGAACAACTCATATAGACTGCCGAATCATTCGGATCAATGTTATCAAAAACCCTCAAATTCCCATCATTGCGATAACCGAAGAGAGCGCGTTGGTCAATTACCGATTTCGGATTAAAAGGACGATGGTCGGGAGTCGGAGGGTAAGTAGCAAGTGGGAGGGTCGGAGTGAAAGAAGTCAGGCAGTCGTTCTTAAATGATATACGTCGACTGATACAAGGACCGAAGTAGCGAGAGACAATCTAACCGATGGAAAGAGACAGGACGATCAGCATCAAGAAGATGACGGGAAGCCATTCACGAGTCTCGAGGTGGTTCGAGGATCCGCCACTGCGGTCCAGATTCAACGGCAGTATCTCACCGCCTTCGCTTTGAGTGTCATTTCCCCATTTCTCCGTTCCGAGCATGTCCTGTCAAACTATCCCGTACGTCTCCAGGAATCTGATAAGCTGAGCCGATCATATTTCCCCGTGGTCTATGTTTCCTCTACAGTCTAAGGCACGAACCTAACCCTCTAAACCTGAGTCACCCAATCCATTCAAAGTCGCAACGACTTCATACCTCAATTTCCCATCAACACTCCCCACCGCAACGGCACTCATTCCCCCCTTCTCATCGTAGACCCATTTGTGAGGCCCGGCTGCCAACTGTTCTCGGCCCAAGGCCTTTTTGAACGCATCACTCAAGTCCGCCGGCCTGCCGTGCTCAAACTCCAACTTTCCACCGACCTGGGTCGGAAGGTCATCGTCATGGATATGCTCCTTCAAAGCCGGATACACCTCGGCCGGAGACAAAAAAACCAGTTTGGCCGCGGTGATCGGATCTACCCAGCTCTTCATGAGCTTCCATATAGTGCCGAAATATGATGGACAGTTGCAGACCTGTCGGTAGCGGTATCAGCATTAGCACACCTATCAGGAACCCGATCGCAGAGGCGGCGAAAAGAAGGGGAAAAAAGGCACAGAGCACATACAAAGATCTTATCCACCGTTTCAGGATAACAGGTCGTAAGAAGCCAACTCGCTTCCTTGACGAAATTCCTAATGTCAAACCCCTGTTTAAGCGACAGGGTCGTCGCATCCACGACAATCACACTAGAGGTAACCCGTCTTCGAGTGACCATCGAACACAACGGAAACACAAAGCGACTGTAGCTATCGAACATCACCGAGCCCAGCTGCAGGACGTCCACGCGTTCTTGCTGCGGGGCTGCGTCCGCAGGAGGGGGACCAGAATGAGAATCCGACGGGCGTGGCACGTAGCCGTAATTGCAATTCCCGTATCCCAGCAATGAAGTTTTGACATTGGTGGTGTTCACGAAGAAGATTGGCAGGCCGCGTTTGTCAAGACGGCCTGTCCATTGGGGGTACTATGCCATCATGATCATCTTTAGGAATTGCCAATAAGTGGGTATGGACTGCAGAGATCGAGGAACAACGTGGATAGGACATAATAGAAAGAGCAGTACAGAACGCAGGCAATACTCACAGCCCCACCAGCGGTCTCATAATCCTGGACACGAATCCCATCGTAGACCTCAAACACGCGATTCTCCTTGCGGAACAAACTCGCCTCGTAGAACTGGTTGATAGCAATTTCAGGGTCGAACTTGCGCGCGCGCAGAAAACGTCTGTCGGCATTAGCATCGGTGCACTCTATCGCATGCACCTATACAATCCTTCAGGAGAGTTCTCAGCAGAGAGGACATTCACTTACATTAAAGCCGTCTCATCATTGATCGCATCCAAAGCATCGCGACCGCCCATCCCATCCGGTCGACCCAAGAGATCATTCTCCTTGCACAATCGGACAAAGGTCTCCAGCGCAAGTTTCTGGTCCTGGTCTAGCTCGTGCCCGACGTTTAATTTATCGTCTCGATCATGGTTGTTGACTGTCATCGCGAAAGTAACACAGACACGCAGTTCAAACGATTTGGTTCTCCAGACCTGTCAAGCAAGCGGTAGGTAGGCACCTAATGGCCCCAAACTAGGTAGTATATGGCGAAAACAACCGAATGCTAATGAAGCCCTTGATAGAGAGATCGACCGCGCGACCGAATTCGTTGAAAGTTGACGTAACAAGAAATCAATGTTTGGGCCAGCTGAGTTACAATGATTGACTCTGGAGTTACCGAAAGCCTATGAGGGGGGGTTCGTTCTGCAGCTGAAGGGTCAGCTTGGCGTGGCTGCATTTGACCAGCCTTCACCCTTTCTGGCCCAATTTCTGATTGACGGGTACTTTTTGGCAAGTATGTCGGCTGACTGTACTCCGTATTTTCTTATCTTTGGGTGATTGTGTGGGGGAAATGGCGAGAAAAAAAGAAAAAGGAAAAGAAAAGATACAATTATACAGTCGCTTTCTAAATGTCGGGTTGGGGCTTTCGCTAGTTTTTGGGCTGTTGGCTGAATATAGTATCGAAACTAGGTAGTTACTTGCTTAAGTAGAGTAAACCGTACTAGCCAATTTGAACACCCAGACAATTGGCGCCTGAAGAGCTCCAGTGGATAAAGCTCAGTAGAATGTGGCTACTGAAGAGCGAAATAGTTATTTATTATTTGCGCATCAGCCCAGAAATCAAATATAGTTTGAGGCAAGGCAACATTTTGGTATCATATAATCAACTGTACATGAATTATGGTCTCTGTACAAAGGTGGCCCTGAACCGACCGGTCCAAGAACATTGAAGAGAATAGTAGAAGGGGGAATCTGTGACAAAGCAAAACGCCAAAGTGCAGAGGGCCACCGCCGGATGCAAAGAGGTTTGTGAGAGAAGGATAATGAATCAGGCATGGGAGAACATGTCATTGTCCACCGGAATATCTGGTCAAAGCAATAGCATTCCAGTGTCGAATCGCGGAAAATAACAGGCTGCTTCCGAGTCGCACAACATGGTATACAAGGAGCCAAATAGGGCCAGACGAGAGGAATGGAAATGTAGCTGTGGGAAGAATGAAAAAGAATCCCACAATCAATTATCGCAGCTGATCGGGTCTCCAAGCCTGAGTAGAGCCCTAATTATGAACCTCAGGTGTATGCAATCGGGCGATTACCGTGGGGAGGCCCATAAGACATCTGGACTGGTGGTAAATAAGGCGAAGCCAAAGATGTCCCTGTGGCTCTGGCCGCCTTTCCCCGTTCCTCCTCACGTTTCTTGATCTCCGTTTCATCCTGAATGAGCGTGCAGCATGTGCAGCAGGTTGCTCGGACACAGTCAGACGCAATGTCACCTCGAATGCCGTACGCTTTACGCGTACGGGTGTGTTGGACAGTCGCCAATAGCCCTGGGTACAATGTTAGGTTTCTCTTTTGCGGTGAGTGAGCCAATACCCCAGACAGATCTACTTACATTGGCATCCACATAGCAAGGCCATCGCGGTACACGATCCGTTACACGTCTCGTACCCTAGCATGTTCGTTGGGTCCTCTTTTCTTGACAACAAGGAAAGCCGATACTGTGTTTTACCATATAGGATACAAGGACAGATCAAGCCCAGACAGCAGGTCCAGATATTCGAGCAATCGCACAAGCTATGACTCCACGTTCCACCCTTTACCGCTTGGTTAGGATGGGCTACCTGTCCTGGTTGGTGATACACCATGGAACCATCCGCCGCTGATTGGGGTGCTCCCGATGCCACAGGCGGAGGGAAACGAGGCATTTGCGGGGTTTGCAGCGGATTTGCATCCGGTACCACAGCGACGGGCAGGCGTTCTGAATATTGTTCCGGGGCCGCCGGATTCGTCTTGATTGGAAGTGGCCCCGGAGAGCCTGGAGGGACCACATACGAGTAGTCAGGCACCACTGCGTCGGGATGCTGCTCTGGCTGAGGCGTCTCGTCGGCGAAGGGCGCATAGATCGCTGGGTGGTGATCTATATTCGGACCATTGGGGTAATGAGAGGGGTCCGATCCTTCTGGGAGGGGATGTGACTTTTCGTTCAGTGGCAGCTGAGCTTGCTCAGACGGAGCCTGTTCTTGCTGTGTCGCATGTGTCTCCGGCACGGTCGCCGGCTGCGGCGGCTGTGGAGGAATTTGCAAGCCTGCGGTCTGCATTTCCAAGGGGGTTTCGAGAAATGAGTATCTCTGATTTGCTCCCAAATTGGAAGTATCCAGATGGAGTCGTCTAGCCATGGCTGTGGTCTGTTTCGACTGATTGGTACCTTCGTCTTTCGAATTGCCGGTCACGTTCTGCTATGCGACCTTAAGCGGTCATGCATGCACAAAACGAGGCTGTCTTGAATGGGGCGGGCGAGGTGGGTTTGCAATTATTCAGGTTGTGTGCAGTATTTGCTTTTCTTCGCACTCATGTAGCCTTTCCAAGAAGATCTACAAGTACCAAAAATGCGGAGGTCCCTACCCCGTCTGTAAACCTATCCGTGGAGCGCATCAATAATGCAAGGATGATCGCAAGTCGATGCCATAAGCCAACATAGGTAAGCAGCTGGGGGTACTTGAGATGGGAGAGTGGGATAAAAACAAAAAGCAAAGTCCATCAAGAGAGGGAAGCAGCAGCATTAAGTGTAACCAGAGCGCCTCCCCTTTGAGGGGACAGACCTGTTCAGGGTGGAGATCGAGCGCTTGAGAAGTACCCATCGTACTGCGGGGAGGACGTGATCCAAATGGTCAGAGCTCAAATAACTGCTGCACCAGCGTCGTTGGAATCACTCTTCGCGCCAACTTCCTAGGCCTGCATGATGCGTGGACTCCACGCCAGTAAGGATTCTCGTTGGTTTGGCGGCAGCTCGGAACCTCCCGTTGGACTCGTAGGTGGTTCTCGTCACATCACCGGTCCGTCGCGTCACACTTGACTGTTGCCGAACTTTTCGTCTTGCAATCACATTGGACAAGCTGGCTGTTGCCTGTCAGGCATGTTGACTACGCCGCAATGTCGACGGGCGCTTAGAGGGCGATCTTTTGGTCGGCGTCAAGAACTTGGCCAGTCAGATTGGAGCATAGGAACTGTCAGCCATTGCTGGGGCAATTGCATGTCACCTCACGCTAGGTTGTGATTCAGCTACTAATCCTTGATGAAACGGACTCTACCCCTCAGCTCTTTCACTTACCTCGATAAATATATTAGTTTTCGGGCGGGAAACCCCCTAGGATCTCACAGGATGTACTCTGTAGTCAAAAGGGAATCAGATTAAGAAACAAAGGGTAAAGAAAAGACAATGGTTGAATTTAGAAATCTAGGAATGGCAGAAGAAGACTCATTGAATTATGGAAGTGACCTGGGCGGTCGATGGATGTGGGAGGGAAAATAATGCTAGACATGCCGCACTTGCGGAGCAGCTAAGCGCTTGACAGTACATGCTAGATTGGGTCGATGTAAACTCGGAACACAGCTTTACCAAGCCGCGCACATGGACTAGAGTTTCAAGTCTTCTCACAAGACCTGTGCTCAAATGATTTTATTGATCCTTCGAAACGACCTACAACTGGCCAATCCAATCGGTGGAAGTATTCAAACTTGATCCGCGATAATGCGACCATCCTACAGTTGGGCTCAATCAAGTACATACACAGACAATTAACGCAACCAGAGAAGAAAAGGAGCACTAGCAGGGGTAGCATCATAAGACTACAAGCGCCCACCCAGCCTCTGTTCTCAAGGCGTGGTTGCCAGTGTGGCTGCAGATGGCTGCATTGCTTGGATTTGACACTTCGCTTTAGGAAGTGTAGGATAAATACTCCGTCGGTGTGGTATGGCTATTCAGTGTGATGTAATGGATCACCAACTCGGCGTAGATGATGATACTGGGCTGCAGGATTGACTTGACTACGGATACTATCACCAGAAAAGAGAAAAGATGATAATCGAAATGATAATTAGAATGGCAAATAGAAAATAGAGGCGATAGAACAGAACAGAAAGGAGAAAGTAAAAGTGCAGAGTAGCTTTTTAGAGAGGTGAATGGGAGGAAGGGGCAACCTGGCCTTAGGGACAACTTTGAGTAGAATATTGTATACTGCCTGGCGTGGCAATCTATGATTTGAGAGATTAATGACCTCACCCCGGCTGAGCCCATAAGAAATACAAAAAAATAATCTCGGGGCTGACCTTTCCTAAATAGTCAAGGAAGGGAGTTAGTTTGACGGAGTTGAGCGGAAAGTTTTAAGGAAAAATGCACGGCACAAACAAAAAGGAAAAAAGGGAGGGAGAGAGATAGGAGATCTCAAGCAAGGGGGGAGGATTTCGATATTTTACGGTGACCAAAAGGAGACATTGATATCGAAGATTATTGACAACTTCTTATCAGCCGGTCGTGGCCAGCGTGCCGGTCACGTTGTCCATTGATTGGTAGAAACGGGACTGTAGTTAAGTGAGTGGGGAAGAGTTACGATGAAAAGGGATGATACCTTTCCTGGTTGCGATATATCTGTCTCGCGTTGGAGACATCCGGGATGCTGTTATCTGGTGTCCCTACCTGATTGACCGCTGAATGTGCATGGTGTACTGAGTATGATTCCTTATCTTTCTATAGTTACCTAGCTGGTGCTGATAGTACAACGAAGACCGTCAGAAGTCCAATCTCTATTAACGAACTATGGAGTATTTACTCCGTGCTTCGTCGAAACCTCTAACTCGCTCGAGGAACTTGTAAAACGACGGATGATTTCACGTAAAGTTTAACGCGACGTAGGTCGCTCAGAACGGGGAATGGATCAATTCCCGATCCAAGAATCGAAACATTCCAGATGTATACGTACCCGACCTGCCATTATGAGTACGTACTCCGTACAAAGTGGTACATAGGATAGGTAGTCACGGCGTCGTACAGCACCACCGTGCATTCCGAGAGGTCCGATTTCTTGATGACCAGTCTGGCCCCGGGGTCGAAGGGGAAAGAAGATATTGATCATATGTAGGTAGGTGTCCAGCACGGAATACCGCGTTGTCAGTTAGGTGGGTGTCTAAGATCTCGGCCTTGGTCAGTGAGAAAAAGATAACCACCTACGGATAGACAAATGAGAATTGTCTAAGCGAGCACAGTAGGCCTCCAAGAAGTTCCGGAATCCACGGAGTATCTGCTGGGTCAATGATTCTGGAGAATATCACACAATGATCGTCACGATAATGCTGATATCGACCAATTTTCCAGTAGGGGGAATTTGTATCACAGTTCACACTGCAGGATGATAAGTATCAGACTACCGAGGACTCCGTTGGATACCCCGGAAACCCCATCGAATCTTTCTAGATTAACGAAAGAATTACGGGGACACCCAGCCGAATGGATGCATCCACCGCGTAAAAGACCAGGTTGGTCTAGCCCGCCAGCAGGTGACCGGCCCCGTTTTTCAGGCGGTCATGAGGATCGCTTATTGGGCCCGTGACTTCATCTGAATTTTGTGATTCCCTCGATGCTTTTCGATGGTTTTTGCCTGTGTGCACCTTGGGGAAATATTGCAAGGACGGCAGAAATTAGTATGATGCAGTGTCGATTGTCTGGAATATTTCCATTTAACTCTTGACTTTGGCCTTCTCCTGTTGATCACTCTTAACTCCTCCCTTCCCCCCCCCCCCCTTCCGTAGGATACGGTAAAACCCCCTTAAGTCCCATCTTCCAATACCCACAAAGGCGGTGACGACGATCCTCGTCATTTCTTCCTGGTTCAGCCAAACGCTTTTCTTCTTAGTCTCCTTTCCACTCTTCCCACTAAACTCCCCCGGTTACTGCTCGTCCACTTCTCTAGTGCTTTAAACTGCATTTAGAACTGCCTTGTCGGGGCCTCTCTGCCTGCACTGCCTGGTCTATCTTGCAGTCTTACCCAGACCCTCCCTCCCCGTCCCATAACATCATTCTACCTGTCTAAACCCAATCCATCATTCCCCATCGTCCTCTGAGAACTCTCCGTCATCCTGCCGCCCTGCACTCACCTCCAGCCTGTAAGCTGCCCTTGCCCCGGAACGTGGCCAAGATTTCTTGATCTTTCGATTTGCCCATTTCCTTGGCTAATTCCGTGACGCCAGATCCTGTTTAGTCCTGCTCCTCCGCCTTTGGGTGAAACACCAACCATAACCTTCCCTGCGACGCCTCTCCCTTCTCGGCCTCAAGCGACCCTTTCCCTCACCCGTGCAGCCCCGACCAATGTTCTCCCCATGTCAAGAATTCCGTCTGCGTCAGAGAATACCCTGTCGGATTCCTTGGTGACACCTCCTGCTGCATCTGCCCAACATGATTGCTCTGGGGAGCCCGATCGTCCCCATGGCAAGCAGCGGCGCCACCACAACCACAACCACAACCACACCCACCACCACCACCACCACCACCATCACCCCCGAGACCAGCTCATACATGAAGATATCCAACAAGCTCCCTCTCCGTCCCGCGCCGAATCTCCTACGGCTCGTCAATGGGCCAAACCGTCGTCTGCCTTCCCTCTAAAAAGGTCGTCGGTCACCTCGCCTGAAAAGCTCGCCCGTCCGGATCTGTCTCATAGCCCCCAGTTGTCTGAGCGAGATAGCATTTTCGCAACCCATTATCTACCCTCTGATAACGATTCCAACGCCACACCGCAACTTCCGGCCGTGGAGGACATAAACAATGAGCCGCCGAACAATTTGAACCTTGAACCAGAAAATGTGTCTGCTGCTCCTGCCATTTCTTCTTCCAAGGTTCTCCCCCATGGTAGTCTCGTCGACTGCTCCCACATGGAAGTTGACGCCCGCAGAAACCATTCTTTGCGTTCGCCACCATTGCTCCCGCCGGCGATCCCTTCGCATCCTTCACCTTTAGCTGCGATCGGCCCCAACCAAAGTCCGGAGAAATGCTCCGAGATAGCGGACGAAAAGTCGCGAGTGGTTCCTGTTTGGGAGAGTCTATCACCCCTTCGCAAGTTTTCGTCTGATGGCGCGGGTGCCAAGCCCTCTGTTGAGGGGTCGCAGCCCCGTCGCAGTCTAATCTCTGCCTCTCTCAGTGATGCCTCCCTACTTTCGCCTCAACCAATGGTCCCCCCGTTCGATACCCATCCTTCCCCAGCCTCTACCTGGGACCCGGCTGCCCAGCAGTCGTCCGAACAAGGCTCTGGGGACCATGTGCCCGAGGTGAAAGTCGAGCGAAGTTCGAGCCGGAGTCGGCGTGGTCGGGTAGATCACTCCATCGAGGCGAACCTCGCCAATGCGGAGCCGGCTTCTCATGTGCGCAGCCGTAAGTCAAGTCATTATCTGGGGTTATTCAAGGAGAATACTACTTCACCGGACCGCAAGCGAAGAGAAGACCGAGGAAGAAAGCATGATGAGCAACAGCCAGAGTCGCAGGATAAACAGGTTGCGGTCGTGCACTCGGAGCCGCGCCCTGTTCTGGAACGGTCGGACATGCAGCCCCAGCTCCCGCAATTAGTAGAGGATCATGGCCTGCGCAGCTCCAAGAGTCTGTCCCAGCTGTCGTTCACCGACGTTCCGATCATGACTCCCACTGCGGATATCGCATCAGACTCGCAGCAGTCTGCCGTCGACGATGTTTCCAAACGTCCGCATAAAGCCCTCCCTCGCAGCTTGCTTGAGGAAATCCGAAACTTCCATCTCACTCCGGGCGGTGCACGCGGTACTTCGTTCTCGAGCAGCATCCCCACGCAGTACGCGGAAAGAGCCAGAGACTACCTCTCTTCTAAGAATCCTGCGCTTTTGAGCGGTCTTTCGCCGTTGTCGGATACCGATCAAGAACAGCGACGTGGCTCGGCTCAGTTCGAGGACGACGAAGACGAACAGATTTCGTCGGCCGTATACTTCCCCCATGAACGCGTCACTGTTTCTGATGAAGTTGACCAAGTGCAACCCTTCCCGCAAGGTCAACACGATATAGAAACATTTGATGTGCCGACGAAGAGTAGCCACGTTCTAGTGCCCAAGAGACATAAAGTATCTGACGAGCAGGAGGCCCATCATGTTGATATATCTCTTCGATCTAAAAATGAGAGTAAATACCTGCACGGCGATCTACAAGACATACAGGCTCCGCCACTAGAAGAACTAAATGAAAAGTCTCTTAGTGTGATTTCGGAACGCAGCGCCGAATCCTGCGAATCGGATGTGTCTCTGGAAGATACTGGTGGATTGTCTGCTCCGGATGAGGAGTCGAGCGTGACGGATGATGCGGATATGACACCGACAGCCACACCAACTCAGCGCCAACGGTTTTCGCGCCCGCGCCGCAAGGATGACTCCGGCGCTCCTCTCGGGGCAGTGGAATTGAAGCCTTACCGACATCAAGTGGGTGGCCACACGACTGTCTTCCGGTTCTCAAGGCGTGCGGTGTGTAAACAGCTGAATAACAGAGAAAATGAGTTTTATGAGCGCATCGAACGCCGACATCCTGAAATGCTCATGTTTCTACCAAGGTTAGTGCTTCTTTTGTCATTATTGTTTTATCGGCGATCGACGTGACACATGACTAATGAACGATGGTCTAAAGGTATATTGGTGTACTCAATGTGACTTTCTCCAAGATGCCGAAGCGCAGCAAGACGGATCAGGAGACCCAGACCAAGCATAATGACACCAATGGACGCGCCGCAAGCCATTCGAGTGATGTGAAGGGCAATGAATCTCTATCTGTCAGTGAAGTGCGAGTGCCGGATGTCGTGGACCAACCTCGCATTGTCAGCCAAAGCCAGGTAACCGGAATCATTCCAAAGGTGATTTTGGAGAACAACCGCCACATCATTCCTGCCGATCTCTTTTCACGCTCGCAGAGGCCGAAAACCTCTGACGGCACGATGTCTACCAGAAACGGTGCCGGATCTATCGGTGGCGATCGAACACTGCTGAGTGGCTCTATAGATGACGAGACATCTATCCAGGCCATCAAGAAACCTAAAATTAGCTGGGGTGCTACTACTGTGAATAGGAAGCTGCAGGAACAAGTCTTGCGAGAGGTCTTCAGTCCGCCTGCCATTCACCACCACCGGCGTCATGCTCGAGGCCATTTCGCGTTGCCGAGAACGTCTTCGGATGGTGTCCGACGAAGGGCGAATCTTTCGGAGGACCAGACCGCCAGTAGCCGTCGCAATGCACCGGTACCCACAGAACCACCGCGTTCTGCAGCCATCGACATTGCAAAACAATCCAACGATGGCCCAGGTCTGTCCTCGTCGGCGTCTACCGCGCTAGACTCGAATCAGAACCGTCTTGAGAAAGTTCGAACGGAAGAATCTCAGCCGCGCTCAAACTCGGTGTCTCGGACTCGCCAGGTCAGACGACGCCATTCTGGCAGCGGTTTGCAGAGACGGGGGAGCATGAGTCCTGCCAACGATGGTGGCACCGGCGGAGAACTGATGTTTTTCGAAGATGAAGGGTATGGTGGCGATAAGGAGGATGGTATATTCTCCATGGAGGGTGATGCTTCGATGCCGTCTGTGGATCCTTCCTACCATGCGAAAGTGCCGCCAACATCTACCCCGAAAAATAGCACCAATGGGATCTTGCATCTGTCAAGCCAGCCGAGAGATCCTTCGCCTTCGAAAGAGATCACCCCTGTTGCAAGAAAAGAAGACAACCGCTTTCGGCTTCCCACCAACCCTAAAGAGGCCCAAACTCGGAATGACGAAAGAGTCCAGTTCTTCCTCTTGCTGGAAGATCTTACTGCTGGCATGAACAAGCCATGCGTGCTGGATTTGAAGATGGGCACTCGTCAGTACGGCATCGAAGCGAACGAGAAGAAGAAGAAGTCTCAGCGACGGAAATGTCAGTCCACAACTTCTCAGCAGCTTGGGGTCCGACTCTGCGGCATGCAGACCTGGAATGTGAAAAAGCAGGAGTACTCCTTTGAAGATAAATACTTCGGTCGAGATTTGAAATCCGGACGAGAGTTCCAAGACGCTCTGACGCGATTTCTTTACGATGGCAGTAGTTACACAAGCGTGGCAAGGAAGATCCCCGTAATCTTGGAGAAGCTGGCCACGCTGGAAAACATGATCCGGCGACTCCGGCGATACCGTCTTTACGCCAGCAGTCTTCTGATCCTCTATGATGGTGAACAAAACACGCCCGACGGTGATGCTCGTGTTGACAGTCAACGACATTCTCCCCAGCGTCGGGCCACGGACGATGGTCATAATAACATTGACGTGCAACTAAAGATTGTCGATTTCGCAAATTGCGTAACGGGTGAGGATGGAATCCCCCCGGATACGCCTTGCCCGCCAAAGCACCCGGATGATATTGACCGCGGCTACCTTCGTGGACTTCGCACGTTGCGGATGTACTTCCAACGAATTATGAAGGAGGTTAGCCAAGACGAATTCATCGAGAGGGGTGAAGGCGAGGCCATTGCCTTGAGGTCCCAGGTGTCAGGTCACGACAACCCTACAGATCGATACTGGGACGAAGGAGTGATGGAGAGTGATCCTGGCGAAGTCAGTTTCTAGTCTCTAGGATTTTCTTCATCTCCCATTCCCACCTTTCATTACTTTTCCGTTGTTTTCATTTAATCTTTCTTTCTTTCTCCTTTCTGTATTTCCTGCTTATTTGCTGTTGGAGTTAGCGGTCGCTTGATTTTGTTCTTATTCTTTGCTCCAATTCCCACTGATCGAACATCGCACCTGCGGATCAGGATGCGGCTTCTAAATTGCATGGCACCGGATTGGGCGTTATTGTTCTGTTTCTTGAACTGTTATTCTCTGCCCTTCAGACGTTGAACCATGTCAACGGCATTATAATGACCGGGATGGAATTCTGTTGAGGGTGTCAAATGATACGATACTAACGATTTAATCATGGCATACGGCTCCTCTCACGGCCGATTTCTGTTGCATGCCTGGAGCATAGTCCGCAGGATTGGCGCATGCGTGTGGAGAGCATTTGTTTTCTTGCTTCCGTTCTGTTTCTTTCGCTTCTTATTATCTCGGACGCGCCTTACACATTATACCTCCCGGGGAACTTGTCCGATTTCCTGGATCCCTTCATATTCATCAAGGCAGACATACCATGATTTGTTGTACATAAATGGGGCAGACCATTAGGCAGAGAAGATTCGAATAATCCGATATTGCTAATTTCTCGTAAATTGTTCATATGCTCATGTTCGATCCGATTAGTTCAGTAATGAGGCAGTCAGGCAGCGAGGCAGCCATCTGACGTGACACGATAAGCATCACGTGCCTCGGTGATAAGCGGTGTGTTTCCTCCGGCTGCTGCCATCAACTCTCCTTCTTTCCTGACCTTTTCCTCAGTCCCTATCGGGTTATTGCTTGGTCTTGCGTCTCTTGCGTCTCTTGCGTCTTGGGGGTCTGTTTTAAAGATACTTTCAGTTTCGTTTCGCGATTCTTTGTTGACGTACCGCTTCCAAGCGCCCCGGCATCGCTGCCCCTTCAGTGACGTAGCGGAGAGCCGACCACCGGAGCTCAACCAGTCAACTGATCGACCCAGGTGGCTAACTGTGGAGTGTGGACACCAGAACAGCTCACTACAGGTGATCACTTTTGGACGAATTATATTACACCTTGGTTTTATATTTGTTGCTCCTCTCCGGATCGCCCAAGCCGCTGTCCCCTTTTATTTTCGTCCTGTTGAGCAGCTTCCACCAGCAAACAACACGCCATGACTGGATTCAATGGCCGACATAGAGCATCGATAGACAAGCGTGATTTTGATACGAATAGACCGCTACTGGATGGGCATGGTGATGGAATTGATGGAGCTGAGCGCGATAATCAACTCTCCCGACCGGGTTCGAGTCTCTCCGACGGTGAAGACGGCTTGTTGAACAATGTGGTCGACGAGATTGTTGAGCGAGACCGACGAAAGATGGCCAAGGAAGTGGTACGGATTAGCAGCTTTGTATTGGGTGTGATTAGTTGGTGAGTCATACTGCATGTTTGTACTACTCACAGAGGATTTGGCCTATTGACTATGGCGGGTTGGTTTAGCCTGGGAGCCGGGAGCATCACTGCGTTCTCGCTGTATGGGCCTCTGTTCCTCACTCGTCTTCATTACACGCAGCTCCAAGTCAATGCAGTCTCGATCGCCGCGGAGGTTTCTATGTACCTCCCCGTTCCCTTGTTTGGATATCTCTGTGATCGGTACTCGCCACGTCCTTTGTCTTTGTTTTCGGCATTGGTCTTTGGCGCAGGTTATCTTCTTGCAGCGTTTACCTACAAGAGTGGCCCTCCTGTTGAGAAAGGCGGACAGGGATGGCCGTTTGGGATTATGGTGTTGGCATTTGTGGCCATCGGAATGGCCACGAGCTGTATGTACCTGGGTGCGGTGACGACCTGCGCTAAGAACTTCGGCCGAGGAAAGCACAAAGGCATTATGCTCGCCGTTCCTATCGCTGCGTTTGGACTCAGTGGGATGTGGCAGAGCCAGGTGGGGACATATCTGCTATGCGAATGGCTCGAGGATGGCAGTCGTGGGGACGTGAATGTGTTTCGGTATTTTATCTTCCTAGCTGCACTGCTTTTCGCCATTGGAATTGTCGGCACATTTGGATTGGTAATCGTGGATGAGGAGGATAAGTACATCGATGAGGCGGTTGACGAATTGGAGCGGAGTGGTCTGTTGGAGCAGAGCGAGTTCTTCCAGCCCCGACATGAAGTAAGGGCAGCTTACGGAACCTTCGGGCAAGGCGATGGCGACACAACGGACGACGAGCGAACATTGAACCAGTCCGAGGAAGAGCGGGAAGCTGCACGGCTGGAGAAAGAGCGCGAGGAAGAGGAGCGCCGAAAGAAGGACTGGTTGTTGAATTACGAAACCAAAGTATTCCTCAAGGACAAGACTATGTGGTTCCTTGCACTAGGGTTCTTCTTGGTTACCGGTCCGGGTGAGGCATATATCAACAATGTAAGCTGCTTTGATTACCTTTCAGGAAAGTACAATGCTAACGTCTTGGGGCCTCAAGCTGGGCACTATCGTCCAAACGTTGACACCGGAATCGAACCCTCCAAACGTCCCCTCCCCAGCAGGTCTTCCGTCGACACACGTCACTAACGTTGCGCTCACCTCGACCCTAGCCCGATTACTCACTGGGTCCCTATCGGACCTGTTCGCCCCTCCGGCAAATCATCTCATTGCAGGAACCATCGAAGACGGCCGCCCATCGTCGTCATCCGGACGCTTCACTCTCTCACGACTCTCATTCCTCCTACCTTCCGCCCTCCTTCTGTCCCTTGGCTACCTTCTCCTCTCGTCGCCCCTGCTCGTCTCCCACCCGCAGCTCTCGCACGTAACTACCGCTTTGATCGGCCTTGGTTATGGCAGCGCTTTCTCCCTCGTCCCGATCATCATCTCGGTTGTCTGGGGCGTCGAAAACTTCGGCACAAACTGGGGCATCGTGGCCATGGTCCCTGCCGCCGGTGCCGCCGCCTGGGGTATCATCTACTCACGAGGCTACCAAGACGCCATGGACGGTGGGAACGGGTCCCCGGATGGGCAATGCCACGGCTGGCGATGCTTTGGGTTCTGGGCCGTAGGCTGTACCTTGAGCGTGTGGGTGGCCATCGCATCGTGGTCTATTGCCTGGCGATTGTGGAGACGGAAGGGTATTGCCGTTTGATCTGACAGGTTTGGAGAGCCTTTGGTATATCGTACATCTGGTTCGGGATTTATCTTGATTTTGACATGCATAGTATAGACTACTTGGAATTGGGCTTGGCTCATTGGCGTAGTGATTTTCATATTAGGGTTTTTGGAGTTTGACTCGCTCTTACTTAGGTGGTATAAGATAGGATGGCATGGATGGTATGGCATATACGCACGATGAAACTACTGATTTCTTAGACTGCAATGCAACTACTTGTTGATGTTTGACACATTTCGCACCTGCAATCACGGGGTAAGTGTTATATTGAATAGGGCAGGTTGAAATCTAAATCTCGAAGAAAAGAACAACACAAGAGAAAGCCCGGCTCCCATCAACCAGGACAAAACGGACAAAGAAGTGAATCACAGTATGCCAAAAAGTACATTAAACATACATCCTCTCTTGCCCATGCCTATCCCTGTCCATGCACTACCTTAAGGAAAGATATGCCTGGAATTATACCTAGCTCGATGTAAACTAGCGACAAAATTGACAAGTCAGAATCCCCAACCCAAAACCATCCACTAAATACCTCCCCTCATCTTATCCCTCTTCTTTTATCTAACAACCGAACTCCCAACCCCAAAATCGAAAACCATGGAATACGACCCCATCGCCGAAAAAAACCAAGACCAAAAAGCCGCCGCATGGCTAAAGCTCTGGTCCAGCCGTCCCAGAACACCTATCCATGAATCTCGCCCAGAAACACCGACCCGGAAAACCAAAACCCGTCTCGGCGTGTTTTTGGAAATCGGGCGCGTTTAATATCTGTTATCGTGTGCGCTATCCTCCATCGAAATCACACCCTGGAATAGAAGCAGAAGCAGAAGCAGAACCAGATATAATAATCCGCTACGCAGCCCTAGGCCGAGTCATTCTGCGACGCGAAAAAGTCCAAAACGAAGTCTCCACGATGCACTACCTCCGACAGAACACCGCCATCCCAGTGCCCGAGGTCTTCGGGCACGGAGTCTGCTGGGCGGGTCCGTACATCGTGATGTCGTTTGTTGAGGGCGTGCCTTTATCGGAGTTATTGAGAGATCGAGAACCTGTGCGATGCGGGGAGGGGAGTCGGGATTGAGGCATGCGTATCGGGAGATGGCGGCTGTGGTGCTTGAATTGTCGAAGTGTGAGTTTGAGGGGATTGGTGCGTTGGAGGAGGTTGAGATTTAGACTGGGAAGCTGAACCAGAATGAGAGGAAGGGGAATGGCACTGGGAATGAGAACAATACCTTCACGATATCCCGACGCCCACTCACCTTCAACATGAACGAACTGATGGCCTCAGCTAACATCCCGGAACATGTATTCCCTCCACCACGCCATACCTTCTCCTACTCCTCGACATCGCCATCGACTCCTTCTTCTCCAACAATCTCATACTTCCAAGAGCTAGCAACACAACACCTCCACCACCTAAAACACCAACAACGAAACAGTACAACCAGCGCCTCCGACTGTCGACGAAAGTACACCGCACGATGTCTCTTCCTCGACATCGTCACTAACAAACTACACCTGCACCTCAACCAAAACCGGGACCCCTCCAATCCTTCCGCCCCAAAACAAAAAGAAGGCTTCAAACTCTACTGCGACGACCTCCGCCCCTCCAACGTCCTCATAAACACCCGCACAGGAAAAATCTCCGGTGTCATCGATTGGGAATTCACCTACGGTGCACCATCCGAGTTCACGACTGTAGCGCCGTGGTGGCTGTTACTTCAAAGTCCGGAGGATTGGGAGGATGATTTACATCTCTTTCTGAACCGATACAGGCCGAGACTGAAGTTATTTCTGGAAATTCTGAAGAAGAGAGAAGATGTGTTGATTGCACAGAACCAGCTATTAGAGGAGGAGCGTCTGAGTATATATATGCAGCGCTCGATAGAAAATGAAGGGGAAGGAGAAGAAGAAGAAGGTGGAGGAGAAGGGACGGGATTATTTTGGATCTGCCTGGCGGCGAGATATAGCTCCATGTTTGATGAGGTTTACTGGGGGTTTCTTGATGAGAGGTTCTTCGGTTCTTTTACTTCGTTGGAACAGAGGATGGGGTTGTTGAGTGAGGAGCAGCGGCTGGAGATGGAGGCATTGGCGAGGGAGAAGATGGGAGAGTGGGATGGTAGTGAAGGGAAGGGGGAGGAAGGGTTTGTGGATCATTATCCGATTGATAAATTGCTTGAGGTGTAGACGTCTAGATTTATAGGGTATAAGATTTATGGAGTTATGTCAGGTTTATATATCCTATGAAGTGTAGGGTATGGCTTGTGCCGATTGACTAGAGTAAAAGTAGATGTACATACTGTAGTGTAAGAGATAGATAATCTGCCCAGAACCTAGAACTCCAACCACGAAAGAAAAAGACCAATAATGTCTACCCATATATCCTAGAAATGCATGCAATATGCAATATCAAAACGAGACCAACCAACCTAACCCCAGAAAGATACAAGATCATGAGTGAAGTAAACCCCTAGAAAGAACCAAGCAAGCGAAGCAAAGACGCTAAGGTAGTAAGCAAACAATACGAGATAAGTTGAGAAAGCAACCGGTATCAGATATCCGTCGACGAAGAATCAAGTCCCATAAAAACTTTATACAATCGTTTACTCGCCGCCGGACCGATGCGGGAATCGGTGAGAGCGCCGTTCTTGTTGGCTGATTTCTATCATAGAGTTAGCCATTATACATTCCGACGGTGGAGGCCTGTATGTATGAAAGGGAAAGGGAATACCTTCACATCCTCCAACAAACCAGGACCACCTCTTCTCATACCCTGCACTAGATCCACAACACTCGGATACCGGACTTCAATGCCATACGCCATTGGAGCAGTGACGCGATGAACTTCCTGCAGCATCTTGACGTAGGTATCGGATTTGGTATCCCCCGGCTTCACCTGCCCCGTGTCCATACAGAATGCAGCGTCGCGGCCCTCCATCATCTCGTGTCGGTACGGGACGGTGGAGACGTGCTCTGTGAAGTTCTTGATCCACTCAGCGGATTCCGCGGGGGCGGCGGTGTGGTGGATTAGACAGGAGTGGGTGACTTGGAGTTGGAGGAGGGCGTCTTCCACGGTGTCGTCGTCGACCGGGGGCGTGGTTTCGGGTTTATTTGCTGCTCTTTTCCGGCCTCGAGAGGGGGCCTGAGAGGAGGGTTGCTGAGAAGCCGTCTCCTGCTCCATTTGACGACGCACTTCGGCGACGTAGGCTCTGTTGCGGGAATTCTGGTTCTTGCGCATCCAACTGGTGAGACCTTCGATTAGGTAGATGGGTTTGCAGCCGGGGTAGGCGCTTTTGAGCTGTTGAACGTGTTGTTCTAGAGTGATTGCTGTTGCTACCGGTGGGTCGGTTGACGCGGAAGACTGCGATGCAGGTGATGCGATAACCATGTCAACAAATTCCTGCGCCGTCAAAAGAACAAGTACCTGATCTTCCTGACGAATGTGAAATGCACACGGCTCCCAGTGGCCCGCAGCATCGTTATACCTTGCCTTTACCTTTCGTCTCCAGCGCACAACATTCGGCATGACGCTCGTTAAAAAGGTCAATTCAACACCAAGCTTGCTCATGAACTCCGCCGTCTGATTGCCCACACTCGTCCCCTCTAGACTCGACGCCAGATCGACGATCATCTCCGGCGTGGACTCCTTCTTATCGACCTTCAGTTTATTGACCTGCGCGATATCCGCCGCAAGCTGCTTGTCGCGGGCCTTTGCCTCTTTGAGTCTCTGCTTGCGCTCTTTCTCTTGCTGTCGATCCTGTTCGCGCTGCGCCTTTGCGGTCTCTCGCTCTCGCGCGCGCGCATCTTTCTCCTCACTGGTAAGTTTCGTCGTCGAGGTCGCCGCCTTCTTCCGTCCTGGTCTCCGCGGCTCAGCCACTTCATCCATGATCTCATCCGCCTCGACCACACCCCCCCGGCCTTGTTGTCCTGCCCGCGTTGTTGCCGGATTCGACTTCTCCGTCTTCGACCGAGTCTCCAAACTCGCCAGGAGATTCGCCGTCCTACTCGATAAATTCGGACCTCGTTCGTTATACGTAACGTCCCGCGATGATCCCGCCGTGGTTGTCGTCGTCGTCATCGCCAATAACTCATTCAAATCCGGGATCGCTAGTTCATCGCTAAACGGCTCGATATCATCTTGTTCCAGTCGTCGGTCTCGGTAGAAAGGCGCATTGCTATTGTCGCGGCCACCACCACCACCACCACCACCAGCAGCAGCAGCAGCAGCAGCAGTAGCAGCATAATCGTCATCGTCGTCATCATCATCGTCAATCGTCACGGTTTCCGTCATAGTCCCCGTCCTCGTCCCCGTCACCCGTGCCCTATCCCTCGCATTATCTGGCGCCGAAGACGTAAAAACAATCGGATCCGACTCGCCATTCCACGCTGGAAGATCTATAATGGGTCGATTCGTCCTCGGCGCGGGGCCTGGATCTATATCTAGGTCTTGTTCTGGGCCCGGACCCTCCGAAGACAGGGCCGGGAGGGACGGAAGGAAATCTTCATCTGAGAATAAGAAGAGCCGATTGCGAGAGGGATCAGAAGGAGGAGGAGAACGACGAGGACGAGGAGGCGGCGGGGCGAACGGGCTGCTCTGTCGGGGAGATCGGGATGTAGGCTTGGGACTCCCGTCGCCGGGGTTCGAGTCCTGGCTTAGACGTCTTCGTTTTGATGGGTTCGCCGCATCGATGTTCGTGTCGACGTCATCTGTGAATGCGATCGGGGAGGTGTCGAAGTCGGAGGAGAGGATGAAGTGCGAGCGGGCATTGATGGTCGGAGTGGGAGCGGGGAGTGACGGAGGGGGAGGAGGGAGAGGAGATGGCGCTGCTGCTGGTGGTCGGCGGGAGGGCTGAGGGGGTCGGTCTTGTGGGTGAGGAGGCGTGGAGGAGAGAAGGTCGATGACCTCGGGCATGGCGATTTTCCCACCAAGGGCGATTGTTTGGATTGAAGATCGGGATGGATGTTGGCGATGGGAGAGTGAGGCACGTGTCGAGTCGCGACGTCACCGCGCGAGGTGAGCGCGAGGTCACGTGGTGATCTGGGTTTCTACACTGGAATTATAGTGCAGGAGCAAGTAGAATTGACAAATGACAATTGCTAAAGAAGGGGTATATGAAGAGACAAACTACTCAGAGAACTTTCAAAACCATCGCCAGAAGCATCGCGACCGCAACACCCAACACAGCCAGAATGACAAAGACCTGCTGGAAGCCGCCAAACGGCCGACGTTCGCTACCCAGCATCTCACCGATTTCCTCCTCCAGACTATCGCCCATCGCCGTGAGCGAGAACTCATTTTCCACGCGCTTCTTTGCTGCGGCAGACATGCGATCTAATTCCGTCTGGTCCATGCCGTACAGAACATTGTCCATCACCGCGGTCCAGTCGGCATCCACCTTGGCGTCTCGGAGCCAGCCTGTTTCGCCCTCGACGATCGTCTCTAGGGGACCGCCGGTGTTGGATGCCAGGACGGGGATCCCAGCGCGCATCGCCTCCACAGGGACAATGCCGAAGTGCTCGTTGATCGGCGTGTAGAGGAGCAGTTTCGACTGCAGGAGCAGCGTATCGCGGAATGCGGTCGGCACGGAGAGTAGAAAGAGAACATCGATGGAGTCGGGGATCGAAAGCGCAGATATGACCGTTTTCGACGTAGCCGTCTGTAGGCCCAGACCAGTGGCAAGTTCATCCAGTTCCTTGTGATACTGCACATTCTCTTGGACTCGGTTGTCGTAACCGCCTATATTCCACATCAGTCAGTCGAAAAAAACAATACACCAGATCCAGACACCAAGCCCAGCACAACACAAGCCAAACAGAACGAGAGTAAAAGGAAAACTCACCAGCAATTACCAACCTCGTCCCCCTCCTCTTCTCCTCCCCAAGACCATGATACGCGCGCACCGCCAACGCCATATCCTTCTTCCTCTCGAACCGATTAATACTCAAGAGAATCTTCTTCCCACCCCATAGCTTCTCCTCCCCTTTCCCTCCCTTTCCATCCCCATCCCCATTAGCACCCCCTCCAGCATCCGTATCAACACAAGGATAAACAACCCTAACATCCCCCAACGACTGCAACCCAAAAACCTCACTCACGACCCCGCGCGTAAACCGCGAATTCGCAACGACGCGATCCGACGCGCTCAACGCCCACCCCTCGAACCAGTCAAACGGACACCGATAGAGCAGTTTCGCGAGCCGAAGAAGCGAGCCGCCTTCGTTGCGTCGGGCGAGTAATTGATCGGGGAAGTGGCAGTAGAAGAGGATGCGCTGGCGGAATTTCGCACCTTTCTGCTCCTGAGATGGAGACGGAGACTGGTACTTCGGTCCAAGTGTCTTCAAAAACGGCACGCAAGCAGGAACCTGATCCACGATGAATATCGTATCTCGATCGCTATCCTCATCCTTATCCTTATCCCCACCTCCAACCCTAATATTACCCCCAGCCAACTCCCCCAAAACACTCCCCGTCAAATGCAACTGTCTCAAAATCGCCATGAAGACATGAAACCGTCCCCCAAGATGTGCCGGAAAGACCGTATTCCCACGAACGCGCACATCAAGCGTCCCATCCCGAGCCTCCTCAAAACAATGCCCCGTGTCGCGGTGCGAGGTATAGATGGTGACGCGGTGGCCGCGGGACTGTAGCGCCAGGGCGACGTCGATGATGAGGCGCTCGGCGCCGCCGATGCCGAGATCTGGGTGGATGATGATTACATTGGAGGGGGGGAGGTTTTTCTCGGACATCCTGTGCCGATCAATTGGTGAGGTATCTATCGTGTTGAGGACCTTTGGTTCAGGGAGGAAGAGGATTGGTGGTGGTGGGCATTTCTTGCTGGTGTTGGTGACAGATAACTTAATTGGGGAGCTAACTTACCCGCAGCTAGCTGGAGGTGAATGAGACACGCGGCCTAACTTATCTAGACGTCATGTGATGACGCATCCACTATGAAGTACGATCCAACATTCCTAGCAATTTCTAGTTGAATCATATACAATGCTTTTAAAAGTCTTATTACAATACCAAGGACATTAACATCAACCAGCTATTGTCATATGTATGTACGCGTCGACTCTATCACGGCATCAGACCAAAACTAACATCAACAATTGGTATCCGCAATATACTCAAACTCAGTAACGAAAGAGCAATGCCATAACATGGTCACAGCAGACCGGAATTCTAGAACTCGGCCGAGCAAGAATATGCACCATTTGATGAGGAAACGACAGGGTAATAGGGTAAAAATGTACATAGAGCACAATAATCAGCCAAGGCTAATAATCCGCCACGCATAAAACAAAAAACCAAAACGCAAAAGTCATAATGCAAAAATCATGATGAAAACGAATAAACAATTCGCAAGACAATCGATAAAAGGGGCAATACACAGAGAAAGGTATCAACGAAGCTAAAAGGGGGAATCGACGTCAAATTCATAATACAGGAAAGAAGCTGAACATCGTGTCTTAGGAGAAAGGTAAAGAAGGGGGAGGAGACGCGGGAGAGAATAAAGGATAAGGTGGAAAAACGAGAAAGAGGAAGAGAAAGAAGACGAAGAATGGCCGGCCTAGAAACAGTTGAGAGTGCTCTTCTTTTTCTTCTTGTTGAGCGCGTTCATACGCTCTTCCAGCTGTGCCCGAGCAGCTTCGGCCTCGCGACGAGCACTTCTCTCCTCTTCGACGGCCTGGAGAGAAAGACGCTGGGAGTTGCGTTCCTTCTTGAGGGTACCCAATTCCTCCTCCAACTGCCACGCCTTCTTTTTCCAGGCCTCGCAGTCGGATTTGACCTTGTTGCTCTGCGCCTCAAGATCCCCGAGGGCTTCCTCTAGTGTCGCAGTGAGCTGCTTTTCGGCATAGAGATGCTTCTCAATCGTGCGGATCCGAGCCTCTTGATCCTCAACAACCTGAGTACTGACCAGCTCCTTGCTAGTATGGCGCGAGCTCGGGGGTGAAACGCTGCCGTTCGTAGCAGCAGCAATAGTGGGAAGAGGCGGTAGTGGGATAGCAGGAGGCGGAGAAGGAAGAGAAGTAGCTGAGGAGCTTTTTCGCAAGTTCGACGTAATGGAGCTGCTGCGGTCGTGCGAACTTTCCGAAGTGTTCTTGATTTGAAGCTGGGTAGGTTAGTGACGTGCCTCAGCTGACGTGGATGATTGTATAGCTTACCTCAAGTTGCTCGATCCGCACCCGGTAGGTTTCGATATCCTTCTCCAGAACGACAATTTTGGCCTTGGCGTCTTCCAAAGCCTGGTCGCGCTCTTGCTGAATGACGGAGAGACGGTTGTGGTGCTGATCGAAACTGCTGGTGATCTGCTCTTCGAGCTCTTCCACAAGGCGGACGCTCTTCTCCCTCTCGGCGGTGATCTCAGCAACAAGCGCTTCCTTCTTCTTGACTTGGTCGTCCTTCTGGCGAAGGGTGTCTTCAAGGGTAGCAACCAACAGAGCCAGCTCGTTGACCTTGGCTTCCTTGGCCTCATTGCTCTTGGTTAGCTCCTCCAAGCGACCGGAGTCGCCGCCCTGGGCTTCCAGTTGCTTGCGAAGATCTTCGTTCGTGTCGAGCAGCTCGGCGTACTTGTCGGAGAAGTGCTGCTTCTGGGTCAGGATGTCTTGAATCTGGTCGGCGATGTTGTCCGCCGTGACGTCGGAGTTGATGAGTTCAGAAACCATCTTGAGCAGTTTGGCCAGTTCGTCGCGCGATTCGGCGATGTCAGTTCTCAGAGTCTTCATGGCCTCGTCATGCTCCTTATTCTTCTCCGCCAGTTGCAATTCATACCCCGCTTGTGCGGCAGCGGCAGCCCTTGCTTCGAGCTCGCTTAACTCGTGTCGGTGAGACTCCTGCAGAGCGTCCAGGTTCTTCTTGTGAGACTCGACAAGAGATCGATGGGAGTCAATTTCGCGTTCCAGCTCGGAGATGCGGGTCTGGTGGTCTCCAACTTCGGTGCTCTCATTATCCTTGGCTGCGAGGAGCTCCGACAGCTGTTTCTCGGCCGCGCTGTGCGATTCTTCCAGCGAGGCGATTCTAGCCACGTGGACGCCGGCAGTCGCTTTGTGCTCTTCGATATCACGCTTGAGGTTCTCCACAATGTCCTGCTGCCGGGCTCTCTCGCTGTCCAACTCCCGGGCGATGGTCTCCTTCTCTGCGGTAGACGACTCGTCGGCAGCCGCCCGCTCAGAACGCATGGCATCCACATTCGCCAATGCACTGTTAAGCTCGGTGAGCGTGGCGCTGAGCTGCTGCTCAGAGGACTGCAGAGACTCCACGGCAGTCTGGTGCTTGCTCTTCCACTCGCCCAGTTCGCCCTCGAGGAGGCTGATCTTCTGGTACTGCTCCTCAGCCCCGGCATCCTGAGAGCGAGCGGCAGCCTCTTGGGTCTTAAGAAGATCCTTCAACTCCTGGATCTCGGCAAGAAGCTCCTTCTGTCGGGTGTCGTGCGCCTCCTTTAGCTCGTTGATGACACCCTCCTGCTGCACAACCTGATCGCGCAGCTGGGACACCAGGCCCATGTCCACCGAGGAAGCGCCCCCCTGCAAACTAGATCGCTCGCGAGTCAGGCCCGAGATGATAGTCGACTTCATCTCCATTTCCTTCTTCACGCTCTGGTTTTCGGCTTCCAGCGACTGAATACGTTCCATGCGGGTATACAGCTCATGCATTGCCGAGTCCAGGTGAACCTCGAAGTTCTGCATCGTATCCGGTCGCTGTTCGAATTCTTCGCTCGCAATGTTGCGCAGAGCCGCCAAGGAACGCTGGGCTCGGTCAACAGTGGATATGAGACTCTGGCTGGTCTTCCTCCGGATGACCGGCGACTTGAATCCCGGCGTGGTGGGCGGGGACGTAGACTTGGGTCGCTGGATTTGGGCTTTCAGAGACTCGACAAGGTTGAGAGTGTCTTCGTGCTCGCTCTGCAGTTCGGCGTATTTTTGAGTCATGATGGTGACACCTTCTTGATGTTCGGACAGGAGTTGTCGCATGTGCTCGACCTCCTGAGGGCTAGCCGCCGAGGTTTCTTCGGTGGACTCACCCGTGGGAGAATCAACATGGTTCTGTTCCAAATCGGGCTGGGCCTTGGCATTAGACGTATCCTGTGAAGCAGCAGGCTCCCCGACCAAGGACAATTCCGATGAGAGTGATTGCGAGAAGGAGTGTTGTGTTCCAGTCTTCGCATCGGGAGCCTTGCTGCTTTCTTCTAAAAAAGACACCGGACGAGACGCGGTGGTGGTGGATGGGGTGACGAGCTGTTGCACGCTCGATGCACGATGACGAGCCTCGTCGGCAGCGTCTTGCTGTGCCTTCGCCAGCGCCTTGAGCGCCTCTTCGTATTTGGTTTCGAGGAGTTCGTAGTCGCTCAGCGTGTTCTCGTGCTGCATACGCAGATCGAACAGTTCCTGGCTAACGGTGTCGAGTTTGTCGGCCACGACGTTCGACTGCGTGGGACTGGGGGTTTGCCTCTTGCCATCGGGCGTCAAATGGCTCGTTGCCTTCTCCAGAACCCTCAGGTCCTCACCTGCGGCCCCAGCCTGTTCGGGCTCAGTGGCGTCCTCTTCCTCAATCTCTGGGATGGGCTCCACCAGTCCCTCGTCCGATTCGGGGATGGCGGTCTCAACGGCCTCGGTCAACACGTCCAGCGACGTCGCCCTCTTGCGCGGGTTGTAGGCGCCTTTAACAACCGGGGTGGGCGATCCGTTTTCGGCGTCCGCGTCGTCCTTATTTCCGTTGGGCTGGACGTGATCAAGTTCATAGAGAAGGTTGTCCAGCTTGCCTAGGCTGCGCTGGCGCTCGATGACATTTTCCAAGCGTTCCACCTCTCGCTGCATGAGCTCCATGTCCTGGTCCGCTTCGGCCAGACGTTCTTCCAGCGTGGAAATGTAGTCTTCGCAGTTGGCTTCACTTTCACGGGCCCGGCCCAGCTCCTTCCGCAGCTCGGACACGATCGCCGCCTGTTTTTCCTCGCCCGAAGACTGGCCATCCAGTCGGGATTCCAACTCGTGAAGGTATGTCTCGGTGCTGGTCTCCCGGTCTAGCAGCTTCTGCACGCGCGCTTGAAGTTGCGCATTGACCGTCTCGACGTAGGTGCACTTCGTTTCCCGCTCGAGAAGGGTACTTTCACTCACCGACAAGGATGAACGAGTATTCGACAGGGATGATTCCAGGCTTTGGATAGTCTTCTCGTACTCCAGGACAACCTGCTCGACAGACTCGGCGAATGAATGGGAGCGTTTCAGTCTCTCAACGGAGCTCTTGCCGACCACGGAGGCGACATCGTTGGGATCCGCGTTGGTCGGTTGTTCAGAATCTCTAGCCAGCTCGGCAACCAGTTTGGCGTGGCGCTGGCTCAATGCGTTGTAGCTTTCCTGCGAATCCAGCAGCTGGTTCTGAAGGTCGATCTCCCTCTCGTTCTGGCGCTCCCCGCGCTCCTGCGGGGCGGCGTTGCGCCGGTCATGGTCCTCGACATTTCGCAGCTGCTGCCGCAAGAAGGCCACCTCCGCCTTCAAGCGCTCAATCACCGCATGCTTGTCGCTCTCATCCGCGATCTGCTGGATGCGGGGCTTACTCTGGATGGCCCGGGCTCGTTGCGCGTATTGTACCGTGTTCAACGTTTCGCTCAGGTGGAACTCGGCTGGCGTTACGCACGCAATCATATAGGTGTAGGCGTTTCCGCCCAGCGAATCTTGCAGGAGACGGGTGAGTTTCGAATCCCGATAGGAAACGTGCGAGCCCGCCTGACGAGACGACAGTTGCGAGATGA